TTGTGTTTCTATTTTTCCATTTTAATCTTGACTCTAGGGCTGGGGTTGTGGCTCAGTGGTAGGACACTCACCTAGCATATGTGAGGCACTGGGTTCGATCTTCAGCACCACATAAAAATAAATACATAAAATAAAGGAATTGTGTCCATCTACAACTAAAAAAAATATATTTTTAAAAAATATTTATTTCTTTTAGTTGTAAACAATGCCTTTATATATTTATTTATTTTTATGTGGTGCTGAGAATCGAACCCAGGGTCTTGCACGTGCCAGGCAAGCCCTCTACTGCTGAGCCACAACCCCAGCCCTAAAAAAAAATTTTTTTTTAAATTTTGACTCTATTTTTGAGATGTTTGAATATAGCCATTTTTTCTTCTGGTAAAAATTACACTGACAAAATAAGAATTTAGGTATAAAACTAATTGAAAAGGATAAGCACATAACACCATCAAAAGAAATCTAGAGGACTGGGTTGTGGCTCAGTGGTAGGGTACGTACTTAGTATGTTTGAGGCACTGGGTTTGATTCTCAGCACCACATATAGATAAATTAAAATAAAGGTCCATTGACAAATAAAAAATATTAAAAAAAAAAGAAAGAAATCTAGAAAGGAAGAATACTAGCCCTGTAGAAATGCTGGATAAGCCCTATCATATTTTTTTTTAAATATCATGATAGTTGGACACAACACCTTTATTTTATTTTTATGTGGTGCTGAGGATTGAACCCAGCGCCCCACATGTGTGAGTGCTCTACTGCTGAGCCGCAACCCTAGCCCCAGCCCCATCATATTTTAAAACATACTATTAAAGTAGTGAACATAGTGCTAGACTCAGTGTCTGAGAGGTGTCTTGAATGCCTGAGTTGAACCTTGAGTTTACAAGCATATCAAATCTTTAATAGAAGCTACTCCAAAGATCAAGGGGGAAGAAAGGATTCCACAATATATTGATTAACAATATTCAGAAACAAATCAGCTTTGAGCCTTGTCTGAGTCATACACCAAAATAAACTATTGAGTGAAAGATTATTATGTATGTACACATAAATATGACCGTGAAATCCAGTGGCCAGTCTTATCAAACTTCTCAGGGAGATGACTGCTATTTACTTCTAAGCTAAGAATTTAAAAGGTTAAAATTTTTTATTTAGTTTTGTTTTGCTTTTGCTATACCTGTGATCAAATCCAGTCCCTTATGCATGTTAGACAAGTGCTCTACCACTGAGTTATTCCCCCAGTCCTCAAAGGGGTTGAATCTAGGGGCACTTAATCACTGAGCAATTATGTGTTATGTGCTTATCCAGCCTTTTTGATTTTTTAATTTTGAGATAGGGTCTTTCTACATTGCTTAGGGCCTTGCTAAGTTGCTGAGGCTGGCTTTGAACTTATTTTATCCTCCTGAGTCACTGGGATTATAGGCGTGCGCTACTGTGACCAGCCAAAAAAGTATTTTTAATCTGTATGCTAACAAAATTCATGTAGCCAAGATAAAATTATAAATAGGAAAAATATTTACAGCAAGAAATAAGACAGGATTTTAATTTTCCTAGATGAAAAAGTTAACTTCAAACTGGATTGGACATACTAGAAGTAAACCACAGGATTTATGTAGTTAATTCACAATAGAAGAATTATGACTGAAACACTAATATATGGAAAATATTTATTCTCGGTAAGAAATGTGTATTTAGTGAGATTTAAATTGTTTTGGCAAATTAAAAAAAATTTACTCATGTAGTTATAGATTGAGAAAATGTTTTGTGAAATGACTTTTGTGCTATATTATACAGACACAAAATGTTCAATCCATTTGACTCAGCAACTTATCATATGATGGTTTGTTTTCTAGAACTAATTCTTAAAATAGAAGAGGTTATTTGCACATATGTGTTCATTATGGGGTTATTTATTGCAGTGAAAATCAGGAAAAAAAAAAACCCACCGAAGAAGGGGAATTGCTGACTAAACTGGGATATCTATTTGATTCTTACTGTATATGTGTGTGCATGGGCACGTGCTCTGGGGATCAAACTCAGGGAGTTACGCATACCCAGCCTTATTCTTATCTTTTAAAATGTTAACTGTTAGCCAGTTATAGTCATGCATGCCTATAATCAGTGACTTGGGAAGCTGAGGCAGGAGCATCACAAATTTAATGCCAGCCTGAGCAACTTAATGAGGTCCTGTCTTAAACTAAAAAATAAAAAGGGGTAGGGATGTGTAGCTCAGTGATAGAGCACCCCTGGGTTTAATCCCCAGTACCAAAAAACAAAACAATAAAATATTGACTGTTAACAACATTATTAATAACAAGACAAATTACATATGTAGGCAGTGATAACTGTAAAAATAGAAAAAAAGATAAATACCAAGAGTATATAAAGAGATGGGAGAGTGGATGATTTAATCTTCATGCTTCTATACATTTGTAATGTATTACAGTACTTCTCTGGTGGGGATTTGGAGGCAGTGCATTTAATATGTGTGTATTTTGATTTCAAGGATGAAGTTGTTTATTTAATTTACTGTTCAATGTTCTAATACAGACCGACATGGCAGAATGAGTTGGGAAGAAGAACTTCTTTACCATCCTTTGAAACACTGGGCTGTGGGGATGAAGAGGACTCTGAAATGCAGGCGTTGTCCAGTGACAAGGAGCTGGGCAATGGCAGTGCCTGGAAAGAAGAAGGAGGTCATAGTGATGCTGTGTATGCTACATCACACAAAAATCAGGTGATTCCCATATTCCAAAGTAGGCCTAAACATTCTCTTTTCGCTATTCTGCATTTGATTGCTCTGGGGCTTTTATTTGTTTAATGTGTCCAGCCTTTTTTCTATCTGGTTAGGTTAAAATTTAAACCTCTTTTCTTTACCTTTTAAAGTTGAGTCATTCAAAGACAAATGTTGATTTCAATGAGAAACTAGTAATTCTGCTCTTTCCTCTGACCTTGAAAGCTAATTCTCCTGTCACTTTTCTAGTTATCAGTGTGTACCTTGCAACCTTTCTTCAGATTTGCATCCAGTGAGAGGAACATTGTCATGCATCTCAACAGTAGTGACCTTCTTTGCTGTTTACCATGTGTAGTGACATGCATTTTTCTTAGCTGACCTACCACTAACTCTGTGAGGAGTTCTGTTCATTGCCCTGTCTCACATTGGAGGGGACAAGGTACAGTGAGGTTGAAAGGGCCAACCGCTCTAATAATCCTGATTTATATTTGTTTTTTGTGATGCTGGGGATTGAACCCAGGGCTTGTGATCTAATCCTGATGTTTTAAACTGTGCTCCCAGGGTTTTGGAAAATGAATAGCACCATTTCTTTACTGGCAAAAGAGCACCGTAATCTTTTTCCTGTTTTCTTTTGTCACCATCACACTGGCACATTGTCATAGTGACTGCACACGTAGACTCACAGCATCAAGCTGTATTTACATTGGTTATATTAGTTATCTTACACTATATTAACACACATTCTAAATGGGCTTAGGGAACTTACTTCAAGGAATCCTTATGTGAGTATTTCATGAACTAGCTTTCACTTTCCAACATATGTAGACTTTAATATGCAAAAGTAGATTTCCATATAGTGAATATTGCTGGAACCTGCAGATGCTGTTCAGGGCCTCAAGCTGTGCCATTGCAGGGTTCTAGAAGACTTAGATGAAGTTCATTGCTCTTTATCTACACATTTTCTTTTCTCTGTATGTCATGGAGAGGATCAAACCTGGGACGCATGGATACCAGGCTAGCGCGCTACCGCTTGAGCCACATCCCCAGAGCCTTATCTACACATTTTCTGTCTGATTCTTTGATACTGATGTTACAGACAGAGTTATATCACTTAACTACTCCAGCAGTGAAGTTTGTCACCACATCTCCCTTAGAAGAAAGAATTATAGAACTTATGCAGCCTTATTATTCAACGGACAAATAGTATATTTTTAGGCAAGTCTATTATGGTGACTTTAGGACCCATGTGTAGCAAGAAATTTTATTTTTAAAATTTGATAAGTAGAAAATAATGTAATACATTAGTGTTTCCATTCTTCCCCCTCAGGTTTTTGTTTTGTTTGTTGATGCCAAGGATCAAATTCAATGCCTTGCACATGCTAAGCCTGCACTCTAGCACTGAGCCATGCCCTCAAGACCCCTATTTTTTTTTTCTTTTCTTATACTGGGGATTGAACCCAGGGGTGCTTTAACATTGGTGCTATATCCCCAGCTCTTTTTATTTTTTATTTTGAGATAGGTTTTCCCTACATTGCTGAGGCTGGCCTAGAACTACACTTCTCCCGCCTCAGCACCCCCTGAGTTGCTGAGATTATAGGTGTGCACCAACACACCTGGCTTTTTTCTTTTCTTTTCTTTATTTATTTAATAAAAGAAATAGAAGGTTACAGTCAGGGTTGAAATTGTCTTTGTCTCCCACCTCCACTCCCTGGAAACCCATCTCTTGGATTTGGAGTACATTCTAGAAGTCTGTATTTTTACTCTTTTACCACAAATAAGTGCAAGTGAACAACTATAATGCTTTATTTTTTAATTATATAAGGTCATCTTATAGTACCAATTATTCTACTACTTTGCTTTTTCATTTCATTGCAGTTTTGAGACCGATCCCTGTTGATTTATCTATTTACTAACCTACGGATGAACACTTAGATTGTTTCCATGCACATATCTGATATGTGTACCTGTGTCTGCTGCATCAATTAGATATTGCCAAGTTAGATATTGCCAAATTGTCCTAAAAGCAGCTTCTCTATTTTACCTTCCTACCAGCAGTGTGTGTATGCCAGTCTCCATGTTCCTATACGTCCCAGCCAACAGGAAGTCTCTTCCCTGTACAACATAGGAACTAGAGTTTGAATAAGTGATGTCCATCGAAAGGTCTCATCATAACCTGCACAGCAGCAACGAAAGGTGCCTTAAACCGGAAAGGGATTTCAATTTGCCATAGATTTGTTAGTTTTTTTCATGAGGAAGGTGAGGGGGGCAGAGGTTATGTTGACCTTTCCTGAGCTTTTGATATATGCAAGACAGTTTACATTTACTATCTTTGTTTGTTTCTTTTTACATGTATCATTTATTTCCCATCCCGAGTTAAGTATGTAAAGAAACAGAATAAATGACTTGCCCATGATCACCCAACTCACCTTTGGCAGAGGCACAGGGCGACCAGTCTCCCCTGTTTACAGTTCAAATTTTTATTTATAGGGGCTGGAGTTTGATCCTCAGCACCACAGAAAAATAAATAAAATAAATGCATTGTGAAAAAAATTCTTAAAAAAGGAAAGTTTTATATTTATAGCCCTCATACTTATCAGAACTAATTCCACAACATAAAACTTCTTTTTGGAATTGACCAAGTATTTCTAAATTTATAATATGATTAAAATATATTCCCTTGGGTTGGGGATGTAGCTCAGTGGTAGAGTGTATACTTTTTTTTTTTTTTAAGTTGTCAATAGATCTTTATTTATATGTGGTGCTGAGGATTGAACCGAGGCCCTCACACATGCCAGACAAGCGCTTTACCACTGAGCCACGACTGCAGCCCTAGAATGTATTCTTAAGCATGTGTGATGGCCTGGGTCCCAGCCCTAGCAACACAAAAATAAACAAACAAATAAACCCACATACTACATATAGACACACACACACACACACACATTTACTAGATATATCACTATATAGTGTATTTATATGCTATATATCCATTTATACATGTATGTATACATTATTATTTATACACAAATTTATACATACATAAATTTATACACTGTATATATGTGTCACTATATAGTATACACACACACACACACCCTTGAAAAATAGACATATAGAGCATATAAACCATTTACTTTATCACTAGATGTTACTAACCTTAAAGATGATATTGCCTGTAATTGTTTATCCCAGATTTCAGAAAATCTATAGTAAATATATAGAAGACAGTTTTATAAATTTGCTCTTATAGGCAATATCATCTTTAAGGTTAGTAGCATCTAGTGATAAAGTAGGTGGTTTTATGATGTTATTTATACTTCCTTTAAAGCAAACAATTGTCAAAACTATTAAGATAAGGAAATAGATCAACCCCTAATCAGGCAATTTGGTTCTAAGAGTGTTCCTCATGCCTCTGTATGTTTCAGGATAGTTTGGGCCAACATCTTCATGTGAATTGTGCACCTTCTCAGAAGTGGCCTAACAATGGAAAGTCTCATTCTCTGCAGTTTTCTTGTCGGTGCTACCCAAGAGTAAGGCTAAAGGGAAAGTGGGTGCATTAATTTGTGGTCAGTTCAGGGGAATGTAGAGCCCAGTGAGCACAGCAAGTCCCAGCTTCTCTGCCTCACAGTCGTATGGCTTAGGTAAGCCAGATCATCTCTCTGCATCTTAGTTTGTTCAACCAATAATGGGTTGTATCAGGGAGGAAATGGTCTTTGGGTAGTTGAAAAATTCAACATATGTTTATTGAGCATCTAATGAGTAGCAGGCATCTTGGTAGGTGCCAGAGAGCCCACATCAGAATCCATAGTCATAGTATTCCATTTGGTCAGGGTGAAAACATAGCAGAGGACCTCTACTTTTCTGGAAAAGCTGCTGAAAGAATAAGAGTGAAGGGCTGAGAAGGAGTTACAGCCAGAAAAAATGTTTCCCTTTGAGGTAACAATTTTTCTGTCTGTCTGATAACCTTTGTAGTAGGATCATTCTTTATCCTTTAGTAACTTCAGCAGAAATAATCACGGTATTTATTTTTTCCTTCTTTCTTGAAATTTAGTAGATAATTTAATTCTGCACACATAAATCTCATTTTCCTTTTTTATTTTCAGAAAATTTCTTCCTCTATTTTACCTTTGAATTATCTACTCATTCTTTTCTTCTTTGGAAATGCTAGTTATACATTTGTTGGATCTCCTTAATTTGTCTTCTATATCGCTTATTCTTGTTCCTTATGTCGGTGAGCTTTCCATCACTACAACAAAATATCTGAGATTATTAACTTATAAAAGGAAAAGATTTGTTTTATGTTCTAGTTTTAGTTCAAGATTAGGCCTCTGGTGGGCATGCTGGATGGCAATGATGGAACGTGGTGGAGCAACCTGCTCATCTCATTGCTACGAGCAAAAGAGGTCAGGGCCAGGGTCTCATGATCCCTGTAGGGGACACACCCCAAAAAGAGATCTCTCCTAAATATTCCACTGTATCCCAATGGCTCCACCTTGGAAATGAAACATTTCACTAATGGACCTTTGGGGATCATCCAACATCTAAACTATAGCACCCTCTCTTCTCCATGTTTTCCCTTTCAGCAACACTTTATGTAAATTTTTTTCCCCCATACTGGGGATTGAACCCCAGACCTCACACATGCTAGGCAAGTGCTCTACCACTAAACTACATCCCCAGCCCTTTTTATTTTATTTTGAGCAGGGTCTCACTTAGTTGCCTGGGCCGGCCTTGAAATTCTGATCCTCCTGCCTTATCCTCCTGAGTAGCTAGGATTACAGGTGAGCACTACCATATCTGGTGCTTTTTTTTTTTTTTTTAAGGGGAGTAAAACCAGGGCCTTGCACATACTAGGTAAGTGTTCTACTACTGAGCCATATCCACAGCCCCACCTCCTTATTATTTCTAGTACTGGGGATTGAACCCAAGGGCACCTTACCACTGATCTATGTTCCCAGTCCTTTTCATTTTGAGACAAGGTTTTGCTAAATTGCTGAGTCTGGCCTCAAAGTTGAGATCCTCCTGCCTCTACCTTCTAAGTAGATGGGATTACAGGTAATTGCCACTATGCCCCTGCTAGGTTTTATTGTATATATTCTTTGAGTCACTCCCTTAGTACTGTGAGGATGTAGCTTAGTGGTAAAGAAATGAGGTTCAATCCCAAATATCAAAATAAAAGAGTGAACCAGGCATAGTGGGATTATAGCCATTATAGGATTATAATCCCAGTGACTTGGAAAACTGAGGCGGGAGGATTGTGTTCAAAGCCAGCCTTAGCAAAAGCAAGGTGCTAAGCAACTCAGTGAGACCCTGTCTCTAAATAAAATACAAAATAGGGCTGGGGATGTGGCTTAGTGGTCGAGTGTCCCCCAGTTCAATCCCTTTTACCAATAATAATAATAATAAGCATAGGGCTGAGGTTCAGATGTAGAGCACTTGCCTGGCATGGTGAAGCCCTGGTTTTGATCATCAGCACCACAAAAAAAAAAAAAGTAAAAGATATACATGCTATAATTGCTAGGATAACTACTAGAATGAAATCAGAATATAATTTCAAAAGGAAACGAGTGAAAGAAATAGGACAATTGAAGATGATGTCAACCCAAAAGAAGAATAGAGAAAAGGAAAATATAAAACACATAGGAAAATAAGGCGACAAGCTTAAATTCAAATATGTCCATATATACACTAAATAGAAAAATAAAAACAGAGCAACCTGCTGAAAAGGGACCTCCCCCTTCCCCTCTTCCTTTCTGCTTTAGACCAGGACCTCCTGTACCACTAGTGACCACAAGGAGGCCAAGGGACTCTCGTGCCAGCCTTCATAGCAGCTGAAAGCTGAAACAATTTGGTAATTTGTAAAACACCACAGACCTCAGGCAGGATGCAGATGCTCCAGAATATCAATGTCATAGTTACAAAGGTCCATAGAGATCCTGACGGGCGCAGTGAGGTCAAGGTTGTAGAGGGTCCTAGAGGAAACACAGTCATTCCCAAAGGGCAGAGAGCATAGAGGAGATTCTAAAAGGAAACCCTCGTGCAGAGCCCACCTTTATGTCCAGCATCTATCTAGCCTGCATACTCTGAAAAGAAATTAAAAACAGCTCGGACTGACATAAAGACCCTGAGAAAGAGACACAGAAAGAGAAAGATATGAAGAGTAAATTAGAAAAAAAAAAAAAAAAAAAAGGAAAACTGTAGCCAGTACAGGGGTAAAAGTCACACTGGAAACAGTAAAACCTAGCATCTCACTAAGTTGCCCAGGCTGGCCTGGAACTCATGGTTCTCCTGCCGCAGCCTCCTGAGTAAATGGAATTGCAGGTGTGTGCCATTGTGCCTGGGATGAAGAAGCACAGGACAAGGGCTGCAGGCAGAGGAGGGAGGGCATTCTTTGCTGTTTGGGTGAGCACTGGGACAGAGCTGGGCCTGCCTTTCCTTCAATACCCAAGCAAGTTTTGTTTTAGTTACCAGAGGGAATTTTCACAGTCAGAAGTATTGGGGAATTTTTTTAAGTTTTAAGTTAATCCTGTTAGAATATGTTTGATTCTTCATGAAGGTATATTTTTAATAAAAATTTATAGTTATATTAAATATGCACAAAGGGGCTGGGTTTGTAGCTTAGTGGTTGAGCGCTTGCCTTGCACATATGAGGCCCTGGTTTGATCCTCAGCACCACATTAAATAAATAAGAGATATTGTGTCCATCTACAACTTTTAAAAAAATGCACAAAAGTGCATAAATCATACGTGTTCAACTCACTACATTTCATAAAGTAGCCACCATGAAGATTTTTTTTTTTAATCAAGAAGGGACTGGAGACCCTATTTCAAAATAAAAAATAGAAAGAGCTAGGACTGTAGCTCAGTGGTGGAGTGCCCCTGCGTTCAATTCCTAGTATGGCAAAAGCAAAAAAGAGGGTGGACTGGAGATACAGCTTAGTGATTGAACATCAGTCTAGTGAGACCCTAATTCAATCCCAGAAGTGCACACATATGCACACAATTAGAAATAACATAGCAAATAGCCCAGAAGTCCCCCTTCTCAATCCTCACCTTCTCCAGAGTTCATTATTGTCTTGACTCCAGATTAGAGTAGATCTTTAAAAATAATCTGAGTTAAGGCTGGGGGTGTAGCTCAGTGGCACAATACATGCTTTACATGTACAAGGCACTGGACTCAATCCCCAGCACCAAAAAAAATTGAGTTTAATTTAGCCTGTTTTGTATGTTACATAAATTTAACCATGTAGTTTGTATTCTTTGTCTTGGAGAGTCTTCAATTATTGTGTGTCACTGTAGATGGCTCATTCTTATTGTTGTCTAATATTCCATTGTACATCCCATTCAATTACTTATTCAGATGATGATGCTTGGTTGTTTCCAGCTTTGGCTCTTAGAAGTATTGCTGTTATGAACATTGTCAATGTGTCCTTTGAAGCATATCTCTGTCTATTCTTCTGGTGGATACACATTGAGCAAGTGGTATATGTATGATCATAGACGCATGTTTGATTAGCCATAGTACGAGTTCATACTGCCAGTTTAGTTAGTAGACTAGCTTTATGATATTCTTTGAGTGCTCTTATAATTTCATATTTCCTTAATAATTAAGTGCGTGACAATATATCCTTGATGAGGTGAACAAGGCAGTTTATTATTGGGGAATAAAAACTAAGAGGCCATTTCTTTTTTCTTCCTACAAATGATGAGTAGATTGGGAGACCTGTCTGCCCGTCCTCCTGAGTTGATCACCTTGGAGCCATGTGCACAGAGCCTGTGGACCTAGTCGCTTTGGCTCTTGGTTCTGAAATGCCCCCTCTTAGGGGCACCTTGCTGGAGGTTGCCACCACCTCCCTGCCAGCCTCGGGGATATCTGCTCATGCCTTTAGCACAGCACCACTAAGCCAAGCTGATCATAGGCAAGATTTTACTGTAGAATCGGGAGCAGACTCGAGAGTGTTGGTCATAGTTTACCCTACGGGATATGCTTCCCTGCATTTCCTTTTGGATGGCCTCTGTCCATATCCCCTAGAGCCCTGCCGATGGGAATGTCTCCTCTGCAAGACAGCCCATTCTGGCCCATAGGTCTCTAAAGGACATCTCTGTGGTCCTGCCACCATTCATGATACCTACATAGGTGTTAATAGAGGGGAAGGTTCCATTTCATCAAGAAATGACACTGGATCTGCGAACTTAGTGGACCTCAATTCTAAATAGTTGCCTGGGGTGGGTTCTCCCAGGCAGCTCAGCAGTCCTTGTCTCACACAGAAATTAATAACAAAGTGTCAGTATGGGGTAGGGTGGTATTGGGTGTTGTGCAGAGCAGGCCAGACACAATCCCTTTTCTGCGTTGTTCCGTGGCAGGAAGGAAAAAGGGAAGGTGCCCTCGGGCAGCATGGGTGGGCTGTGAAGCTCCTCATGGCCTGAGCATCATTTGGATGGCATTGTCTTTGCGACCCAGATTTTTCATGAGGGCTTGTAGGTCCCATGCAGCCCCACCAGGTGTAACCCTTTTGGTCTCACTAAGAAAAGTAGCTTAGTTGCTCAGGGAAGAGGGTAGCAGTGGGGAAGGTATGAAATCAGGCATTTGAGTCTGTTAGGAGCACATTTTATACAGGCAACACTTACTGCATGTTTGTTCCTATGTCTTTTGTAACAAAAAGGTACCATGGTCACACAAAGTGGACAGTGAAGATGATGACAATATTTCTGAGCAAGATGGACTTCCAGGTTCCTTACCTCTTACACCACAGCATATACAACAAAAAGGTAGAGTAAATAAACAAACAAGCACTTTGATAATAAATATTGACCACCAGTTTTGGTGCCATTGCATTTCCATTCTGTGGGCCATGATCTTTTTCAACTAGGAATATATTTGTGATTTATTTTTACTGTACGTAAGTTATTCCACAGCCTATTGCCTGGATGTTAGGTGCTTTCTTTGGAGCCCCTGTTGTCTGTTTTGTGGGCAGAGTTTCAGTTCAGATGGTGACATCCCACATGCTCCTCTCCCTCTGCTCCCTGCAGTGAACAGGTGGAGCCACCTGTCCAGTTCTCCACACTATCCCAGGTCTGCAGTAGGACCTGGCTGCAGTGGGCCATCAGTGAAGGTTTGTTGGACACGTGAGTGTGTGGATGTGTTTCGGATACAATTCTGGAACTGTGCATCTACTTTCTTTATTTACTTATTGATTGATTGACGCAGTGAGAAAACTCAGTGCATTATAGCAAAGTTAAGGATGTTGTTCCCTAAGAGATGGAAGTGAGAAAGAACCTCGTATACAGTGAGCAACCAGTAACTGCTTTATCAAGTGGAATTGCTTGAGCTCTGAGACACTTTTAAATAAATCAGGTACCTGGTTGGAAAATAGAAGCCAACCTAGTAATACCTGAGCCAGAAAACTCCTGTTGGTTAATTGGCATATTTTAAAATATTAATATTAGTAAGTTTGGCTGAGAGCATAGCTCAGTGGTAGAGTGCATGAGACACTGGGTTCAACTTCCAGCACCTCCAGTTAATTAATTCATAAAAATTATTCAGGTAAAAGGTATGTCTTTTCTTGTTGTTGTTGTTAATAGAAGTAATATTTTTTCACTGTAAAATAAAAAACAAACCTAAAATACAGAAATGTGTAAAGGAATCATACATAATTGTCCCCCCACCCTAGATAATTATTTTCAACACTTTAGTGTGTATATGTACATGAAATACATACCATTTTGTCACCTGCCTTTGTTTATCTCACAACATACCCTGAGTGTCTTCCTATGCGCATGCATGTGGCTCTTTCCTCCCTGCATCACATCAGTCAGGATCCAATCAGGAGACAGAACTCACACAGCAATTTCTTTTTTTTTTTCTTTTTTTAAAATTATTTTTAGTTATACATAGAGGATACATAGAACATACATAGAATGTATTTTGACATATTATTTGACACATATTTGACATATGTGGAGTATAACTTCCCATTCTCCACACAATGATTTTAACAGGGAAAGATTAAAGAATGATTAATAGGATTGCCTACTAAGGGCAAAAGAGAATGTTCCAGAATGCAAGATTAACAAATAGAGGGAGCAGCCACTCTCTTTAGGGTTGATGCAGAGCATCTGAGGAAGAAGCCTCACTCAGAGCTAGGCCTTGTTGAAGAGGATGTATATGTCTGTGGCCTGCGACAAAAAACTTATTAAGATACTACTCTCTGAGATAGAACCACTCATAGAGTGGTGCTGCAGTTTGCTGGCCACCAAAAGAAAGAAAAAAGAAAAGAAATGCATTCCACTTTGATGTATAACTAATTAGAACAAATTAAAAAATCCAGCACCCTCCACTGATGGAGTTTAGCATGGCACCAGCTACAGGGTGGGGATATTACAGTGAAGGTGGATTTGGAGTTAAGAGGTGTGATAATCCACACCCTTGGAAACATGAATTTGGAGGACAGATGCTGGTCAAGAGGGATTGGGGCTCCTGCAGTGGTTCTTGGTTCTGTTGGGCATAATGCACCTTGGACACTTGTAGAAAAGCCCCACACCCTAAATTCTAATTCAGTGGCTCTGGATCAGGCCCAGAGGTCTATATTTTCAATAAACAACTTGGGGAGGATGAGGTGAGTGATCTGTGGACAGTGGATTAGGAACTCTGACTTTTATTCATTTGGTTCTTTGTTGTTGTTGTTGTTGTTGTTTGTTTTGTTTTTTGGGGGTTTTGGGGGGTTTCTAGGGATTGAACCCAGGGTTTCACACAAGCACTCTACCACTGAGCTACTCCTCCCAGCCGCATGGTTTGGTCCTTGACTGGTATGTCCAGGTGACAAGAGGCTTAACAGTTACCTAACCCCTCTTCTACTCAGTCTGAGAGTGTTTCTCATAGATTACTATGAAGATAAGTTAAATCACACATGTGTAAAGCCCTGCACCTTCCATCAGTGCTAATGATGAGTATTGTTTAAAGCTTTGCTGGTCTGGTGACTTACTCTCACTCTAGGGAGACTCCTGTGGGGAAGACCAGAGACTGAAGTCATTTGGTCAAGGCATCAGGTCTCTTGGTCAGAGCTGCCAAAGCCTTGCCCATGGATATCATTCCTAGGTTCTTTGTGGACTCTCTCTTTGACCTCCATAATTCCCTCCTGCTGGTGCTTTCTCTTTCTCCTCTTTAACATCCGATTTGTCGGATGATACCTCTCTCCACATATCTACCTCTCCTTATCTGACAAGCCACCCCAGTTGGCTTCTCCCTTCATTACTCCACCAAGCCAGAGACCTCCATGTTGTTAAATGTAACAGATGATTTTCTAGATTGAGCTTATGTGATTTTTTTTTTTTTTTTTAATACTGGGGATTAAACTCAGGGACACTGGACCACTGAGCCACATCCCCAGCCCTATTTTGTATTTTATTTAGAGATAGGGTCTCACTGAGTTGCTTAGTGCCTCTCTTTTGTTGAGGCTGGCTTTGAACCTGCTATCCCCCTGCCTCAGCTTTCTGTGCCACTGTACTCAACATCTGACGTGACTTCTTAGGAGCAATCCATGTGGTTCCTTGTACTGTCTTCAAATACACATCTCCCTGGCCTCAGTAACATCTCACCTTCCTTGTGTCTTGCTTCCTGGGGGGATCCCTTTGCAGGCTCACCTTTCTTTCCTGCCCCTTAGATGTTGACATTCTCCAATCTAGGCCCTTTTCTCTATGCTTCTAAGCTCTTGCACCCTCCTTCCCTGCTTCAAATGCTATTTGTGCTGGGTTCTTCTCCCTGCTTCATGTCACCATTGCTACAATTTGATTCTGTTGGTTTATCCACTCAGGCAGCAGATACATGTGTACCTATGGAGTTTCCACCATGTTTTGGCACCACTGTAGCAGCCAGCACAGTCTTCTCAAAACATGAACCTGATAATGGCCTCATGCATCCCACACCCTTTTGACTTAGATCTTTTCCATGGTTCCTTATACCTGGCACTCTGGTGTTCATTTGTTTCCTCAGCTTCATGATGTCCCTTCTGCATTGGAACTTTGTACATGGCATTTGCCTTCCCACCATCTTAGGTGTCCCTTAGGTGTAAATGTGTGAAAGGGGGTAGCAGGTGGGTTGTGCGCCTGACATTTCTACATTCACATAGATTGGAAAGAAAATATGCTAACCTGATAACTATGGTTAAGTCTAGGAAGGAGAAGACTCAGGAGATTATGGTCATAGAAGAGTTTTGACTTTTCTGTATCAGAATTTTTTGACAGCAAGAATGTATTCATGTAGTATGAACTTTCTAGAAAGATTGGGGTAGTATCCAGCATGACATCTTGGATATAGTGAGATACCCAATATAAAAGTTCTTGTTATTTTAATTGTATCTACCCCTTGCCCATACAGATAAGAAAAATGAGAAGGGCAAAGATTGGAAATCTTTTTGAGAAATGTTAAATAAGAAAATAGGAAATAAAATATATACAGAGAACCAAGTGAAGCACACATACATTAAATACCAGAGTGAACTTGGGGTGATGTCAATTGTGAATTTAATCGTCATTAGATTCTTTTTCTGAAAAGTTTATGACCAAGATGAAATAGAGATCATTATTTTCTTTGGAGAAATAAGTGACTTGCTTTTTAAAATCTTTTATTATGATAATTTTGAACATGTACAATAGTAGAATATAAAGTGAACTCCCACCACCCCATCACCCAGTTTCTACAAACTGTCAGCATTTTACCATTCCTCATTTAATTCCTCAACTTTATTATGTGGATATTGTGAGTGGAAGGGGGGGACTGGGGATTGAACTCGGTGGCTCTGCCACACAGATACGTTCCCAGTACCACTGCCCTCTGCCCTTTTAAATTTTGAGACAGTCTTACTAAGTTGCCCTGGCTGCCTTGAACTTGTGATCATCCTGTCTTCGTCTTCAAGTTGCTGAGATATCAGGTGTGTGCCACTGCACCTGGTTATTTTGTGAAGAATTCAAGGGGGATACAGAAGACTTCATTAAATATGAGTGCATCATACTGTGGCATCGTAGGATACCAAATTAAGATTAATTTAAAAGTGTTATTAAAAATGTAAATTTGACTGAGGGTGTAGCACTTGCCTAGCATGCATGAAGCCCTGGATTCCATACCCAGCTCTAAAACAAAACAAAAGGGAAATATTTTTCTTGTGTCACTTTAAATATTTTCCTCATCAGAAATGTATTCATGTCGGGCTGGGGATGTGGCTCAAGTGGTAGCATGCTTGCCTGGCCCTGGTTTGATCCTCAGCACCACATACAAACAAAGATGTTGTGTCCGCCGAAAACTAAAAAATAAATATTAAAAACTCTCTCTCTCTTAAGAAAAAAAAGAAAAAGAAAAAAGAAAGAAATGTATTCATGTGACAGAGAAGACAGAGCCACTTGTCCTTCCCTCACATTCCAGTTGTGGAGGAGGGCATATAGATGGTAGACTGCGGTCTAAGGTGCTGAGGGGAATAGCGGGAGGCACTGAGAACAGGGGCGTGGTTAACATAGCTGACAGTTAGAGAAGGTTGCCAGAGAGGAGGACTCAAGGACAGGCTGGGGATCTCCAGGTGATGAATGGAGATTTATAGCCATTGGCATTTATAGCCATTTCACAAAGGCTGCCCCATAACACTTCACCAAAATCAGTTTGTTTAGAAACCATAGTTAAGGATGACTTTTTGGTCAAAATATGTTCATCAGCCAAGTGTGGTGTACATACTTATAATCCCAGCAGTTTGGGAGGCTGAGGCAGGAGGATTGCAAGTTTGAGGCCAGCCTCAGCAACTAAGCAAGGCAGTGAGACCCTCAAAATAAAAAAATAAAAGGAACTGGGGATATGGCTCAGTGGTTAAGTGCCATTTTGTTCAGGTTCAATTTATGGTACCAAATAATAAGTTTTTTTAAAAATATTTTTTAGTTCTAAATGGATCTTTTATTTCATTTATTTATTTATATGCGGTGCTGAGATTCAAACCCAGCGCCTCAAACATGCCAGGCAAGTGCTCTACCACTGAGCCACAACTCCAGCCCCAATATAATAAGGTTTTTACAGATAAGTTGATAATTCAGATGACCCGGGAAATAGATTTAGAATCTTGCATGCATCTTTTTTTTTTTTTTTTTTTTTTTAATATTTATTTATTTATTTTAGTTTTCGGCGGACACAACATCTTTGTTTGTATGTGGTGCTGAGGATCGAACCTGGGCCGCACGCATGCCAGGCGAGCACGCTACCGCTTGAGCCACATCCCCAGCCCCCTCTTGCATGCATCTTTAAGCATGTTTATCAGCTTTCTGAATTCTGTGGGGTTTTTTTTTTTTTTCTATTTTTTTGCAAATTTGTTTCTGTTCATTTTTAGCCAGTTATTTATACTCTGCAAACCCATAGTAGAAAGTTCTAAGCAACCAGATGTCCAACTTATAACTCTAGCAAAGTATACAGGCAAATTCATCCTCTTCCTGGGGTACCCGAATGACTAATGTGTGGAAGATGAGGACTCGGGCAGGATTTGTTTTCGTATGTATCACTGAGGCAGTTCACTTCAAGGAACAACTGTTTTTCTGATCCAATCCAATGCTAGTTGGCTGGGTAGGCAGAGAGAAGTCAAGCCTTGTTCTACATGGTCCACTTGGAGAACAGCAGAAGGAATTTGAGGAGCCCAGCTTGGGACATTGAGAGATTTGGCCTCTGTTCTGCAATTATGTGAGCTACCACAAGGGCTCAGGTTTGAGCCTGATAGAGAGATGAGTGAGTAAAAGTCAGACTCCCTGCCCTGCCCAGGGACCTAACTGCCAGTGGCCTTGCAAAATCTGTCTCTGCCAGGGGCTCATCTGCAGGAAACAAGTTTTTATGATTATACTCTTCTATGTTGTCAAATCTTTTATCTACCTTATTTTTTTTCTTTTTTTATCAGATAGTAAACACTCTGTTCTGAATTTAAAGGTAAGCTTATTTTTTTAAATTCATATTCTCAATAAATAGAATTTATACTATAACTTTTAAATACTCTTGGGAAAAAAAATCTTCCCATCAGATTTTTTTCCTATTGAATGTTTCTTAAGTACATTTAAAACATGGAGGAATTTCATGCTTTCCATAGTTTGGTAATGAAAATAATGTATTGAAAAGTTAAAAATTGCACAATTGTAGAATAATAGACAACCTTAATTGCCAACATGAAAGTAGTTCTTGCTTAAGTTTTCAGTTGTGCGATGTCATAGGAATTTAAAAATTAAACATTTCTCAGTAGAGTTAATTAATAACCTTATCTACTTTTTCAGCAGAAATTAGAAACTTAATATCACACTGATACACAATGGAGAAATTTAACAGAATTTTAAAGCCTTCTTTTTCCTCTGAGATTTGGATTGAGAAGCAAGAATGTATTATATTCTTTTTTCAGCATTTGAAAACATGCTTTGCTCCAATTAATAGGGTTCTTTTTTCATTTCTAGTGAGAAAAGTTTCTGTTTTTATATTTCTGTGTGGCATTTATAGCCATTTCACAAACTAGCTTGGCGTAGTGGTGCACACCTGTAATCCCAGTGGCTTGGAGCTGAGGCAGGCGTTCAAAGCCATCCCGAAAGTTCAAAGCCAGACTCAGCAGTTTAGCAAGGCCTTAAGCAATTCAGCAAGACCCTGAAAAGGGCTGGGTATGTGACTCAGTGGTTAAATGCCCCTGGATTAAGTCACTGGTACCCAAAAAAATAAATAAATAAATAAAAAGGAGCTTGGTATGTGGCTTGGTTAAGTGCCCCTGGGTTCAATCCCCAGTACCTGCCCCCCCCCCCAAAAAAAAAAAAAAAAAGAAAGAAAGAAAGGTTCTGAACTGATGTCCTGTCATTCATGGGACCAACATAGAAAAAAACAGTCTCTGAATTCACAGGCAAGACAGAAGAGAGTTCAGACAGGACCTGCTTCTCTGCCTTAGAGGTCCTACCAGGAGGGAACACCCCTTAAGGTTTAGTTACAAGAAATAGTGGCAATTAAAGTTTTGTTTTGTTTTGTTTTGTTTGGTATCAAGGATTGAACCCAGGGGTGCTTAACCTCTGAGCCACATCCCCAACTCTTTTTATTTCATTTTGAGACAGGGTCTCACTAAGTTGCTAAGGTTGCCCTCAAACTTGCAGTCCTCCTGCCTCAGTGTCCCCAGTTGCTGGGATTACAGGTGTGCACCACCACACCCAGCTTAGTCCACTTTTAGAAGGTGCTGGGACTCTGTACTCACATTCTCCTGTTTTTTCCTTAGGATGAAAAAACACCATTATGTGAAAAACCTCCTCCTTCCCCAGGTATTTGCCTTTTGTTGTTCATTATGATTGAAAACCTTAGTTTTAGAGAATACCCAGAATAGTCTCATCTGAACATAAAATTCACCTTCATTTTCTTATAAAGGCTCTTTGTTTCTGCCCAGTGTTATTGGACTTGAGAAGAGGTGTTTAATTGTTGAACTCTGCCTTTGTCTTCAAAAAGGTCCAAATACTGGGTGGTGGGTATATGTCCACGTGGGATGTGCTGAGGTCCGGATATGTAAATGGGTGCTGTGCTCAGAGATTGATGTTTTGTGGGATATACCCCCTGTACAGTTTGGGGAGTCTTAGTAGCTTTCAAAGTGGATTTTGTAATTTGGGGAGGTTATGTCTCACATCACTAATCTGAAAAACCCTATTCTAATCTGTCCTTCATATCTGACTGTGTTTTCACCCTCCCTGTTGCGGTGTTTTTGGCTTCACAGGCCAATTCCCCATTCTAAGAACCTTGCTGTTCAGCTTTTGAATTTGTTATTAATCAGAATCCTTCACAGTTCTAGCCTCAGGCCGCATTTACTGCCTGAGATAGAATGAGCATTCCAGCGAGCTGAGCAGGAGAGGTTGGCTTTCTAGACCAAGGAGGGCCGAAGAAAGCAGGAACAAGGAGAAATGGATTAGTCACTTCAAAGTGACTTTCTTTGTAACATGGGCACTGGGACAGAACAACAGGAAAATGACCAAGTTTGAGAAATTTGGTTGTAGTTTCTCTGTCCTGAGGTTAGATAACTTAGTTGATTTTTTTGTTTGTTTTTGGTGATGCTGGGGATAGAACCCCAGAGCCTTACGCAGGAGAGGTGAGTGCTCTACCGTTGAGCCACATCCACAGCCCTAGATAACTTAGTTGAAACAAACAGTTCAATGACTTGGGGCTTTAATATGAGTGACTCCATTGTAATTTTTAGTCTGGTTTGTTGGGGCCTCGAACAGCACCTTATTCCAAATCAATGGCTCCATGGCTTTTATTTAATATGTTCACCCTTGATTTTCCACCCACTCCACTGCCCACACCCAGTCAGCCATTGAGCTGTGTCAAGTTTTAGCCTCTGAAGCCTACTTTCACTTATCTCTTCCCCAATTTTAAAGTGTTTTTTTCCCTCTACCTTTTCAGATGTAACTGGTAGAGCGCGTCAAAGATGTGTAGAAATAACCAAAGAAAAGTTTGAGGAATTAAAAGAAGAAAATTTGCACCTAAACAATAAAAATCAAAGCCTTACCGTTGAGCTATGTGCAATAAAACAAGCAATGAAAGAATTACAGTTAAAACTAAAGAGAATGGAAAAAGACAATGAAAGGCAGAAAGAGGCTGAGAAAGCATCCTCTCAGGAAGGTTGGGACAAGTACACTTCATTCATTTTAATCTCTATTTTGACAGTTAATGTTTCATATTGTATATTTGTTGATACTTATGTGGATAACTTATGTTGTCATATTTAATAGTCCTTCATTACTATCTTTATGCTTATTGAAATTTGGTTTCATCTGCCATGTGGTTTTTTCATTGTTATGCTCAAGAAATTTCAATACTTTTGGAACTTGATGCTTTATTAGACCCAGTATCTTATGTGTACATGTATTTTTATCATTTTTTGTCTTCATGTGCAACATATAAAAGTGCCTTTTTAACCACATACTTACCAGTGATGAAGAGTATACTTCCTTGCTAATTAGATAATCAAAAATAAAAAATATCGTTTAAATTTGTATTTCTTTTATTATTGATGACCTTCAGTGTATTTTTTTTCCACATCTTTGGAGGCCATTTTTTTTCTCTTTCAGAAATTTGCTGACTTCAAATTGAAATAGTTTTCTTTTTCTTATTTGTAGGCATCTTTACATATTAAGTCATTTGTCATGTATATACTATTTTCTTAGTTTTTGATAATTCAACTTTATCTTGAGGGTGATTTCCTTTTATGACCTTATTCCCTAGATGTCAAGTGGTTTTTCTAAGTTTATATAAATATTCACTGATATTTTCTGTTTACATTTTTCTATTCATATAATAATAATATTATGGCCTTAAGTAAACGATAAGTTTTCTTTTTACAGAATATTTCTTAGGAGCATTTATTTCTGATCTTTATGTAATTTGTAATTCCATTTATGTTTATTATATATTTATGTCATTTGCAATGTTACTTTGTGGAATCTATTTTCTATTATGTTTTCTAATAGACATTGCATTTATGTGGGAAGGTTATTCTAACAAATTTTCTGTTTATATTATCTGGAAAAATGGCTGTTTCTTTCCAACTTAAATTTTTTTATTTTGCCTTATTGTACATGCAACAATTTCCAGAACAATATTGACTATCCAGTATTAAAAAGTGTTGTAACTACTATTCATTTATTTTATATAAATCTATATGTATATATATAATTTATTTCCTCTGTAAGCTTAAAAGGGAACAAGAGGCAAAAGATTAGTAATTTATATAAAATTCTGATAAGTTTAGTATAATTTATAGCATGATATTAAATTGATTTTTTTTTTTTTCAGGAGTTACTGCACCTGAATTACTTTATCTAAGGAAACAAGCTCAAGAACTGGTAGATGAAAATCATGGGTTGAAAATGACTGTTCATCGTTTGAATGTAGAGCTGAGTCGTTATCAAACAAAATTCAGACATTTGTCCAAGGAAGAGGTAATGTTTCTACTTAGAAAAATCAAACTTTTTTAAGCCTTTAATATTAAATTGATTTCCAATTCTGAGGGGTTTTTATGTACTATAATTTAATGTAAAAAAGATGCATCCAACCTGACACAGTGGTGCATGCCTGTAATCCCAGTGATTTGGGAGGTTGAGGCAGGAGGATCTCAAGTTTGAGGCTAGCCTCAGCAACTTAGCAAGGCCTTAAGCAACTTAACAAGACCCTGTCTCAAAATAAAAAATAAGGGGGGGGGGGGCATGAGAAAAATGGAGGAACTTTTATTGAGCAAAGGGTAGGGAGGGGAAGGATGGTGGTATGGAGGCAGGAAAGATGGTGGAATGAGATGGACATCATTTCCCTAGGTACATGTATGATTGCACATATGATGCAACACTACCTCATATATAACCAGAGAAATGAAAAATTGTGCTACGATTGTGTACAATGAATCAAAATGCATATTGCTATCATATATACCTAATTAAAATAAATTAATTAATAAAAAATAAAAAGAGCTGGGGATGTGGCTCAGTGGTAAAAAGATATGCCAAAGCACAGTCTTTCTTAAGAGCATTCTATTTCCTTTCTTCTTTCCCTTTAATATAGGTGATAAAGACCTTGGGGAGACATTGATACAGTATAGAAGTACATAAAGTAAAAGACTGAGCCCATCTCAGTTGCTCCATTTGATTTCTGTTACAGCTGCTATTTGCCAATATACAAACTGAAAAAAAAAAAGAAGTAGATGTTTATTGATAAGAGTGGTTGCAGAATTAAGTTCTACAGACTCTTACTAAGCAAGCTACATATTAGATGTTGTGAAGAATATAAGATAAGAGCAGGTCTGGGCCCCTGCTCTTAGAGAATGGGAGGTGCACAGCTGATTGATTGGCTCTTGCTGGGGTCAAGGAAGGGAAAGCCATAGGCACACAGCATTATTATGTGGCTTCTGGGAGTTTAGGGCCTGTTGTTTTTGGTTTTGGTTTTTTTTTGTTGTTGTTGTTTGTTTGTTTTGGGGTTTTTTGTTTGTTTGTTTGTTTTGGTACCAGATATTGAACCCTGGGGCACTTAACCACCAAGCCACATCCCAGCCCTTTGTTTTTTTATTTAGAGACAGGGTCTTGCTAATTGCTTAAGACCCTTGCTAAATTGCTGAGACTGGCTTTGAACTTGTAGTCCTCCTGCCTCAGCCTCCCAAGCTGCTGGGATTACAGGTATGCACCACCTCGCCCAGCAGGCCTGTGGGTTTCTGAGTTTTTTTCTTTTCTTTTTTCTCTTTTCTTTTTCTTTGTGTGTGTGGCGGGGGGTATGTATGTGTGTTAGGGATTGAACCCAGGACCCTGTGCATGCCAAATGCTCTACCACTGAGCTTCACCCCTAGCCCCTGAGTTTCTTTTTGAAGAGGGACTCAAGTTTGATTTTTTAAAAATAATAGCTTAGACAACAGGCTAAATCTCCCCTATATGAAATGCTTGAGACCAGAAGTCTTTCAACTTTTGAAGTTTAGGGATTTTAGAATATTTACGTAAACTTTACCTATTGAGCTTCTCTAATTGGAATTTTTTAATAAGTTCAGATTTTGGAGCATTTTGGAGTTTGGATTGTCCAATTAGGAATGCTCAACTGGTATAATTCACATGCCATTCATTTCACCCTCTTGGAATGTACAGTTGAAAGAGTTTTACTGTGTCCACCAACTTAGGCAACCATCACCACAGTGAATTTTAGAATTTTTTTATCCCATGACGAAATTTCATACCCATTAATGGTCACATTTACTTTCTATCTCTATGGATTTGCCTATTTTGAACATATCATATATATGTAGAACCATACAATGCATGGTCTTTTTTGACTGACTTATTATACTTAGCCTGATACTAATTATCTTTTTTTTTTTTTTTTCTGTTTTGGTGCTGGAGCCTGAACTCAGGGCCTCATGCAGGCTAGGCAAGCACTGTAGCTCTGAGTTACACCCCCAGCCCCAATATTAACTTTTAACAACAAAATAAAGCTTCAGGGTCACATACTCCAAACTGTGTTGCCTAGATTGGGTCCTTCTTCAGGGTTATGGGTGAGGCAGGGCAAGCAGGCCCATTGATAACCCTCTGGACACCCCCACCCTCCCTTGACTCCCCTGCACACCCTTTTTCTACCCTGTGCAAATGCCATATTTTTTTGTGATCACTCTAGCCAGAAGTAATGACCTCTCTTTAAATCATAATAGACTGCCACTGAGCTACATCTACAGACCATTTGTCTACCTACCTACCTATCTACCTGTCTACTACCTACTTGCCTACCTACCATTCTAGCCATCTATTTTTGTGGTATTGGTATTGAACCCAGGAGTGCTCTACCACTGAGCTATATCCCCTGCCATTTTTTATTTTTTTATTTTGAGACAGGGTCTCACTAAGTTGCCCAGGCTAGCCTGAAACTTGTGATTCTCCTGCCTCAGCCTCCAAAGTTGCTGGAATTATACACATGTATGATGGTGCCTGACTACACTGCACAATGACAATAAAAAAGTCATTTGTATTAAAAGACTTATCTCTGTTATTAGACATAAAATCCTTGAAAACTAGGATTATGTTGTAATGTCCATAATGACTTCACAAGTTCACAATGTTCATGGAATGAATGAGTGATGAGATAGATGATTAAGATGAATACGTGGGAAACTTTTTTATTAAATAAGGAATAGCTCTATTGGGATACCTGCTTCTGTGCCAGGCTTTCTCTCTTGTGTAAACAGAGTTTGGGGAAGTCGAGGAGACTAGAATTTTCAGGGCAGGAATACCAGAAAGGAGGGAGCTCCGTAGATAAAGAAATGCATAAATCTGCATGGAATTCCTTGTGTCTTTTGTTAAATACTAGTATGCACACATGTAGGATGGAGCCCCGTTAGACCGGCAGAAAACAAGTACAGGAATCTGTGAATTGAATAGTTCCCAGAGCTCACATAGCACAAGGAGATCTTTGACTTCTGATCGCCATAATGGAGAGACCTTGTTGAATGCTATGACATTGAGCACAGAGCCCAGAAGGGCCATGCTTTAGGAGTGTGGCTAAACTAGCCTTTCGATAAGGGTTATTACAGACCCCACCAGATTATTTTCACCACACTAGGATGAAAAACAAGCCTGAAAGGAACAAGCTGATCCATAAGATCAGTGCCTGTTTAAAACAAACAAACACACACACACTCAAAAAAAAAAAAAAAAAGAGAGAGAGAGAGAATAACCAAAAATCATTAAAGAAAGACAACAAAATCCAGACACCATGTAACATTCACAAAGTCTAGCATCCTAATAAAAAATTACTTACGTTTCAGATAGTATTGTTTCAGATAATATTGCATCAGTGTTGATTTTCTGATTTTCAGTATAGTACTGTGGTTAGGTAAATGAATGTTTTTGGTTTTAGGAAATATGCACTGAAATATTTAGAGGAAAGAGGGCATTACTCTCAAACATTGCAGAAAAGTTTTTCTCCTTTATACATTCATGCAAACATAGGGGTGAATGATGCTGGTCTAAATTAACAATGTAGAAGACTTAGAATTTCAGAGGAAGTATATTTTATTTTGTCTTCAATATGTGTTTTATTCTTAGAGCTTACATACTGAAGGCCTCCCATCAAAAGGCCCTATACCACCCTGGCTGGTAAGTAAAAGTTATTTAATTTCAGGCCAATATTGTCTGGGCTGTGTTTGCATACCTATTACAATCTATTCCAATATAAGTATGTCTTCTTGCCTTTTTAAAATTTTGCCAGTTGTGTTTAGATGTAAGAAATATATTAACCACCTCTTACTCCATTGTCTTCAGTTGGATATAAAGTGCCTTTCACCGTTGTTGCTAGCTTATGAAGATAGAATGAAAGAGAAGGATGAGCTTAATGCCACCCTCGAGGTAGGTTGGCAGATGTCTCAAAAGATTGATTTATAAAAATAAGACTGGTTTCCAATTTTGCAGGAACATTCTGAAGGTAAGTAAGCATGCCCAACATGTGGTAGGTACTCAGTTTGTTAAAAGAAGGAAAGGGGGAAGAAAGGAAGGAGTATGGAAGTGGGAGAAGGAGGGAAAGAGGAAGAGAGGCAAGGAGGAGAGAGGGAAAATGGAAGAGAGTGATTGGCCGAGCAGGGGGGTGGGCATGGGGGGAGAGGTATGGAGGGGCAGGAGGTGCTGCACTGGAAACCATGGTTATAGCCTGGGCAACCCCACGTGGACTAGGACCTTGGGTGCAGAGAACTCAGCAGTAGGGAGACACTTCTCTTATGGGACTTTGCAGCTGCAAATACCACAATTTGAAGAGACCTCTGGGCAGGAAAGGAAAGTAATAGGCCAGGGCCATGATAGGCAAACTTCAATGCTTATTAATTCCAAGAAGAACTGACCCCAGGGAAGTCAAGTAATTGAGCTGTTGAAGTGGTTAGGAAGTGAGGTTTTCTTAATTTGTGCTTTGTGGAAATGGCTTCTGGAAGCAAAGCTCCTTCTAATTGTGCAGGAAAACAAGCACAGGCGTTACTTATGCCTCCTATACCTCTGGGTTCTTCAATTAAGTGGCCAAATAGATCTCTAGAATTGGAATTGGAAGAATCCAGAGAGAGAAGCGTTGGTTTTTATGGAATCCTGAGGAAGAAGGGTTCTTTAAGAGTCACCCAGCCTGCTCTTCACTTGTGCTGTTCCATGTACGTGTCCTGGGAAATGCAATTTTGAATCTTTTCATCTAGACTTAGTATTGGACACTTAGTTTTTTAAAAGCATGAATTAATTTAGTACTAATTGATCAAAAATCAATCCTGATAATAAAATTGCTATTTTTACACTCTTTCTAAATCAGGATCAGCCCACTTTTTCTGTAAAGGGCCAGTTAATAAATATTTCAGGTTTTGTGGTTCGTACAGTTTCTGTTTGCAGCTATTCAACTCTGCTATTGTAGCATGAAAGCAACTGTAGACAACATGTAAACACTGGGTGGGTCTACAGTGCATTAAAACATCAGGTGAATGGACTGCCCACTGTAGTTTGCCTGACTCGGTTCAAAAGAGAGCCAGGTGGGCTGGCAGCTATTGGAGAGTAACTGGGTAGAAGAGGAGAGGAAGCAACTTGGCAATGCTGCTGAGACAAACAGGTGTAAGCATAAATATCTAATAGTTAGGAGAAGAATATTGCAAAGCACCCCAGAGTAAATGTTGGCACCCAAGATTCTTATAAAGGATAGTGCAGGACACTGAAGCCAGACATATACTGGCCAAGAAAAGCCATGGTGGAGAAGGAGGCCCTGGTGAAGTGCCATAAACATCATTAGGAGCCTAAAGCTGAGACTGAACCACAGATCTGGATTCAGAGTTATAGGGACTGATGCCTTTTAATAAAGAGGCTTTCTCATGCTTGCTCTGAGCAAGATTAAGAGCCTCCAGCCCCCATACCAACTGACCAATTCCCCATGCAAATGGGCATTCATTAAGTTCTTATGTTTTACATAAAACCCTCCTATTTATCCTCTAGAGTCTCTAAGGAAAGAAAAAAACTGCAGTATTTATGGGCATCTTGGCTTTTTTTTTTTTCTATTGCCCTTTTAAATTCTTTAAATATTTTGCAATTATAGAAAAATGTTTTCACATCAGGAGTTGGATATTTAAAAAGCCAGGTTCTTTGTCCCTGTGCTCCATGACTTTGCAGTTGCCTGGTGCGTTATCTCACTAGACTTTTAGCTCTCTGAGGGCACATGGCACTGGGACGCAGAGTTTAAGGCTGGTGCTGGGGTAAGGCTTTGCCAAATGGCTATGACAGTGGATTGTAGGCACAGCAACAGCACTAGAGCCAAGAAAGAGAAGTGCACGTGGATGTGGATGTTACAGTTTACATAAATTTTATTTCAGGAGGAAATGAGAATGTTTAGGATGCGAGTCCAAGAAGTGGTGAAAGAGAATGAAGAATTGCACCAAGAGTTAAATAAGAGTAGACCTGTTACCAGTGATGAATGGCAAGTGATGGTATTTCTAGTATTTTGCTAATTTAAAATGCAAGAGAATAGAAATAAATTTTATGAAATCATCAAGTGCATTAATATATTTTCTTTTTAACAAATATATTTTAAGGGAGTTTCTTAGAAATTAAGGCACTATAAAATCATAGTAAATTATTCTAAAATGGTATTTTTCTTTCTTTTTTTGGTACTGAGGATTGAACATAGGGACACTACCACTAGGCTATATCCCCAACCTTTTTTAAAATTTTAAGACAGGGTTTTTCTAAATTGCTGAGGCTGACCTTGAATTTGTAGTCTTCCTACCTCAGCCTCCTAAATTGCTGGGATTACGGGCGTGTACCACCCTTCCAGCTTCTGTTTTTATTTTCTGAGGTGGTATTTCTCAACTCCTCTGGTCACTTCCAGGACTTTGGAATATAAAGGATAAAGCCTACACACATGACAGCAGATGTTCACCCTCTACTCCTCTTTTCCAATGCTGCTCCCATCCCTGGAGGCCCCTTCCACACTCCTTATCTTTCAGGGCTCAAATGGTGCTGTCATTAACTCTCCCTGAATGCAGAGTTAGTGCTCCCTTGTCTGTTTCTGACATAGTCCGAAGCATTTGCCCTGTCCTGGTACCTGGTACGCTATACCTACCTGTCCTGTATGTCTCCACTCTGTGTGTCTGTTCTCCTTTGCCCTCCTCAAGGGCAGTGACCACATCCTGTTCATGTTGGTATACAACTGCATCCAGCTCAGTAAAACAAATGCCCCTATAATGAAGTAGAGGAAGTAAAACTCATGAAAAGTCTTAATGGCGTTATCCAGGCAAGGCTAAGAAGATGATTTGTTTTGGATAGGTATGAGACATTTAGTATTTTTTAAATGTCTTAATGTTACTGAAAAAATGAAATATTTTCCATTATGTTCACTGATTGATATGTCCTTCAAGACTGGCGTGGGCATCCACTGGACTCTGGTGCACTTGATTTCCCCTGTTGAACTTGGATTGTCTTCTGTCGGGGTTCCTGGAAGGTTTCTCCTGTTAGTGCTCCTTGAACAGCACCCAGGACAACATGCCTCCAAGGGCCTTAGGGAGAATCTGGAATCTTAGGTTCTTTTCTAACTTTGTTATAGCCATGAGTCAAGTTCCTTTATGTTTCCTTAAAATAAAAATAAATCAGTAAGATAAAATAAAGGACAGCCCTGCATTCAAATCCCTGGTCCTGCCTAATTCCCCAGTCCTGTTTTTATTGAGATTTGAATTTTGCCCTCTGCTCTAGGGTGGTGGCTTGTACAGCGAGGGGGGTGAGCTAGGGGCCCCTGGGCTCTGAGGCCCTGTGAAGCCCTTCCCCCCAGCTCCTAACTGCTCCTTTGTGCCTGCCCAGGCGTGCAACTCCTAGACCTGCACACAGTTCTTGGCACACAGACCTCACACTTCAGTAGAAGCTTGTCTGTTTAGTTTCTGATAATTTCTGAGTAAATTCCTGGGCTGTAGCTAGTCTCATCTTAATTTCACCTGATCAGCTGGGTAACTTCAGCTTCGTGGGCTGAAATGGAAAGGAGTATTAAACTAAATCTGAGGTTTTCAACTTTTTTTTTTTTTTTTTAGGGATAAAGGAACCCTTTCATTTTAAATAGAAAGGAATAAAGGGAGGAAGTTGAGGGAGGAATGAATGAGTTAACTGATGAAGTAAAAGTCTCATAAGGACGTCCAGAACGTAATGGGTCAAAGTGTAGCTGCTCTGTGAGACAGGAATGAGGAAGCTAAAGAGGCCAGTGAGACTGAGGCCCCTTCTCACAGTGCAGATAGCAGGCAGGAACACCCCAGTGATAAGGAGCTAGTGTGCAGCCACAGTGGCGTGAGGTCATTGTCACAGCCTGGCTCCTTCTTTCCTCTCTCCTTTCTCCTCTGACCTTTGAGTTTAAAGTAGGAAATCAAGATAGTTATTTGTTTATAGTCTATTTTGGGTGGTAAACACTTAACTAGATCATTATACCATTCCTTCAGCTCATGCTTATTGGAATTTTTAATCCTGAAGGTTGAGCTGGATAGAATTTACATGGCACTTTCTGTAAGAAAAGGGTTTGCTTGTGGCGAAATAAAGATTAGGGTAGTCTTGTGTAGTTTTAAGAAACCATTACAAAGCCGTCTAACAAAGTATTTATTTTTAGGCAACTATGCTACTGATCATAAGTGAGTACTTTTTCAGTAAAATGGGAACTTTCTAAATTCTTACAAGCTTCAAAATAATTCAGTGCATGTGGGGATTGGAGGTTTATATAGATGAAATGTGGTCCATTTGATGATTGTGTCAGCTGGATATTAAGTATATGAGAGTCTATATTATTCTCTTTTGTATATCTTTGAAATTTTGCATTCTACACAGGTTGTTTTGGTTTTATGCTAGAGATCAACAGGACCTCACACATATGAAGCACATACTTTACCACTAAGCTACACTCCCAGCCCTGATACATTTTAAAAAGTTACTCAAGGGTTCAGAGTATAGCCCAGTGGTATCGCAGCTGCCTAAGCCCTGACTGTTATCTGTAGTATCAAAATGAAAACAAAGGTACTAAAGCAGGCCATCATTCAAACTTCATTGCAATTCTTTTCCCTATTTAATACAAATGGCTGAATTGGCTGTTCTACTAATGTACAACATTAAAACATGTCCAGATATTCATCACCTCCATAAATCAGTTGTTTTCTTTTAGACTTGGTAGGTTACTGTAATCACACTCAGTACCTGAATGGCTGTATTTAATTTTGTAAATCATTTGTAGGCATCAGCTTCAGACTCAAGCAGAACTAGTTTTAGAGGAGAACAAGTTGTTGATAGACCAGTTGGCGATTCAGCAAATGAAAGCCAAGGATGCTCACCAGGAGCATCTCCAAGAAGGTGAGTAATGGTGATGTCACTATTATATCCCTGAAAAAAAAATCATGTTTTCTGAATGTTCTTTTTTCCCAAAATGCAACTCTTTATTACATGTTTTAGCCATTGCCCTTAATGCATTGATGGCCTTCTCTTTGATGCCACAGCACTATTTCTAGTCATTTTCTGTATTTTGTGAATTAATTGTAGGTAGTAGACTCTGTAGAATTGATTTTAGAGTAAATTAGTGCCTTAGAAGGGACAAAGTCATGTGAGTAAGCATTCTATTCTTTTTTTTTTTTTTTTTTTTTTTGTACTAGGGGTACTTATCCACTGAGCCACATCCCTAACCCTTTTTCTATTTTATTAAGAGGCAGGGTCTCACTAAGTTGCTTAAGGCCTCACCAAGTTGTGAGGCTGGCTTTGAACTCATGATCCTCCTACCTCACCCTCCTGAGCTTCTGGGAAGAAAGCATTCTAAACAACACAATGACATCCTCCCAAATCTTTGTTGAATGAGTAAATAAGTAGAGCCTCTCTTTGTGCTTTTTCTTCCAACAAGCCTAAGGGAGATAGGTTAAGCCTAAGAGAGGTTAAATCTTTGTAGTTAGTCTCCATCAGATACCTCCTCTGAAAGTCCCTCCCTCACCCTAGGAGCCCTACTCCATATGACAGTGGATTTGCAAGTAAGCCAGATTAAGGAAGAATCGTTTCTTCTGCTTTGACTAAAACCAAATTTATGAGCAGAAAAAAAAATAGTAATTTCTTTTGCCTTTACTTAATTTTCCAGGGAAGAATAACATAGGACAGTAAGCTGAAAGACAAGTGTCTTGAGTGAGCCATTGTAACCCCTCCTCCAGTTTGCCCTCCTGCACATGCTGGTTTAGTGACTCTTCCCTTCCACATTGAGGAAGAGCTCCTTACCAGCCTTCTATCACAGAAGCTGCTGAGCCGCATTTTGTGTTTCTGCCAACTAGGCCATGTTTAAATACAAGAGCATCTCTCAGAGTCCCCACAGGGCTGTCCTCTGCAGGACTTTCTCAACCTGTGTGCCTGGCAATACTTGTGTTTATTCTGGCATCGCTGAGCAGGAAGAAAGAGACTGTTTCTGGGCCTCCTGGCTTTGTTTTCAGAAATGGAAATAATAGGGAAATTACTTTCCTATTCACCAAGTTTAATTTTCTTAAACTTAATGGATTGTACCTGTGTGGTGATTCTTCTGATCTGCTGGTACAGGCAAGCCTTCGGCCCATGTGTTCATGATTGACCCAGTTGTCTGTTATTTTCCCATTCTCTGGAAACAGCTGTTCCCTTTGATCAGCTCAGTGTTTTCTAGAGTAGAAAGATTTAAAGTGTTATGCTATCATACTTCTAAGGGCTGCTTTCAACAGATGCCCAGGGAATATCTCATTATATATGACCATGTCACATGGGATGGAAATACTTCTGATTTACTTTCAATATAGGGCATAAATTATAAAAACTTAGAAGAGGGGCTGGGGTTGTGGCTCAGTGGTAGTGTGCTCGCCTAACATACATGAGGCACTGGGTTCGATCCTCAGCACCACATAAAAATTAAGACAATAAGGACCATCAACAATTAAAAAAAAAAACTTAGAAGAAAAAATAATAAATTCAGTGCTTAGTTAGGCTGTGTTTGATATCCTTAAAAATCTTGAAAATCTTCCAGTTTTAGAGACAACATCATGATATATATTTGCAAATCTATGTATGGTTTAAGACTTAGTCTTTGGAAAGTCAATTCCTTGAAGACTGGATTCATGTCTTGTTAAATATTATAGTCAGTTCCAATAAAATATTTTAGCATCTGCAAGGGATTGGTTCCAGACAGACAGACAGACAGACACACACACACACACACACACACACACAACCAAAATGTATGAATGCTTGGGTCCCATATAGAAAATGGTACAGCATCAACACATAACCTACACAAATCCTTCTGTATGCTTTAAGTCCTCCCTAAATTACTTATCATACCTAATATAATGTAAACAGTTACTATGCTGTTTTGTTTATAATGTAGTGATAAGGAAAAAACTATATATGTTCAGTATAGATCTAATTTTGTTCTGAATATTTGTGACCCACAGTTGGTTGAGTCCACTGATGGTGGAACCCATGGATATGGAGAGCTGACTGTATATTTAGTGAATGTTTAATATAGGGAAAGTAATTTCTTTCTTCTTTCTTTCCTTTCTTCTTTTTTTTTTCTTTCAGTACTGGGGATTGAACCCAGGGGTGCTCCACCACTGAACTATATCCCAAGCCCTTTTTATTTTTTATTTTGGGACAGAGTCTTGCTGAGTTGCTGAAGCTGGCCTCAGACTAGTGACCCTCCTGCCACAACCTTCTAGTAGCTGGGATTATAGGTGAGCGCTACTGCGGCTGGCAGGGAAAGGGATTTCTTTCTTTTTTTTTTTTTTTTCCTAATATTTATTTTTTTAAGGTGTAGATGGACACAACACAATACCTTTATTTATTTATTTTATTTTCATGTGGTGCTGAGGATCAAACCCGGGCCCTGCCCGTGCTAGGCGAGCGCTCTATCGCTGAGCCATAATCCCAGCCCCGCAAAGCAATTTCTATGTGAAAGACTTTGGTTAATTTATAACTCTCCAAAGATTATTTTTAAAAGACCATTTTGCAAGCTGTCTCACATTAGTGTTTCCTAGTAATTAATTAGTACTTGTGTTTTATTAAGCTCCTGTGTCGAGTCTGTGTCCTTCTCTTTTGCTTTTCAGTGTCTAAGCTGACTAAACAACTCATGCTCTTGGAAACTAAAACACAGGGCCAGGAAAAGAAGCTGATGGAAAACAAACAGCAGCTGGAGAGTTTAGAGACCAAATGTCAGGAACTTAAAGCACACTTGGACGGCAAGATTGCCATGGAAGTTCATACTTCAATTGTAAATGAGTTAAAAAGGTGAGGCTTTAATGTCTTTCTAAATATTAATGAGAAACCTGCATATCAATGTAGGCAGAGTGGAGAAAGGTTGCTCAGGGTTTTTCTTTTTTTTTTCCCTGAGACAGATTCTCACTGTGTTGCCCAGGCTGACCTGGAATTCCTAGGCTTAAGAGATCTATCTTCTGAGCCTTGCAGGTAGCTGAGACTGCAGATGTGCACCACCACGCCTGGCTCTCGGGCTTCTTTTAAGAATTTTTCTTCATCACGAGTTTTCAGAAACTTGATTTGGATGTTTATTGATGTGGTTTCTTTCTTTCTTTCTTTCTTTCTTTCTTTCTTCCTTTCTTCCTTTCTTTCTTTCTTTCTGACATAATACCTTTATTTTGTTTTTTTAATGTGGTGCTAAGGATCGAACCCAGTGCTTCATAAGTGAGAGGCGAGCACTCTACCAGTTAGCTACAACCCCAGCCCTGGTGTGGTTTCTTTATCCTGTTTGAGTTTCATTGAGCCTCTTGGGGCTGTGGGCTTATATCTTTCATCATACTTGGGAGTATTTTACCCCCTTCCCCTGGGACTGCTTGATACTGTGCTGTGCTCATTGTTTCTCTCTGTGCTTTAATTGGATAGCTTTTATTGCTCTGCCTCTAAGCTCATTGATCTTTTCTCTTGCTATTTAATCTGCTATTATTTGTATCCAGTGAATTGATCGTGTCACATGTGTGTATATATATATATATATTTCCCATATCTGGAGGATCCATTGGAGTCTTTTTTGTATTTTCCATTTCTCTCCTCATCATGCTCTTTTTCTCTACTTTCTGAAACAGATGGGGCATGTATATATAATAGCTGTTGAAAACCTTGTTTGCCAGTGCCAGCATCTCTCTCACTTCTTGGTCTCTTCTTTTAATTTTGCTTCCTCCTAATCAGGGACCATATTCTCATATTATTGCTTGATTGGATCCTAGATAGTGTAGGTTTTTGTGGGTCAATGCCGTATTTATTGCCTTGTTTTAAATAGTGTTTTGTTTTTGTTGCATGCCAAAGTTACTAAGAAGTGCCAGATTCATCCAAAGCCCACTCTTGCTAGGAGGGGCCCAGACAACCTTTTGGCTAGGACTGGTGTAGCCGCACTTTTAAGGCAGTAGTGTTCTGAGGATCCTATCTGATGTCCCTTATGGCCTGTGCTATTCCACTTTGGTGGGTTCAGGTACTATTTCTTGTGTGCTGCTTCCTCATTTCTGGTGTCTCTTTCTTCAGCCAGTGGACAGTTTCCTCTCACATGAATATAGGTCTGTATTCAGCCAAAGACTTGTGGTGGCCCCCAAAAGATCTCCAGAGCCTTCCTCCCTCTGAAAAAGCCCCCCATCTGCCCTAGACACTTAACCTCCCTGATCTTTGATCTCTGGCAAGTCACTCCAGCTGGTGTGCCACTTCTGGGTTTTCCCACGCTGTGAGGCAGAGGTAGAGCCACTGTGGCCCTCATCTTGGTTTCCCTTATCTCCGTTTCACACTCCTATGGTGCCAGTTGTCCAAAGTCTGTAAACTGTTGCTTCTTCTGTTCCACCTGGTTTCTTAGCTGGAGGTTAAATCTGGCCTCTGTCATAATCCTGGCTGGAAGCAAAACTATATTTTCAAAATTATTTTTTAACCTTTTATTATTAATCCAGTTCAACGATTTATCCAAAAAATAATGGTTAACTTAGTTTTTAATGAAAAAATGAGTTCTGAATTTTATATGTTCCAGTTATTAGACCATCCTGAAAACCGTACATTCTTATATATCCCTGCTGTACTTGGTAGGTATGCAGCTCCTATCCCATGTTACCCTCTGTACAAACTTGACAGCACCTGAGCTGGTGTTCAAGACAAATGTCCCATTTGTTCTTTGTTTCTTTTATTATAAAAGCATGTGTTTATAATTACATTATGACAAAATGAAATTTGTTCTAGAAATAGTATTTTTTTCCCCTGGAAATTATAACCATGTGAAAACTGAGCTGTCTAGGACTTTTTTCTGGAAAAACAGGTATGAACGGTACATATACCAGTAAAAGCACAACCTGTGAGCAGAAAGAGGGGTTAGATCTTCCCTATCCAAGAAGTTTGCTTCCAGCCACACCCTCACTCCTCTGCTCCAGCAGCTGGACCTGGGCCCCCTAGGGCATAGGATGGGGAGGTGAGTCTGCTCAGGCCTCCAGGCCACTCACCCAGGGGCTCCGCTATTGATCACCTGGCTGCAGTGACCGCCTGACTTTAGCTGGTGCACTGGATATATGCCTGTAATGTTTTTGTCTTCAGCCAACTGAAGAAGGAAGAAGAGAGAGGGAGTGCTGAGCTGGAAGAGCTGATGGAAAAGCTGACAGGATTGCAAGTGCAGAAAAAGAGCCTGCTTCTAGAGAAGAGCAACTTGACAGCTAGAAACAAAGCACTGGAGGCCGAACTTGAAAAAACCCAGAAAACAAATAGGTTTATAGATTTATTTTTTTTCTCCTTAAGTTTTTATTTTTCCCAATAGATAAAAAAAAAAAAAGACAACTAAAGAATATTTCCTTTCCTTTACCTTTTCCTTTTACATTGCTATTAAATGGAGAAGAGTAATTGAGATTATAGGATATCAGAATATAAGTATAGTGAAAGCTTTTCTGTTGGCCAACATTAACCACATCTCTCAAGTCTGGAGTTCAGATGTGGTTGTTGATAATCATATGATGACCCTAAGACCTTTGACTTTCTAGAAGTTCATTCCTAATCATTTACTGGTAGAGCGTCCTAACATTTCCCAGTAGAGCATCTGTCAGGCATGCATGAGGCCCTAGGTTCAAATCCCAGTACCATAGGAAGAGGGGAAAAAAAAAAAGTATCTTTTAGAGCATGAGCCAAGTAGTTAAAAGAATAGTATTTAATTAGCCTATTTATTGGTGGCATTTTGTGAGTCCTATTAACTTGATTTGGAGTTATTAATTATGCATGGTTTCAAATTAAATCGTCTTACCTTACAATAGTAGAAGATTTAGGTTGCTGAACAACAGCATTTATTTTTTAATTTTTTGCGTTGCTGGGGATCAAACCCAGGGCCTTGAACATGCCGGGAAAGCACTCTCCCCCTAGCCCCAAGAATAGCCTTGAACTGTTAACATGCTTGCTGTTTTTATAACACAGATATTTGCTGTGCCCTAGCCCTGCAGGCTAATAGTTTTTATTCTCCCATTTGGGGAACTCTGTAGGAGATACCAAAAGAAAATCGATATCCTCAAAAAGCAAGTGGAAAAAGCCATGGGGAGTGAAATGTCTGCTCGCCAGAACCTGGCAAATCTTGTTGGGGTAGCAGAGAACATAACACAGGAACGAGACAGTCTTATGTGTTTGGTAAGTTGCCTCAGAATAATGTAAAATAAACTGAAGTTTATGTGCAAATGTGACTTTAAGAGTATTCCAAAAACTAATCCATAAAGAGCTTCATGTTGAGCAGGGTTGTGGCTCAGTGGTAGAGTGCTTGCCTGGCATGTGTGAGGCACTGGGTTCTATTCTCAGCACCACATATAAATAAATAAAATAAAGACCTAACAACTAATGAAAGTATTTTTTTAAAAAAGCCTCTTTCTGGGGCTGGGGTTGTGGCTCAGAAGTAGCGCGCTCGCCTACCATGCGTGAGGCACTGGGTTTGATCCTCAGCACCACATACAAATAAAATAAAGACATTGTGTCCACCTAAAAGTAAAAAATAATTTTTTTTTAAAAAAAAGCCTCTTTCTGTAAAAGAGCTTCATGTTTTAAAATTTTACCTGCACATTTCCAAATTCTCTAAAATTTGATCTTTTTAAAATTTTTTTTAGTTGTAGTTGGACAGAATACCTTTACTGTATTTATTACTTTTTTTTTTTAATGTGGTACTGAGGATCGAACCCAATGCCTCACATGTGCTAGGCAAGTGCTGCACCACTGAACTACAACCCCAGCCCCAAAATTTGATCTTTTAAACCATGAACAAAAACTTTTTTTTTAAAGAGAGAGGAGAGAGAGAGAGAGAGAGAGAGAGAGAGAATGAATTTTTTAATATTTTCAGTTTTCGGTGGACACAACTTCTTTATTTTATTTTTATGCGGTGCTGAGGATCGAACCCAGCGCCGGCGCATGCCAGGCAAGCGCATTACCGCTTGATCCACATCCCCAGCCCACAAAAACGTTTTTAAATAATGACAATTTTTATTTTAGAAAGCAACTTAGGAGGAGCAGTAAGTCATCTCGTGTTTATTATACCTACACATGTAGCTTTATATTATCTTCGTAGTGCTATTATTTTCCCTGTTTGAAGATGAAGCATAGTCATAGGGCTGGAGGTGTAGCTTAGTGGTGCATGTGCTTAGTATGGGGAAAGCCCTGGTTCAATCCCCAGCACTGAAGGAAAAAAAAAAGTATTGGGCTTGGGTTGTGGCTCAGTGGTAGAGCACTTGCCTAGCATGTGTGAGTCATTGGGTTCGATTGTCAGCACCACATATAAATAAATGAATAAAATAAAATAAAGGTATTCATCAACATCTAAAAAAAAAAAAGAATCATAGATATCTCTTCCTATGGACATAGTTGAAAGGTGAGATTCTTCCCATACCATTTCTAATATGCCAGTCCCAAGGAAGGGAATTAATTCAATCATTGGTGTCCTAAGTGATGGAGACCACACAGCTAGCAAGAGTCATGTGTGGGCATGATCTTAAGCATTTCCATAATGATTTCAAAAGATATCTGCTACAGATTATGTGGTGAGAGGAAGAAGTCATGCCAAGCCATATGCATTGAAAGAGATCTGTAGGATTTACCCCAAATTGTGACAGTGAGTTATCTCCAAAGAGTAGAATTTCAGATGATTTTTTAAGAAAAGTCTTCTCACTTATCTGCATTTTGTGTTTTTTCCTACATCGAACACATATTGCTTCTATACATGTAAGCATGTATGTTTAAGCAGTGTTGCAAACTCTGGTAGTATAAGATTAGAAGTCATAACTGAATGAATGCCATGACAAAAGAAACCAGTGGAAATTCTGAGAAAGTCAGAATCCTGCAAACCTGGAAGTCTATTGGGACATGTCACAGTCCCATTTCTATTTGTTAGAAAGACGTTAAGTTCCTCCACAGGAAAATGAATGTTGGCTTTTATCCCTTGCATATAGAGGAGGAAATATAAGTAGTAGGCAGCTCTTGAGGAAAAATGGTGATCTTTATTTATTTATTTATTTATTTTTTGAGAGAGAGAATTTTAATATTTATTTTTTTTAGTTTTTGGCGGACACAACATCTTTGTTTGTATGTGGTGCTGAGGATCGAACCCGGGCCACACGCATGCAAGGCGAGCGCGCTACTGCTTGAGCCAGATCCCCAGCCCCGTGATCTTTATTTTTAATAAAAGAAATGCTAATTTAATTAGTCTTGTGATACCAATCTGTACTTAATGTTACAAAACATTTTCAAAACGATAATAGAGTTGATTGAAGTATAGAAAGTCTGGTTGTACATTACTGGTGAATTCTAAGTCCTTTCTGGGTCTTCTAGAAAACAATTTGGTTTGACACAGCATCGTAGGAATCCTAAAAGTACTCAAACCTTCTGATTTCATAGTCCCCCTCCTGAAAAGTTGTTGTCCCAACCAAAGTGATATTTTCTGTAGCGCCACTGAGTACCCACTTTCCTTTCTCTTGAGTATATTGGGCTTGCCCACTGGAATATCAAGAGCAAAGCCAAAACTTGTTAGAAAATTAAAGTGCCAAGCAAACCTGTTAATCTAGCATGTTCCTGGAGACCTGCCCACTATATATTAGTGCTACCATAGATGCAAAGCCATCTTGTTTGTAGGATATGCAGGAATCCCTGTCCTTGGGATGCAGGTTCCGTACCTCCCACTGGGCCATGGGGCATCATAGGCTTCCACAGTGAAGTGAAGATCTTTCCTGACCTTCAAATGGTCCCCCTGGGGCCAACCCCTCATCTTTGTGGGCCAGGCATGGAAATACAAATGGAAACCGAATTCTACATCCCCAAATATTTAAAAGTTATAAATTGAGCCAACAGAGTGTTAATAAAAAAATGAGTTCTCTCTTTTTGCCTTGATCTTTATAAAAGCCTGAGGCAGGTTCAAGTTTAGAATCCTTAAACCCTTCAGAACCACAGATTCCTAGAATATAAGATGTAGGTCCCTGCACTTTCCACCTATCACCAGGGACCTCATTGTACACCAAGACGCTGTTGTCCACACAGGGAGGTGTGAGAGAGGTGCCAGGACATCTGGGCAGGATACTCAGGGTTCTGCATAACCAGGCCCAGGTCATATGTGTCCTTGGGCTGCGGGCTTCTTTCTCCTGGAGGCACCATTCCTCTAGCCCAGGCCCAGGGGTGATGCTTCTGGCTTCTGTCCTGTCCAGGGTCTCAACCATGTTCTTCCATCCTATCCCGTCCTCGTGTCCTGGGCTCTGTGAGAGACCCCACTCTGACCCTCCATACACATTCAGGCAGGGGGAGGTTTCCACTCTGCTTTTGAAACTGTCCACTGATCACCAAATAACTTTAAAATTCCCCAAGTAATTTCACCATCTTTCATTTGTCAAGTTTCTGTGGGAGATCACTGGCCTTAGGTTCTGACATCTTAATTTTTTATTGGGTGGAATTTCAACATGACTCAGGCAAATTATTTAGCTTTCCGTGTCTGTCTTTTTTTTTTTTCTGGAATATTAAACTGTGTCATCACTAGGCTAGAAGGAATGCTAACCTTTACTTTTTTTTTTTTAGAGAGAGAGAGAGAATTTTTTAATATTTATTTATTAGTATTCAGCGGACACAACATCTTTGTTTGTATGTGGTGCTGAGGATCGAACCCGGGCCGCACGCATGCCAGGCGAGCGCGCTACCACTTGAGCCACATCTCCAGCCCCTAACCTTTACTTTTTTTCTTTAATTTTAGCAACTGAAATTGTTTTCTTTTTTAGAAAATATTTTGTTTTTAGTTGTAGTTGGACACAATACCTTTATATCTAGTTTTATGAGGTGCTGAGGATTGAACCCAGTGCCCTGCAAGTGCTCTACCACTGAGACACAACCCCAGACCATTAAATTGTTAATAGTATATGATAGTTCATTTTCCATTTGGATATTAATCTAAATCATTAAGCTTCAAATGGCATCCCTCTTAGATGTACTGTTTGTCATGTTTGGTTTGGAGAACAGCATTGTGTATTCATATGATTATCCTTAATTTTGTTGTAATGAATCAAATTAGTCACATTACAACTTTACATCTTAGTACTTATTCCTTTGACATGATTGAAGGCATTATATATTCCACAAGGTTAGAGATATGTTCTGGACGCCCCTATGACCCTTGCCCCTCGTCTGGGGGGCCTAGGTCTTCTATTCCTGCCCATGAGAAGCATCCCACATGCTGGTCCCTGCTCTTCCCCTCCTCAGCCTGTGTCTTGAGTTCTGCTCACAGCCCTCACCCAAGTAGTGCGGGAAGCTGGAGATGGAGGCAAGGTGGGGTGTATAGGAGAAGACAAAATGGAGATTGCTTGGGAGTAGTTCATTGTTTGCAAAATAATTTATTTTTTCCAGTGCTTGAGGTGGAACCGAGGCCTCATGCATCTTAGGCAAGCACTTTACCACTTAGCCCAAAAATCTTTTATTATTTTAATTTTTCTGTAAAACTGAGAGCTCATTTAGTTTTGTCTTCGCTTTCTCCTTAGACTAAATGTTTAGAAAGTGAAAAACACGGAGTCCTAAATACAATCATAAAAGGCAATATTCGCTTGGGAAAGTTAGAGGAAAAAATCAAGGTAAGTGGTCCTTTAACTGCAGAGATTCCGTGGGGAATGGGGCTTACATGTAGATTTCTGTGTTTAAGAAAACGACTCATTTTGTATGTGTGTGTCACTGATCATTCACAGAGTAAAGCAATATAAGGTTTTGCTTGCAGAAATAGTACCCCTCTAGTTATTAAATAATCTTTGGAGCCGGGGGTGGTGGCACACACCTGTAATCCTAATGGCTAGGGAGGCTGAGGTAGGAGGTGTCACAAGTTCAAAGCCAGCCTCAGCAAAATTGAGGTGTTAAGCAACTCAGTGAGACCCTGTCTCTAAATAAAATACAAAATAGGGCTGGGGATGTGGCTCAGTGGTTGAGTGCCCCCTAGTTCAATCCCTAGTACCCTAAAAAACATAATAATAATTATCATCTTTGGTTCCTCTACAAAAAAAAAAAAAAAAATTATATAGTGGTTTGTTTAAAAAAAAAAAAAAAGATGGAAAACTCTCCAGGCTCTATTGTTAGATTGCCAGCCAGCTTTATCATCAACCCCAGCTTTAGTTGGTCCAGTTAAAGAGCAGCATTGGCCTGCTCCTCTCTTGCCTTAATCTGATTGCACCCTCCAGTTTCTCTGCTCAAAGAAAGCCATCCTCATTGTACCTTGCTTCTGCCTTGGACCACCCCTCCCTAGACCCCTGCTCCCATCCTTGCTGGCTGTGTTCTGACTGCTAGCTGCACAGCATCACCAGACAACCTGGCTTCTGTTGGGCAGGACCAGGGAGAGGACCAGTAGGCTAGAGGCTAGAGGGAGGAGAGCAGGGGACCTGGAATTTTGAAGGAGAAGGTACTGTGAGGTTGTGTAGCTCCAAGCCTAGGAAATAAGGTCTTTGACCTTAGACTCAAGTGCATATACTTATAGGACAATGATTTTAAGAAGGCCTGGTCATGGAGAAATAGATGATGGCATTTAATATGTTGGAACATTCACAAGCTAAGAAAAACTCGACATTAGCTAGCTTGTATAAATAGAACTCACCCAGAGAAGAAACCATGAGCAGGATCCAGTTTAAGCAGGGCAGACTCTGGGGAAACCCCAGCAAAACATTACATCTAAAAGTGAGGGCCTCACCTTGGAAGTTAGGGGCCATGACAAGATCTAGGTCACTTGGCTTTGCAAATAGAAGTCCTTTGGATTGAGGGAGACAGAGAAGAGGCTCCATGAGGCTTGGAGGGCTACGCTAGCCCAGCCATTGACTCTTTACATCTGCCAAGATGTAATTCAAGCCAAAAGCACAGAATGAATAATAATAAAAAAAATACTAAATAATTAAAAAATAATAAATAAGATGCTAAAGACTACAATTAATAATGTTGTCGTTGTGAATAACTATACGACACCGCAGCAAATTTATAAAGTTAAACTCTAGGAAATAATAAATTAAAATAGTAATAAGAGCTTTATCTACTTTCTTGGTCTAAGACTGGTCAAAAGATTAAAAATAAATAAATAGGACATAGAAGGTTTAACAACATGATCAATAAGATATATTTATGTATATATAAATAACAATTGTGAAAATTGATCTTAGCTTCTCTACAATGAAACCTCATTAATCCCTAAAGCAGAAATAACAGACATTTTTTTATCACAAATATGAAAACTTGACATTAATAAAGTCAGAAATTTCTTTCATTAGAAGTATTAAAAATTAGGCACTAAACTGTATATAAATATTAGAATATTAGAATTTGTTTAAAATGTTGAGTCTATGTGAACTGTGTATCAGAGTCCCTGTGACAATAGTTTTAAAAATGCTCAGAGAGCCTGTGAAGATCTAAAATACAATACGATACAATTGAAAGAGGGAAAATAAATGAATCGGGCTTTTAACTGTCATTTGTTTGACAATAGAGAATGACAGACCTTATTAGGCTCATATATGGGGTTTCCTTAATAATACTGACAGTGTCAGCATTAGCTCTTTCTTTCTTTAGTTTAATTTAACTTTATTATATTTTTTTGAGTTGAAGCTTCATTTCATTGCCCAGACTGGCCTTGGATCTCCTGGGCTCAGCTTCCCCAGGAGCTGGGACTACAGGTGCACCACAAGCCCAGCCATGACATTAATTCTTATATTACCAGTTGAACAAGGGATGAAAGTTGTTCTGGAAAAAATAAAGAAGTAGTTTAATTTGCAATAACAACCAATTTGTTCTGTGATGCTAGTACTTAATATTTAATTTTATTTGTTGCATATTAAAAAACCATGGCATAATATACACTAGAAATTTGGTTTACTTTTACTTGAAATTCTTTTATCACTTTTTTCACTTTGAGGATGCAGACTTGCCTCCCAGATCAGCCTTCTCTAGGGCTCAACCTAGTGGGCTCCAGGAGTGTAGGGAGTAGGCAGGAACGCAGCCCCGGGCAGTGTCCTCTGGCTCACTGAGTCCCTCCTCCCCGCCAGGCGTATAAGAAGCAGGCAGCACTGAAACTGGGGGACATCAATCACCAACTGCTGGAGCAGCAAGAGCACTTTGCCGGCAAGAAAGCCCAGTACCAGTGGAAGATGCGGCAGCTCCACCAGATGCTGCAGGACAAGCAGGAGGTCCTGGATGAAGCCCTGCAGCAGAGAAGGTGGGGCTTCCCAGCCCCAGGTCCCAGCAACTCATAGAAAGTGTGTGTGTGTGTGTGTGTGTGTGTGTGTGTGTGTGTGTGTGTTCCATAGAATTTTCTGGGAAAAAACCTTAGGCTTGTTTTATTTTTACATTTCAGTTTAATCTGGATTTAACATTGGCCTTCATTTCTGTTTGCCCTTCATTTCTTTATTCTCTCTTTTAAAAATTCCTGTTGACTTGGACTTGCAGTCTAGTCCTCTAACTGCCTTTCCCTTTTTCTCCTCTTTTCCATCTCTTTGATATTTTTGTTTTATTTCACTTTCTTCAGAGATTTAATTTGTTTTATTTCTTTTGTGATTTTAAAAAAATTTTCTGAGAACCTTAAAGTCTCTGGTCATTCCCTTTTTGTTACATCCTGATCATAAGATTACGAGTAAAATTCGTTCTCTGTGTTTGGAGGGTTTTATACTACCCACACTTTTATCCCTCAAACATATGATAGAGGAAATATTGTCAGTGGATTCGAAATATCCGAGAAGCCCACTGCAGTGGCATGTGCCTGTAGTCCCAGCTACTCAGGCCAAGGCAGGAGTGTCATTTGATCCCAGGAGTTTGGGACCAGCCTGAGCAGCATAGTGAGGCCCCTGTCTAAAAAGTCATACACGTCAAAAAACACTGGAGACGTTTTGTGGAGGTGAACTTACTCCTTGTATCTAATTGTGACTTTGTACTCATTTGAGCATTTTCTCTTGACCGCTCCCTTCTCCGACCTTTGATACCCCTCATTCTGCTCTATTTCTACAAGATTAAATTTTTTAGATTTCATGTGTGAGTGAGATCATGTGGTATTTGTCTTTCTGTGTCCAGCTTATTTCACTTAGCATTATGTTTTCTAAATTCACCCATATTCTCTCAAATGATAGGATTTCATTTTTAAAAAATATTTATTTTTTAGATGTAGTTGGACACAATACCTTTATTTTATTGATTTATATATGGTGCCTCTGAGGATTGAACCAAGGGCCCCGCATGTGCTAGGCAAGTGCTCTACCACTGAGCCATAACCTCAGCCCCATAAGATTTCATTTTTTAAAATATTATATTAATAATTGCATGAAGATTTTACTTTATTTATTTTATGTGGTGCTGAGGATCGAACCCAGTTCTCTCATGTGCAAGGCAATCGCTCTACCGCTGAGCCACAACCCCAGCCCCAAGATTTCATTTTTTATGACTGAATAATTTTCCATTGTGTATGTTCCACATTTTCTTTATCCTTTTGTCTGTCAATGTATATTTAGGTTGATTCCCCAGCTTGTCTGTTGTGAATAGTGCTGCAATAAATATGAGAGTGTAGGTATTACTTCGACACATTAATTTGCTCTGGATATATATATATAAAAGTGAAACTGCTAGATCATTTATTTCCTTCTGTCTACAGTAATTTTTTTACTATGAACTTATATTTGATTAAATTTAATCTATGAAATCCTGAGGGTCTAGATTGAGGATGTTTTTCTCCAGAGAATATTGGCCTTTGCTTCTCTTTCATTCCAGAGAATATTTCCAACCTGGAACTATTTTATTGTTGATTTTTAAAATAGGCTGTAGTAACTATTTTTTTTTTTAAATCCAAAAGGAATGTGTGTGTGTGTGTGTATACACACACACACACATTTATATCCTCAATTCCATTATTAGATTTAATAATATTTTTATAATATATTATGAAATAATGTTTATATATTTTTCTGAACTGCATTCTGGATAGTTTCTTCTGCTCAATATTCTTTTTACTAATTCTCTCTTCAGCCATGTCCAATTTATTATTTAATCCACCCCATTGAATTTTTCCCCTTATTATCTCAAAAATGTCATGAAAGTCTTGATTCATTCCAGTCAGGGACAGTGTAAACTCTAACTCCAGGTCCATTTGAGAAGAGGCCAGCGGCTGTGGGCCTCCCAGGGGAGTCAGCCTTTCAGAGCAGGTTGTTTTGAAGATCTGAAGATCTTCCCAGCCATCTTTCCGTGAGGGTCCTTCACATACTTCCATGACCTGCCTAGGAAGTATTTTTAGGAAGAAAAACTTGTGAGGAGAGAGATGAACAAGTCCTGGGACTTTCTGTCCTGTTCAGTTTCCATGAGCCCAAGACCACCTCTTCCTTCCACAAAAATGTGGGTTTTGGGGCATCAGCTTTTATTCTCAAAACAATGGTGACATTTTGATGCCTTCCTCTTGATTTTAATTTAGTCATCTTTTTTCCCCTGAAGAAAGTTCCTATCCTTTCTCTCGGGTTCAGCCAGACATTTAAACATGACTGCTCTAGTTTATCGAATATGCGGGTGATTTGTGAGAGGAAATAGAAGTCGTAGGATTTCTTTAGATATAGTTTAATCAATTCTGCAGAACTCCCAGCCGTAAGAGCCTTGGGGGGAGCAATGGCTCATACGGGGAAGCGACTCTGGACAGGTCAGCGTGTCGCTGTCCTCCCTCAATCTCAGTGCCTTGCTCTGTGCGCAGTGGTGCTGGTCCTGCACCTGGCACCTGGCCTCTCCAGCCCTGCACTCTGGGCAAGGCTTGCTCCATGCCCCCCGCCCCCACCAGGGAAAGGCCTGCTCTTTTCCCCCTGTGCCACGGTGGCAGGTCTGCCCTGTGAGCATCTCCCGACACCCCACATGGCATCTTGCCCAGATCCTTGTCTTGCTGCCCCTTGTTTTCCACAAGTCTTGGTTCCTCTGACACTCAGCCTCCTGCGTGTGGTCCAGCCCAGTCTCTGTGTCCTCAGTTATGTGACCCACTCTTCCAGTTCCCTCCTTATCCTACCTCTCTGTGTCTGGGCCCATCAGCAGCTTTATGGATGGCTGCCTCCTGTGAAAGTCCCTGAGTGTTGGCCCGGCCACAGTGGGGACAGGCAGAGGAGGGGTCACAGGGAGGCCTACGTGGCTCACCCTGTGGGTGCCCACAGCCAGGCCCTGCACTGTGGCAGCTGGCCAGCTTAGGTCAGCCGCTGCGCGCACTCTGTCTTACTATTTTATTGCTCACGTTAATTCTTTAGGAAGCAGAGGATGTGTGCCTTGAAGCTAAAGTCAAGGAAAAGGCAAAGCTTAGAGGAGAAAAATAAGAAATCCTTTTGAAGCCTGTGCCTTTGCGTTTTGTTTGGTTGGTCGGTTGGTTTTTATTTTCCCCTGTTTCCAGAGGGCCTGGTGCTTCACTGAGCCCTGAGCCTTTGCCCTGGCCCTGAAGCGCAGTGGGTGCTCTTCTGTGATGTTCAATTTGCTTTCATTTGAGTTCCTTCTACTTTAGGTTCGTAAGCCTCTGTGAATATATTCAACTTGTGCTATTTTAAAATTCCCCTTTGATTTGTGTATTTTTCTCAGAGAAATGGAAGGTGAGCTTGAGATTATTTGCAAGTCTGCCTCCAAGGAAAACCAAAGAATCCGAGAACTTCTCCAGACCACACTAGCAGGGAAAGGCCTGTGGGACAACAAGGCTTTCAAGTATGCGTGCCTCGAAGGCACCGCTCAGGGAGACCTGCTGGATGGGCACAGCGCCAGCTTCTGCGACGGGAAGCCTCTCACCTCCACCTGCCAGAGTCTGCAGGAGCCAGTGGATTAGGCGCCATGGCCTGAAAGGTCTGCCTCCCACCAGCTGACACAGGGCAGCATCCGTCCGCAAGAGCCAGCAGTGGCCAGGGAAATGCAGAGGCCCAGCAAGTGCTAGAGCAAGGAAGAAATAAACTCGAGGGAGTTTAATTGGTTATTTACATTTTGCTTTTCTTAACAATGTACTGCTGAGATTATATTTCATCCAGGTCATGTCCTCTAGCTGCATTGCCACTCAGACTATGTCATTGCTCAGGTTAGCAGGTGGCCTGCTGGGCTGGCCTGTTTACAGGCCTCTAGATCTGCAGCTGAGTAAGCTCTGGAAGGAATGGAGGAGCTGGAGGAGCACATTCTGTGTGTCAGATAAACGGCTGGATGAGGCAGCTGATGGAGCAGCAGTAATGACAGCTTATGCCTCTGTCCTGGGTGGGCAAAAAAGTAAGGTGCTGGTCCTCATGTCCCAGGGAGTAGAACCAGAGGCTTTCTGCCTTCTCCTAGTCCTCCTGGTTCTCTTGGGAAGATACTAGGGCCACTCATTGAGAGCTCTCCCTTTGAGCACCCAGGTGGGGTCCCTCTACTGTTGCCACCAACAAGGACACTAGGGGGCCCATGTTCTGTTCCTCTCTATGGCTTCTCAGGTAGGTTTTCCAGTCTCTTAGGACCACCCAGTGGGACTCCTGGTGGAAGTGCCAGCCATTCAGGGCCACCTGCTCCAGGCATGCTGGACGAACTCAGGAACATCAAGACCCTAAACAGAATCCTGGAACACATCCTTCAACAAAACCCCCAGTGGCTAAATTTTGTATTGTTTTAGGGGTTAAGTAGGCCCTGGTTCTTGTCATTAGTCATGTGTAGGAGTCACCTTTGAGTGCTAGCTGGAAAATTAGGGTAGAATGTCATATCTTTTACATTTTATTGAATTTGTTCAATAGCTAAAACATTGCAATTTAATTTTATTTTTCAAAGGGTAGAAAGGTTCAACAGAATTTAAAACTGTGTAACATCTCCTTAGGAGATGTAAATAATTAGTAAATAACTTTTTTATTTCAAAGGAATTTATATCAACTGTCTCAAAATCTGTACAAGTGAGTCTCATTCTCGGGGGTGGCTCATTGGTGGGAACATTGCTCTATCATCATTACCTGGGGAGCTATTTTTGACATCTCTTCTGCTTTTTTTAAAAAATTATTTCATATATGACAATAGTGGAATACATTACATTCATAATTATCCATTCATAGCACGATTTTTCATAACTCTGTATATAAAGTATGTTCACGGCAAATTATGCCATATACATGAACTATCATTGATTTTTTTTTTTTTTTGAAAGCAGTATGGAGATTCCTTGGAAAGCTGGGAATGGAACCACCATTTGACTCAGCTATTCCTCTTCTTGGACTATACCCAAAAGACCTAAAAACGGCATACTACAGGGACATAGCCACATCAATGTTTATAGTAGCACAATTCTCAATAGCTGAACTGTGGAACCAACCTAGATGCCCTTTAATAGATGATTGGATAAAAAAAAATATGACATTTATACACAATGGGATATTACTCAGCACTAAAAAAGAATAAGATCATGGCATTTGCAGGGAAATGGATGGCATTAGAGAAGATTATGCTAAGTGAAGTTAGCCAGTCTCAAAAGAACAAATGTGGAATGTTTTCTCTGATATAAGGGGAGTAACTCAAAGTGGGGTAGGGAGGGAGAGCAAGGGAGGAAAATTACCTCTAGATAGGGAATAGGGGTGGGAGGGAAAGGGAGGGAGAAGGGGAATAGCAAGGATGGTGGAAGGAGACCCTCATCATTATACAAAATACATGTATGAAGATGTGAATTTGGTGTCAACTTACCTTATGTGCAACAGGGATATGATAAATGGTGGTATAAAGGTGTATTAAGAATTTTAATGCTTGTCTTCTGCTTTTGTGAGACCATTTTTATTCCCTTGAGAAGTGAACATTCTTACATTTCTGCTTTAAGTTTCAAACACACATTTCAAACATACTTTGTGAGTTCAGTGACCCCTGGGACTGCATGGTGACCAGGAAAGAGGGGAAGGTCCTATAGCACTTGGTCCCTTGCCCAGCTTCCCCCCGCCTGCTTCAGACAGATGGGCTGCAAGTCCAGGGTGTGAAGGGGGGTGAGGCCGGCAAAGCAGCAAAAGTTAAGGCCACTGAGTAGCAGATAACTTGTGGGGTTCCAAGAAGGGCCTGAGACCATGGGGGTTCATGGAGGACTGGGAGTGCCCCCTGCTTTGCAGAATGGACAGGTTTCAGGAGCTAAAGGACACAGAGGACTCTTGGGAGCAGAGGAAAGCACTCAGGAGCAGCAGGGCCTTCTGACTGGGGTTGAGGTGGGAAATGAGGCGAGGCTAGACCAGGGGGAGCAGGACTGCTGGAGGGCTCTGCTCATTCCATCCTGAGGTCTCAGTTTGAGGAGGAAACCATACTGTTCTTCTTGGTCCCAGTACAGAAGTCATGGAAATTCCTGATCAGGTTGAAAGTGATCAAAGTCAAACAGCTATTAAACACGACCCAGGAACTCAAGTGAGCCCTGCTGCCTTGGACAGCAATTAAAAGCAGCCCTGGGGGAAATCAGAACTGGGTGGGGAGAGAAGGCTGGGCACAAGACTGTCCTGGGAGCTGGTAAGAGACATTCTTAGTTTTCAAGTTGACCTGTGCAGGGGAGCACTGAGATCAGAGGTGACACCACAAAAAAATAAATAATAATAATAATAATAATATTGCCAGGCCTCTCTCTGCACCATTTTACATTCCAGCAAACATCTGTGAGAGTTCTGGATCCTCTACACCTTCCAGTACTCCGTGTTGTCAGTAACTTTTTTGAGAGGAGAGATTTGAGGGAAAAAACATCCTAGTATTTGGCCCTTGGAGCTTAGCCAGCCTTGGGCCTGGCCCTCACCCACCTGTGCTGCCATCAGGAGTGAAAGGCACAGTGACCAGCTTGGGTGGCTCAGCAGGGTCCCTCCTTGGGCTTGGCACAGGTGGCCCGGCCTGCAGGGAGGAGCCATGTTTGCTGTCTGGACGTGAAGTTCAGACTGGATCGCACACCAGAGGCTGAGCCTCCTTGGGATGGTTCTGAACTAAAATCAAATAATTACCCACCCACAGCACAGCAGGGTGGAGCTGGGTAGCCCAGGAGCACTCAGTGTGGCCCATGACCGGCCTTACTCTGCTCCATTACAACTGGCTGGTGTCAGGAGTCATGGTAGCTGGCGGTCAGGAAGGGCCTGGGCCTGGCTGGCTTGGCCTCGGATTTCCTGGGAGCAGTGAGCCCGTGCCAGGTCTTCGTGGAGAGCTTGCTCCCTTCCAACCCCCTCAGGCTTGACTCTTCCTCGGTTTTTTTTTTTTTAATTTATTTTTTTTTTTTTTGTACCAGGGATTGAACTCATGGGCACTCAACCACTGAGACACATGCCCAGCCTTGTTTTGTATCTTATTTTTAGAAACAGGGTCGCACTGAGTTGCTTAGTACCTCGCTTTTGCTGAGGCTGGCTTTGAACTCATGATCCTTCTGCCTCAGCCTCCTGAGCCACTGGGATTACAGCCTGTGCCAGGGCGCCCAGTCAACTCTTGCTCATTTTTGATGATGGTCGTGTAGGAGGGATTAGAGAAGGACAGTTGTAGTTTACACATGTTTATGGGGGTCTACTTTTACAGTCCCAGTGACTCCAAACAGCAGGACGAAGGTGGTTAGTGAGCCCAAGCAGACTTCAGACGTGAGGAGCCCATGGCAGTTCCTTGAGCTGGACAGGACACCACTGCCGAGGTCCCCGAGGTTGGCTCCCCACCTCTGTGCTGGGTGTGCTGTGCCCTCCCCCATCCTCTTGCTTCATATGACAGCCCTCTGTAAAGAGAGGACAGATGAGAGTAGAGTGCCTGTGGTCTGGTGATTCAAAAACTGTTCCCTCCAAAACGCAGGTTCCCTCCCCTTAATACCGTCCCACAGTGGGGTGCTAAAGGGGAGGGAACTTAATCTAACATCGTGTTTAGAGGTAGGGCCTTTGGGATGTGATTACGTTTGACAAATTCTTTAGGATGGAGCCCTCATGATTGAATGCTGGTGGCTTTATAAAGAGGGGACCAAAGGGGACACACACACACAGGCACACACACAGAGGCACTCCTTGTGATACCCTACACTGCCTCAGGACTCCATCAGCAAGAAGACATCACAAGATGTGGTCCCTTGGCCTTTGGCCAGAAATGTGAGCCAAAATCATCTTCTTTTCCTTACAACTTACCCAATCTATGACTGTGTTATTGGCAACAGAAAATGGACGAATACAGGTGGCTAGCCTTCCTTCTAGCTGACTCTGAGGCAAGAGTACCTGTGCCCCTCACGTTATCAAGAATGTCGGAGCAGGGAGCATCCTGTGTCTCACCTGTTCGGGACAGGCCTGGCTATCACAATGAAGAATAGATCTTTGAAAATGGAGGAACCGGACAATGCAGTATGTTCTACAAACCAGGGTTGTGTTGTAAGCAACAGGACGTTAAGGGAAATGCCCAACATGTAGGGGGAAAAGAAAAATTTTGGAAAGAGATACTAGACACAGTATAAGTGTTCCTCTGCGGCTGGGAAATGGGGTCCTTTGGTTTTTAACTGTCGTGGTTTGAATCTTAGACATTTCTCAAATGCTTACAAGCTAAAGGTTTGGTCACCAGCCTTGGCTCTCCTGGGCGGGGGGAGTGGAAGGAAGGTAGGTCATTGAGGACAAATATTTGAAGGGAATATTGAGACCCTCACCCCTTCCTCTCTTGTTTTTTGCTTCATTACCACCATGAGATGAGCAGGTTTTCTCTACCATGCCCTCTCACCACAATGTCCTGCCTTGCCACGAGTTCAAAGCAATGGGGCCAAGAAACCATGCATTGAAACCTCTAAGCTGTGAGCCAAAATAAACCTTTCCTCCTTATAAGTTGATTATCTCGGGTATCTTGTCATAGTAATGGAAAGCTCACTAATGGTGGCCCATCAGAATGGCACAGGAAGGGGCAGTTCTCCCAAGTAGTAGACACCAGGCAGACAGAAACAAGATTATAAAAAGTGGTGGTTCTTTATTGAAGGTATTTAGAACACAAAAATGAGGACATGGCTGGGGGTGTAATTCAGTGGTAGAGCATATGCTTAGCATGTCAGAGTTCCTGGGCTTAATCCCCAGGGAAAGAAGGAAGGGGAGCAGAAAGGAAAGAAGGAAGATGTTATCAAAGTGCTAAGGTAGAATTGCCCTATTCCAAGAGTTCCTGAGTGTGTAGGTAAAGATTGTTCCCAGATAAGACTGAAATCATGCTCACCTTGCTAATAGTTGTATGATGACTTAAGTCCTTAACGTTGCAAGATTGCACATTCCAGACTCTCCACGTTCTTCTGGTAGGAACTCAGGTAGGGAAGTGAACACTGCCATACACGTTACACCTGTCTTTTGGGTCCCCTCCTAAACTACTGTCAGCAGTGTCAGGAAGGAAGGAAAAGAACCAAAGTTTATAAACTTGAAGGCAGGTCTTGCTGTGGTTTGGACCTACTTATTTAAGTATGTTTCTCCACAGGTTCTTGTATTGAAGGCTCAGTCCCCAGGGTGGCCAGAGTGGGAGGTGGTGGGACCTTAAGAGGTGAGTCCTAGCAGGAGATCCTTAGGTCAATTGGGAATGTGCCCTCAGAAGGGGCTTTGGGACCCCAGTTCCTCTGGTTTCCTGTCTGGCAATGTGATTGCATATTCCCACATACACTCCTGCCTTTGCTCTCTGCCGTGGTGGGACACAACCAAGAGGACCCTCACCAGAGCTGACCGATGCCAGTGCCATGCTCCTGAACCTCCAATACTGTAAGCCAAATAATCCTCTTTCCTTTATAAAGTAAAACTTGCCTCAAATATTTTGTTACAGTAATGCAAAACTGACTACTACAAGTCTGGAATAATTTTTAGATGGCAAAGGACAAGGCAGCCTCTGCCTGAATGTTTGTCAAAGCTCCAGTCTGTCATGTGGAAGATAAATCAGAGAAAATATTGTCCATATGGATATCCCAGAGACTGTGGAGAAATGGATTTACACCATCAGGTTAAACACATTTTATGTTTAAAAACCATTACAGAAGAAGAGAACGAAGACAGATGTGGTGGTGCACCCCTATAATCCCAGCGGCTCAGGGTGAGGCAGGAGGATCAAGAGTTCAAATCCAGCCTCAGCAAAATTGAGGTGTTAAGCAACTCAGTGAGACCCTGTCTCTAAATAAAATACAAAGTAGGGCTGGGGATGTGGCTCAGTGGTGGAGTACCCATAAAAACAGGGAACCAAATGTAAGATCAAATGAAGATAGTGTTATTCAAACTGCAAGCAGCTTTGCAACTGGGAAAAAAACACACATTTTGAAAGGGAAGATCAAGAGATTTGTCAGGTATCTAAGAAATAATGGCATTTTACAAAGCTTCCTGGGAAATTAACTTTAAGAGGGAATTGACAGCAGGGAGGTGAAACTTGAGCCAGGCTTGACAAAGAATCCTCATGCTCAGATGTTCCAAACTCAGCACGAGGTGAGGGTCAAGAAGTCCAGGGGAACCTCAGCCTGAGGCAGGAGGATTGCTTGAGCCTGGGAGTTCCAGACTAGCCTGGGCAACATAACAAGACCCTGTCTCTTTAAAAAATAAAAATAAAAACCAGCCCACGGTGGGCAATCTTGACCTTAGGAGCATTCTGTAGTGTCCTGTAAATACAGACAGGCCAGTGATCTGAGTGCTGCTAGGAAATATGCTAAGGTGCACAAAAGCCCCTGGGCAGGCCCTGCCTCTGGCCTCAGGCTTCCACTCCCCTGGCATTCGGGTACCCATGGACCAGGACTCTGCTCAGGGATCTAGCAAGTGGGACCTTCTTAAGAAGGGAGGTGACAAACTTCTAAATCAGTATCCCCGGCTCTGGGGTAGCCCAGTTCCCTGTATCCTCCGACTGACTGTAAGAGATGGTCCTGGGGAGAGATGCTCAGGAGTGCTACAGCTGGGTCATATGGTAGATCTGCTTTTAGTTTTTTGAGGAATCTCCATACTATTTCCATGGTTGCTGTACCAATTTACACTCCCACCAACAGTGAATAAGGGTTCCCTTTCCTCCTGCATCCTCACCAGCATTGTTTTTTATATTCTTGGTGACAGCCAGTCTAACAGAGAAGAGATGGAAGCCCAGTGTCTTTTTTTTTTTTTGGTAGATGGACATATTTATTTATGTTCTGCTGAGGATCAAACCCAGTACCTCACCCGTGGTAGGCAAGCACTCTACCACCTTGTTACAACCCCAGCCCCGTAATGTACTCCTAATTTGCATTTTCCTGATGGCTACAGATACTGAATGTTTTTTCAAATAATTATTGACCATTCATAGGTGGATTTTTTTAAAATGGTGTATAACATAATGGAGTATCATTTGGCCATAAAGAATAATGGAATCATGCCATTTTCATAAAAATGGATGGAACTAGAGAACATCACATTAAGCACAATGTCAGACTCAGAAAGATAAACATCCCAGGTTTTCCCTCATATGTGGAATCTATAAAGAACATGAAAGTAGCAGACTTGAGTAGAGAAGAGGAGACGGGAGAGGGGATAACAGAGGGAAATGATCCAGGTGTGTTATCTTCTTGTATTAATATTCCACAATTACAATTAAACCCATTATTAAAATAATATAAGTAAATGCACTTTAAAAAGTAAGAAAATCATGGGGTGTAGCTTAGTGGTAGAGCACTTGCCTAGCAAATGGGAAGCCCTCGGGAGTTCAATCCCCAGCAACACACACACACAAACATATGGAGTCTGCAATTTACATTTCACTGCTTAAAAAGAGGAGAGAGAGATGGCCCTGATATCTGTCCTTCTTCCAGGTCTGCCTGCCCTAATGTGCTCCCAAAGTGACCCTAGACACTAGTCCAGTGCTGTCTCCCCGACCTTTGGTTCATCCTGGGATGGAGGAATGCTGTTAAGTTTACCCTAAGGAAAAATCTGGGAGAGTTTTGGCTGGAGATAATAGCAACAATGCTTCAGACATTCCCTGCTGTCACCCTGCCCTGTGATAAGCAGCTTCCTTCCCCAGGAAGGCCTGATCTGAGATTAGAGTTGAGAGCTGCCACCTGGGGCTGAGCCTGCCTGGTGGGGAGGGCTGTCCCCTAGGACCCCCTCTGAGCCCTGCTGGAGAACCGTTGCTGGGCCAGGGCTCTGTAGTCTCAGACCTTAGCTCCCCGCAACCCCTGGTCTATTTCCCCATCAGGCAAGTGAGAGTATGGAACCAACTCTACAGCCCAGTGAACAGGGTCCTAGGCTCCCTGGACAGCCCACCACAGAACCTGATGTTTGGTCAGAGCTGCAGTTAAGATGGGTGCCCCAGGGCAGCGCCAACCTTCCAGCCCTCTCCTCTGGGTGGGGAGGAAAACAATTGTCAAGTGCCACACACCAGAGTTACCTGCGTTTCTCCCTGACTTGAGTTCTATATATAGCCTATTAAGGTAATAAAATAGTTGGTTCCAAAGTTTATCTCCTGATTCCCAAAGGGGAAAACAAGCATGACTCCTACTTATTGCAGAGATTTTTCACTTACAGGATGTAGTTGATCTGGAGAAATCTAGTTTTGTTTTGTTTGGGTTTGGGATTGTTTGTTTTTTGGACCTTGACACACACACACACACACACACACACACACACACACACACACACACAAAGCATTTTTTGGGAGAGAAACTGGCTGGCTTGGTCCTCCGTTTCTCATGTGGTGTATCATTGTTGTTTCATTGTTGGGAAAAAAAAAAAAGAGAGAGAAGGACATGTTTAATAATTACCTCTGTCGACCTCTGTACCTTCTGGCTTCCTCTACTTCTGGGCATAAGAGATGGCCCTCCTTAGGGATCAACTGTACAGACGCAAGTGGTCAGTAAGGCCGGCAGCTCCCCTGGCTCTACAAGGTCAAGGAGAAAGGTAAGGCCAGAGGGGTAAGGCCCCCTGCTCTCTTGAAGGAGACCTGGACAGAGAATTTACTTAGGAGGAAGGTATGACCATCTCTTAATTCTTAGTGTCCCTCAGCAATTTTTTTTTTTTTTTTTATCATTCCACTGAAGCTGTGGATCTGTTAGCATGAGATGTCTTAACCTTGAGAAGGAAGAGTGGGACAGACACCCTGGCCTTGGCCTTGATTCCACTGAGTATATTCCAGTGTGTTCTAAGCTATTTCTTTCTACTTTTGAAAACTGGAGCTGGAGTGCGTTTCAAGTGTGTTGTGACTGAGGAACAGGAGACAAGGATGTGGCTTGGGAGCCAGGAGGCCGGGGGCCTGACAGGAGGGGGGCAAAACAAGTACCTGAGGTTTGGGAAAGATCCAGAAAGCTCTGTTTCCCACCGCCTGAGCAGTATCAATGACTGACTTTTATTCCTGGGGCTGAGCAAACTGTCCCTAAGGGACTGGCCCCTGTTCTCTCCCGAGACACGAGCAAGTGATTTGCTTTGGGAGTCAGATCCCACCACGCAGATGCACTAGTCCAGATGAGCCCTGGCTGAGCTTCCCTTTGCATCTTGTCTGCTTTTGCCGAATCAAGATTCGGCCCATGCCCTCCTTGCAGCCTCCTGGGACTAGCAGGAGGAAAAGATGGGGGAGACGAGCCTGAGAAAACGGGGAGAGGATGAGAAGTCGATCCAGAGCAATGAACCCAAGACCACAAGCCTCCAGAAAGAGGTAAGGGTGTGTGGGGGACGGCGGGGTGGGTGGGAGAGGGGAGGTTGTCAGGTCTGAATGAGGGACAGGCAGCAGGGACCAAAGTCCCCACTGATCCCTAGTAGGCAACCAAAAGATATGATTTCTGCTCTGCAAAGTACATCCTAAAACGAACGGTTCTCTGGACTTACCTTGTGCTGGTGAGTGAAATCAGCATACTCTTCTGAGAATTTATATGGGAAGTTCATGAACATGCTTCCATGCATTGGGCAAGCATGTGGAGATTCCAGTATTTGCTTAAACTGATGGCCTTTACAGGGGCGGTCAGAGAAGCTCTCCTGATGGTTGAGTTTGCTGTATCCCATCTTTGCCCAATATCTGATCCTCCTAGTTTGAGCATCTGTAGTGGTGACAACTGTATCTTGGAGGAATCTAGTGAGGCAGGAGCCAGGAACTCGGCAGCAACACTCTCCCTCTCTGCCAGTCTCAGGCCTGATTCCAGTGATGTCCTTCCAGAACCCTGTGGCCCTTCAGCCACACAGCACAGCTAAGCAAACCCCAGCCATGTTCTAAACCCATTTGGACACTATAGGTTGAATGGCTGACCTTGTCCAAACAAGAGAAAGGGTCTGGGATGGGGATAGGGCAAATGTTGGTGAGCCAAACCACCAGCCAGGAACAGAGCCAGAGGAGGAGGAAGAGAAGCAAGCGCTCAGGAAGCTGAAGCCGCTGCTTGTGTGTGTCAAGGGCGCTGGGCAGCCAGCCTCACTGGGATCCTCCTCACCCTCTGGGATCTAACCCTGGTCTAACCCATGCATTTTTCACTCCCTGCTCTGGAAATCATGCCTGGGCAGCTTCAAAGGGTTGATGTTATGAGTTATTGAGTCAAGAAAATTTTTTCCCCTTTAAAAAAGCACACCCCCCATTAGCATATAATTCTCATATAGTGAAGGATGCAGCTCTTTAGTGCTCAGTTTGAGAAGTTTTGATAAATGCATCACCTTGAAAGCTCCATCTTGCTCCTTTCAAGGCAGGACCTCCCCACTCCCACCCAACCCTGAGTTCTATTGCTGTGGATTCATTTGTCCTGTTCCCAGACTTCATGGGGAGGTAGTGGTGCAGTATGTACCTGAGTTGGATGTTGTTCTTAGAAAGCCCACACCCTCCCCTACACAATGGCACCACAGGAAGTTTCTCAGTCCCCCAGTGTTTCTGTCCCCGGGAGGTCTCTGTTGCTGACATGGCTCCTCTGGCCAGGACTCCAAGTGCTGACCACAGTCTGCTTGGTGGAGAAATCCTTTCTATTCTGCCCAGCTAAATGGCATGTCCCAGGGGCCTTGGTGCTGACCTGTTTGCTAAGTGAGTCTTTCTGGGGAGCTGGTTGGCAGTATGCAACCTGAGCCAGGTCTGCCCCACCTGTTAATCCTGGGCAGGAGTAAAATGGGGGTGGTGTGGTATCCCCAACTCAGGGGGCTGTCATCAGGATCCATCTTTTCAATACAAGCAAAGCCCCCAAACTGTCCTGCTGTTAGCACAGGTGGACCTGCCTGGATGTGCCGTCTAGCTGCGCTGGCCATAAATGGGTGTTGAGGACTTGCCTCTGGTCCCTGCGACCTCTGGGGTGGCAGCATTGACTCTTCTTCCTTCCTGCATGTCCCAGGTGGGCCTGGTCAGTGGCATCTGTATCATCGTGGGCACCATCATCGGTTCTGGGATCTTCATTTCCCCCAAGTCTGTGCTCAGCAACACGGAAACCGTGGGGCCCTGTCTCATCATATGGGCAGCCTGTGGGATCCTTGCAACACTGGGTAACAAAGACCTGCTCCCCGTGGACCCCTTCCTGTCAAATGTGGGGACACACACAGCACTGCTGCCCTTGCTATTGCTGGGTTCACTTTGGATGCGCATGTGGCAAATAAGGGTACACTAAATGTCCTCAGTCCAAACTCCAGGCTGGCTGTCATGAGAGGACATGGTGGTCCCTTGGAAGCCCAGACCCCTGAGGGAGGGAGGCTCCTTGGGACTAGGGCAACACCTCACCAGGGGACCGGGTGGCCCATCCTGTCTGTGTTCCAGGTGCGCTGTGCTTTGCAGAGCTTGGCACAATGATCACCAAGTCAGGGGGCGAGTACCCCTATCTGATGGAGGCCTTTGGCCCCATTCCTGCCTACCTCTTCTCCTGGACCAGCCTGATGGTCATGAAGCCTTCATCCTTTGCCATCATCTGCCTCAGCTTCTCTGAGTACGTGTGTGCGCCCTTCTACTCAGGCTGCGAGCCTCCTGAGACAGTCATTAAATGCCTGGCTGCAGCTGCTATCAGTGAGTATCCAACCCTGGAGTCCCAGTTAGGGGTCAGGGAAAGCCTGGCACAGTTGGTGGTCAGGGAGTCTGGCCCCAGCTCCTCCACACCCAGAAAGAGGCCCGAGGGGCCTAGAGGCTCTGGGGAGAAGCAGGGCAGGCTGGGCCGTTCCTGCTGGTGCCGAGAAACCCCTAGGCCTGCCAGGGCTGCTGAGGGTCATCCGTGTCCCTGGCTCAGGCCTGGCTGCTTCTCCATCATCCTCTGGGGCAGCCCAGCTGGATGACAAAGCTCACCATCAAGTGCATTTTCAAGATCTTTCAACTCCCGTGCTTGACCCTGCCCCCTCCCTGTGTTCAGGACATAAATGTGGTGAGGGGAGGGGTGGAAGTGGGAGTAGAGAGACTTCCCAGGGCCTGTGAAAAGCCACAAGCACGTAATGTCGCCCGCTCCTGCCTTCCCAGTGCTCATCACGATAGTGAATGCACTGAGTGTGCGGCTCGGCAGCTACGTGCAGAACTTCTTCACGGCAGCCAAACTGGTGATCGTGGCCGTCATCATCATCAGTGGACTCGTTCTCCTGGCCCAAGGTGAGTGGCAGCAAGGCAGAAGGGTGGACACTGCCCAGCTCACACCTGCTTTCCTTCGGGAACAGTCCTGCGCGTGAGTGCGCGTCAAGCCTGGCAGGACTGCCCCAAAGAAGCTGTAGGTGGCCGGCCCCTCAGTCTGTTTTATAAACTGGGGGTCACAAGTCACGCCCTTCTTTCTCATGGAGAGGAGTGCAAAGTCGAGACGTGGTCGGCTGACACCCACTGTTCATTGTTTGGATTGATTACAGGAAACACAAAGAATTTTGAAAATTCTTTTGAGGGCACGAAACTTTCTGTGGGAACCGTCAGTCTCGCGTTTTACAACGGACTCTGGGCCTATGACGGCTGGTAAGGCCCCCCTCTGATTTCAACTCTATGGAAAACAAAGGCCTCTGCTTTCTGGGGTTGGGTGGGACTCTAAAATTCATCTCACATTTGCCTTTTGTATAGTGCCCCACCCCTGACCTTTCTATTGCCCTCAGACCCCAGGGACACCAAGTCAGCCTGTTCCCTGTCCTGTCCTGGACGTGGCACCTCGGGTGGGCAGGTAGTAGTGAGCCCCAGGCAGAATCTTCAACAAGCAAACAAAAAGGAGGCCCAGAAAGAGGACCCCTGGGCCTAGAGGCTCTGGTGAGAAGCAGGGCAGGCTTCATCTGGGGCTGCCCTGTGCTTGACAAGGCCAAGTGTATTTAACAATTTAAACCTTGAAAACAGTAGTTTTAGTCGATGTGACCATGCTTGTGTGACTTAAGGAAGCAGGGTGGCCATCCACGTGCAGGGCTGTCACTCCTGCCAAGCAGTCGTGAGTTTCATCTCCCGTTCAGTCTCTCATTGTTTCCAAAGTATCCTGGAGACTCCCCACTCCTGAACATTCTTGAAAATCCACGTGATTCCCGTCTGACCAACGGACAGACAGATGTGTAGGTCTTGGAAGGGCCCTGGGCCACGAGGCCACCAGGGCTTCCCAGAAAAAAACCGCCCCAGCGTTCCGGCAGCAGAGCTCCCTGTGGTGGAGAATTTTAAATGAGGCTGACATTTATTACTGTGTGTTTCACGATCTTAGCCAAGAAAGTCAGGTCACAAGTTACAGGTCACCCTTGCCTACTTTTTTTTTCTCCAGGAATCAACTCAACTATATCACAGAAGAGCTTAAAGACCCTTTCAGGTGAGGAAGCAGAACACGACGTGTGTGAAAGCAAATTTCTCCTCCCAGGCAAAAAGTGGAGCTGCTTCCTCCTGCTATTCCACCACCTACTTCCAGATTTTGCTCTTTTTGAAGTACTGAGGGAGGAACCCAGGCCTTATGCTGGGCAAGCACTCGACCCCTCAGCTGGGAGCTGACCCTACCAGCCCAGAAGGTTTCCTGTCAGCTCCTTATACACCCATTAGAGTCTGGCTTTGTTTGGGGCAGTGAAATGGTTGCTAAGGGGAGGGAAGAACTTGAACTCCCTTTATCTCTGGCTCATTTTATTTTATTAATTTCCCTGGAGGTTGTTTTTTGAGTGATCATTCTTCCTTATTCATTTTTTTAAATATTTAGTTTTAGGTGGATGCAATATCTGTATTTCACATTTATGTGGTGCTGAGGTCGAACCCAGTGCCTGGTGCATGCCAGGCGAGCACTCTACCACTGAGCTACATCCCCAGCCCCTCATTTTATTTTAAATAATTTAATTCTACTGCCTTGGAGTGTGAGAGGGAAAATTCTCATTTGAAAATGCCTCATCCCTGCTGGGGCTCTGCTGTGCCACACGTCCCTGGCAGGGGTGGGCTCAGAAAGGGCATCTGTGACCCTATCCCATCACATGAAGCAGGTGGAAGGCAGCCAGCGGGGAAGGGCTGGACAAAGATGACAATCTCACATGACCCTGTGTTCCCATGTCACCATCTCTTCCAGAAACCTGCCCCGGGCCATTGTCATTGGGATCCCTCTGGTGACGGTGTGCTACATCCTCATGAACATTGCCTACTTCGCTGTGATGTCCCCAACAGAACTCCTGCAGTCCCAGGCGGTGGCCGTGGTGAGTGCTGATGGGAAGGGGCTGTGGTTTGTGAGGAGGAGGGTAAAGTCATTTAGGAGCCTGGACAGATCAGGGACTACCTACCTGCTGGCCAAAGGCAGAGGCCTGGGGTTGGGGAGACTGTCAGCAGGTGGTGGGTTCTTCCTCCCCATCCATCCCCCACCCCCACCCACCCCCTCGCCAGTCTTCCCAGGCAAGGGGGCAGCCTGTGGCTGAGCAGAGGGCTGGATTGAGCCAGACTGGGGGTTTTGACAAACAAGAGGAAGCCGAGGGAGAATGCTAAAAGTTGAAAGAGGTAATTGGAAGTCCAGCTGAGCAAGGCAGGAAGACAGGATGAGAAGGAAGGAACCGCACCAGAGATAGCGGATACTGGGCGGGGGTCCATGGCTGGAGGCCAGGTGGTATTGGTGGACCACAGGAAATGAGTCAAACAGACAAGGAGGTGATGGGGTTCAGAGTATGGAGGAGATGCAGTTTTGTCTAACAATGAGGTCACCCATGACCAGGAGAGTGGGTGGCGGAGGAGGGCAGAGAGCAAGGTCATTTTGAGTGAGGGGTCAAGGGAGCCAGCAGCTGAATAGTGGGGTGTCTAGGACTGACTCCAGGGAGTGGTTGGTAGGAGACTTCTGCCACCACCCCAAATCCTGAGATGCCCTGAAGAGGTTTTCCACCTCCCTGCTCCAGCAGAGTCGGTCCCAGAGGCTGTGCCCAATGAGGAGAGTGGGGACCTGGGTCTTCTAGGAGGGCGAGTAGCTCTTTTGGGTCAGCAGCTCCTAGAGGCCATGGAAGACCCTCAGGATTCATTTTGCTTCCCCTGCCAGACGTTTGGTGACCGTGTCCTCTATCCTGCCTCTTGGGTTGTTCCACTTTTTGTGGCGTTCTCGACCATCGGTGCTGCCAATGGGACCTGTTTTACAGCGGGCAGGTAGGGGACCCCGCCACCCTCTCCCGGGCTGAAGCCCTAGGTGCTGGGGGCTCGGCCAGGTAGAACCCCTCGTAGCTTAAGCAGGACTCAGAAGGCCGCAGAGGGAGGGGCTTGGTCCACACAGCATGCTGGCCACCTGCACGTGGAGACCACGTGGCTGCCCTCAGTCCTGGCACTGTCACATCAGTTTATCCCAAATGAGGGGAAAATGCTGCCAACTTCAACACGAGGCAGAGGGAAGTGACAGGGTTTCCACCTGGTCCTTTCTATGTTGCATTTTTTCACTATTTATTTTACTTTAGTATACACACAAATTTGACCAGGAATTATCAAACTTCCCCTTAAGCAGATATTAATCATTGGGGCTTGCAGGCCTTATAAGTCTCCATCGCAGCTCCTCAGCTCCGTCTTTGCAACACCAAAGTAAGAAGCTCTGGTGAGGTCCCAGAAAACTAGGTAGAAACAGGTGGAGTTCGCCCACCTGTTCGGTCTGGCTTTACCAATGCCCATTCTCCTTCACGAGGCAGCATAATGCAACAGATGCTCCACTCACAGGCTGGGTGGCTTGCTTTCATAAAAGCTGCTGTTGAGAACATTCTGGGACATGTCTGTGCCCAGTGTCCAGAGTCCAGAGGATATATTTCTGAATGAAATTGCCACATGTGGACCACAGAATCATTCTTTGAACCTATCAAAGTACATGTAGTGCTAGTCCTCCAACTTTGTTCTTTAACAAAAGCGCTTCAGGCTGGGGAGGCAGATCAGAGGTAGAGCTCTTGCCTAGCATGCGTGAGGCCCAGGGTTCCAACCCCAGCAGGGCAAAAAAGAAAAAGACTAATCTAAATTCTTTGCATTTCTACATACAATTTACTTTTTTTTTTTTTTTTTTTAATGGTACTGGGGTTTCAACCCAGGGGCACTTAAATACTGAGCCACATTTCCAACCCTTTTTTATATTTTTCATTTTGAGACAGGGTCTTGCTAAGTTGCTTAGGGCCTAAGTTGCTGAAGCTGGCTTTGAACTTGCAATCCCCCTGCCTCAGCTCCCTGAGTTGCTGGGATTACAGGTGTGTGTCACTGCACCCAGCTTCTTTTATTTCTGACAATAATGGTATATATTTCTGAGATACAATGTGATACATTTATAAATTGTGGAATGAGCAAATTAGGTTGGTGAACATATACATCACCTCACATACTTATCATTTCTTTGTGATGAGAACATTTAAAATCCATTCTTAGCAATTTTGAAGTATGTTTTATTATTATTTTGCAGTTCTAGAGCATGAACCCAGGGCCTCACACATGCTAGGCAAATGCTCAACTACCGAGTACACCCCAGCCCAATGTGTACTTGATAATGTGCCATGAACTTATTCCTCCTGATACTGTACCTATTGACCCACATTTTCCTTTTCCCTGTCCATCCACCACATCCCCAGCCTCTGGTAACCACCATTCTACTTTCTCCTCTATGAGTTCAAGTTTCTAGAGTCCACAAGAACATGAGATCATGTAATATTTGCCTTTCTGTGCTTGGCTTCTTTCACTTAGCATAATGATTTCTAAAGCCATCCACGTTGTTGTGAATGATAGAATCATGTTTTTCTTAAAGGTTGACTAGTATTCCATTGTGTATTTATAGCACATTATTTTTTTCCATTTATCTGTTGATGGCTGCTTAGGCTGTGTCCATATTTCGGCTATTGTGAATAACGCTACAATGTATATCTCTCTCCTGACACACTGATTTTAGTCCTTTTAGTACATACCCAGAAATGGGATTGCTAGATGGTAGGTAACTCTGTTTGGTTTGTTGAGGAACCTCTCTGCTGTCTCTCAACAAGGCTGTATAAATGTACATCCCCACCAACAGTGTATAGGGTTCCTTTTTCTCTGCATCTTTGCCAACACTTGTCCTTTCTCTTTTTTGCAAATAGCCATTCTAACAGGAGGGAGGTGATGTCTTCATTGTAGTTTTGGTTTGCATTTTCTGATTAGTTAGTGATGTTGAACGGTTTTTCGTTATCTGCTGGGTCTTTTGCACGTCTTCTTTTGAACCATGTCTGTTTGGGGCCTTTGCCTGTTTTTAACAGGGCTGTCTTGTTACAGAGTGAGTTCCTTTCATGTTGTAGAGATAAGCCCCTTAACTGATGTATGATTTGCACATATTTCTCCATTTAGAAGGTCGTCTCTTCACAGCCGGTGCCCTTCACCATGCAGCTTTTTGCTTTGATGTAACCCAACTTGTCTAGTTGCCTCTACCGCATGTGCTTTCAGGGTCACGGGCAAGAGACCACTGCTGAGACCAATGCCCTGTAGCCTTTCTGTTGTTTTCTTCTAGTAATTTTACAGTTTTGTGTCTTTAATCCATTTGATTTGATTCTTGTATAAAGGGTGACAGAAGGGTCCGATTTTGATTTCTCTGCATGTAGACAGCCAGTTTTCCTATTTCTATATGAACATTAGAATCAGCTTGTCAGTTTATACCCAAAAAACTCTGAGGATTTTGATCTGGACTGTGTTGGCTCATTTCACTTAGCATAATGATTTCTAAGGCCATCCCTGTGGTTGTAAATTACAGAATTGGAATTTGGGCAAGTCTGCCATCTTGGAAGTGTCGATTCTTCTAAGTCCTGGCATAGATTGTCTGTTTTAATAATTTTTTTTTCAAAAATGTTTTGAGTAGTAAGAACAAATATATAGTTCTTATATATCTTTTGGTCACATTTATTCCAAAGTATTTCATATTTTTATGCTATTATAAATGTCATTTAAAAAATTTAAAAGTTGCTCCCAATAGTTTCTAATATATACATTTTAAGAGCTCATCATGTTGTTGTGCCTGAATTTTTTTTTTAAGGCTGAATAGTTATTGACCTGTTAAAACTTCACCCTTTTAATTGTACAACTCGGCTATTTTTCTTAGTTGTACATGACAGTAGAATATATTTTGGCAAATTATACCTAGAATATAACTTACTCTATTTGGGATCCCACTCTTGTGGCTGTACATATTGCAGAGTTACCCTGATAGTGTACTCAAATACAAGGCTAGGAAAGTTATGTCCAATGAACTTTACTGTCTTTCCTATTCCCTTCCCTTCGTTTCCCTTTGTCTAGCCCAATGGATTTTTATTATTCCCCTCCTCAACCTCCCTTGTTTTGGGTTAGCATCCAGAAATCAGAGAGAACATTCAGCCTTTGATTTGGAGGGATTGGCTTATTTCGCTTAGCATGATATTCTCTAGTTTCATCCATTTACCAGCAAATGCCATTATTTCATTCTTCTTTATGGCTGAGTAATATTCCATTGTGTGTATGTGTGTGTGTGTGTGCGTGCACACACACAAATATACCACATTTTCTTTATCCATTCATCCACTGAAGAATACCTAGATTGTTTCCATAGTTTGGCTATTGTGCAACTCAGCTATTTTGGTCAACCTGTAAGCTGTTCTAATTCTAGAACACTCCCATCACCCAAAAAATTTCCTTCATGCTTAATTACAGTTACTCTTTACTTCAACCTCCATCCCTAAACAGATATGTTGTCTCTGTAACCTTGCTTTTTCTAGACAGTTCATCTAAATGCTATCATTTGCAGCTGACTTCTTTTAGGAACAAAATGTTTCTGAGGTTCATTCATGTTGTAGTGTGTATCAGTTCATTCCTTTTAATTGTTGAATACTATTTTTCTATTATATGGATTCACCATCTGATGAACATTTGAATAACTAGTTTTGACTGTTATGCAGTTTTTAAAAAAAAATTTTTAGTTGTAGATGGACTCAATATCTTTTTTTATTTTTTATTTTTTAAATTTTTATTAGTTATTGATGAACCTTTATCATTTATTTGTTTATATGTTGTGCTGAGAATCGAACCCAGTGCCTCACACATGTTAGGCAAGTGCTCTACAACTTATCCACAACCACAGCACTGTATGTGTTTTTATATGGAGAAATATTTTCATTTCTCTCTGATAAGCTACTAGGAATAGAATTGCTTGGTCATAATCTAACTTTATGATTAACTTTAGTTCTGGTTAAAACGTAGATGTTTATTTAAAGCCGTGAAGCTGCCAGGTGCAGTTGAATTAAATTTTCACTATATAATGTTGTATTTGAGATGGAAAAATAAAGCCACTTTTGTTTTGAAGGCATTGACATGGTAGGCTTGGGTGTAGCTCAGTGACAGAGCGCTTGCTTAGCATATACAGACCTGGAGTTCAATCTCCAGAAAAATAAACCAACCAACCACCCAGCCAGTATGGTACATTAATATTTAATAAGACTTGGTTTATTTTCTTAGTAGTTTACAAAATCATGCTTAACCACTTCTATTATGCTTATTAGAATATTTAATTACAAAGCAAGTATAAGAAAATAAAACACAAGATGTATTTTACCCTTGTATAATCAATACTTCTTCATAAATTATGACTTTCGAAGAAACTGCCAAACTTTTTTCTAAGTGGTTGTTTCATTTAAATTTGTACAAGCCATGCATGAGGGTCCCCCCCCCCCCACCCCGCAGCCTTCACCAACACCTGGTCTTACCCTCCACCCCCACCCCCACCCCCCAGCGATGGGGATGGAGCCTAGAGCCTTGTACACACTGGGGAAGTGCTCGCCATGGACTGCACCCACACCCCAGCCTTTTTTTTTTTTCCTGCAGTACTGTGATTCCAACTCAGGATCTCACACGTGCTAGGCAAGTGCTCTACCACTGAGCTACAACCCCAATTCCCCACTCCCCCCTATTTTTTTTTGAGCATACAAAGAGTAGGATTTATTCAAGTGAGAAGAGACAGAACTCCCGCAGGGCAAGAGGGGACCTAATAGGGGTTGCTCCCATCCTTTTTTATTTTTTGAGACAGTGTCACTAAGTTGCTGAGGCTGGCCTTGAACTTTCGGTCCTCCTGCCTTAGTCTTCCAGGTACCTGGGATTACAGGTCTGTGCCACTCTGCTCTGCATAAATGGGTATGTTTACATCATAGATTCAACCAACCATAGATCAAATACATTCAGAAAAAAAAATGAGTCTGTACCAAGCATACATAGACTTTTGTCATTATTCCACAGACATATGGTACAGCACCTATTTACACAGCATTTACGCTGTGTTAAGGCATTACAGAGATGACTCACAGCAGATGAGAGGATTATACAGACGATGTGCAAGCAATACAATTGATGTAAGACACCTGAGCATCTGGGCATTTGGTATCCACAGGAGTCCTGAAACCAATCCCCCAAGGATCCAGAGGGATGACCATGTATAGTTTTTTTTTGTGGGGGGAATGGGAAGTGGGGTCTAGGCTGGCCTTGAACTCCTGGGCTGAAGAGATCCTCCCATCTTCACCTCCCAAGTAGTGGGGCTACAGGTGTGTGCCACCCACCTAGTTGTATATAATTTTTATGGAAAAAATCTAAGCATTTCCCACAATGGCTTTTTTTTAGTCAACTTTTTAGCTGCTATGACCAAAAGACCTGAGAAGAACAATTTTAAGAGAAAAAGTTTATTTGGGGGCTCACTGTCTCACAGTTCTCAGTCTATAGATGGCTGACTCTATTCCTTGGGGCTCAAGGTTTGGCAGAGGAAAAGAGCTCATGGCACCAGGAGCAGCTCAGCTCACAAAACATATACCCCAAGGGCAGGCCCCCAATGACCCACCTCCTCCAGCCACACCCTGCCTGCCTACAGTCACCACTCATCAATCCCTACTGGGGATTAACACACTGATTGGGTTAAGGCTCTCATAACCTAATCATTTACCTCTAAACTCTCTCACATTGTCTCACACATGAGCTTTTGGGGGACACCTGTATCTAAACCATAACAGGCTTGAATTTTTATCTCCCACAGGTGAACTTTCCTTCTGCCTTCCAAGATTGTTTAAAGTGCTTGTCTGGGTTTCCCCCTAGCACTCTACTCTAGCTCTTTGATCAGTGTGGAAGGTAGTTCAAGGTGAGGCCTGTCTCACTTTCTTTTTCAAACATTTACCTGTCATCCCAATATTACTTATTGCCTCTCTCCCTTATTGGTTACAATTGCCTCTATTATCATTCCCATGTGTTCCTGGTTCACTCAGTCTGATAGGTCCTTTTTTGTGCTATTGTTGTATTTATGAGAACATCTTATAGCTTTGCAATATAGAATCTGGTAGGTCTAGGACCACATCAGACTTCTCCTTGCCTGGTCAGCACTCCAGGGGCACTCATGCTTTCTGTCCAGGTGTATTGTGATTGTGTGGCTTGATATATTCATTTGTGGAGAACTAAACATTTTAAAGAGTGAATGTGCAGCATTGTCTGGTCTCCTTTCCTGTCAACTCCTTCCTGTTTCCATTGCCTTTTTCTGGGAATCAACCAGGAAAAAAACCATGCTGGCATCATCTCACAGTTCAAGTGACTGTTTCTAAAAGGATGGGTCTTTTTGGTCTTTGTATTCCTGACAACTAATTCCACAGCCTCCTAGTCTCAGTTTGTAGTCTATGCTCTCAGTTCCTCAAAAGTTTTAGAGCTTGTTTTGTGGCTCACTGAAAAGTCTGTTAGCTGGGTGCAGTGGCTCAGGAGGGTGAGGCCGGAGGATCTCGAGTCCAAAGCCAGCTTCAGCAAATTAATGATACCTGTTTCAAAATAAAATACAAAAAAGGACTGTGGATGTGGCTCAGTGGTTAAGTTCAATCCCTGATACAAAAAAAAAAGTGTGTTTGCTATGGTCTTGAAACTAGCATTTCTAAAACTGTCTCTAGATTTTTATATCAAGTCTGCAACTTGTACTGTTCTAGCTGCCCACTTTAACAGAGGCTTTGCCACGATTTCCCTGTTTCAGGGGCATCTGGTTTTTATGTCATCCTTCTTACTACTTCTTGGTAAACTGTTCTTTTTTTCCCCCCCCCGAAGAAACTATCAGTTTAAAGCCTTCAACTCTATTTTGTCTGCTATTGCTGCATCAGCTATCCTGAGGCTATTTTTGGTAATGTCCCATCTTTTCTATCACCAACCTTTCAGTGTCATTGGGCTTTTTGAATAAATCTAACCAGAGTGTTTACAATTCAAATGATTGCTGATGCAACTGAATGAATTTATAACATATTGCTGTCTTCTAAGCTTTAAAATAATCTCATTGAGTTGTGATAGCTATCAAATTTCTTTAGTCCCATTTTTCTTCTGATGTGACAGTTATACTAGTCTTCTAATGATCACCCCAAAATAGAACCTGAGTGTCTAGAACAGTAGCACTATGCCAGTTCTCTTCCCTCTCTCAGGGCTCGCTCTTCATATTGTCTAGTACATCAGCTGTATCTTATTAGCCCACACTTCCAAAAGACGTTTGTCAATACAAAAAGAAAAAAGAAAAACTAGCCCAATATTTATCTACAGACCAACATATTTTCCTTAACATTGCTTCTTAAAATTGACTGCCTCTAAGTTGTTTGTTTTTCCCTAGACTCTAATAGTTTCCAATGAGGACTGGAGAGGAAATGTCTCACTGCTTATCTAAAACTGCATTTATTCATCACGTCTTGAATGCTAGTTTAGCTACATAGAATTCAAATATGAAAATCTGTTTCCTTCATCATTTTGAAAATATTCTCACCATGTACACCATTCTGTAGTTAGTCTCTTAAATTCAGGAGCTCTTAAGACTTTGATCTCTTTCCACTATAACACATCTGGGTAGGTATGCTTTGTCTTGTGTGAGACTAGGTTCAGTTGGGGACTCAGTGTTTGTGTGTGTGTACTACAGATTGAACCCAGGGTGCTCCTCCAGTGAGCCACATCCCCAACCCTTTTTATTTGTTTTTATTGGTTCTTTTTAGTTATACATGACAGTAGAATTCATTCTGATATAATTGCCCAAGCATGGCCAATTTTTGAGACAGGGTCTCACTAAATTGCTCAGGCTGGACTTGAACTTACGATTCACCTCCTACAGGCTCCCAAGTAGCTGGGATTTCAGGCATGTACCTCTGTGCCTAGCTATGTTTCAATTTTATAAAAATTCTCTGCTTTTTGAATGTGCCTTTTACCACTCAGTGTCTGAGTTTTTTGGTGTCTTCTTCTCACTTTTCCATCTATACTTTCATCTCTCTGTGCTTCGTGTGTACATCTAACTTACAACTTATTTTTTCACTGTATCTAATTGAATTGTTAATTATGATAACTCTCTTTAACAATTCTGTTCAGCTTTCCCCCATTTTCTTTATTTAGTCTTTTAAATATAGTCTTTCAGGTTACTGAACTATCAGTTTTGGGGAGAACTGAGTGCACTTTGTGCCTGCTAATTCACCCTTAAATTTTTTTTTTGTACTAGGGATTGAACCCAGGAGCACTCAACCACTGAGCCACATCCCCAACCCCTTTGATATTTTATTTAGAGCCAGGGTCTTGTTGAGTTGCTTCGGGCTTCACTAAGTTAGTGAGGCTGTTTTCTTTGAACTTGTGATCCTCCTGCCTCAGCCTCCCACGGTGCTGGGATTACAGGCATTCACCACCATGCCGGGCTAATTCACCCTTAATTTTTTTTTTTTTTTTTTACTAGGGTTGAACCCAGGGGCACTCAACCACTGAGCCACATCCCCAACCCCTTTTATATTTTATTTAGAGCCAGGGTCTTGCTGAGTTGCTTCGGGCTTCACTAAGTTAGTGAGGCTGGCTTTGAACTTGTGATCCTCCTGCCTCAGCCTCCCACGGTGCTGGGATTACAGGCATCCACCACCAGGCCGGGCTAATTCACCCTTAATTTGCTCGACTTTTTAGAATATAGGACTTCCAGTGGCTTGACTTTTGCAAGCACAAGGCACTTCTGTGTTTGCCTCTGTCTAGTGCCCCAGGCACTGGGGTTCACTGGCCCTGGACTAGTTTTTACACATTTGTTGCATAACTTTCGGGACTCAGAGTAGGCACCTCCTCCTAAAAGGGCCTCCCCAACTATCCCTGCCTTGGTGACTCCACTGTCCCAGGATGCAGTCCTCACAGGCATATTTGGCTACCTTAATTACTCCTCCCAAACTCAATCCCCTCCAGAGAACAGACTTATCACTCAGTTCCCTTCTCTCTGGTCTCATTAGTGAAACTCAGGACACTTGCTTAGTGACTGCCATATGCTTGTTCTTTCAGGCTCATATACGTTGCAGGCCGGGAAGGCCACATGCTTAAAGTGCTCTCCTACATCAGTGTCAGGCGCCTCACTCCTGCCCCCGCCATCATCTTTTACGTAAGTATGAATCCTGCCAGGACACCAGCTCCCCTAAAGGGAGAAGGGTCTTCAATTCCGGTGGTGAAGTCAACCTGCTACTGCTAAACTCCATGGTTTTTAAATGATACATTCCCTTAGTACTTGACATAAAACACACACACACACACACACACACACACACACTGAAGACAATTTAGTTTACCAACTTCTCCCTTTTCTGAATTTATCTGTGAAAGACATTGAACCTTCCAAGCTTGTACCTTCCCTACTTCTTACATGCATGTACATTTGTCTGTTCTGGGTCCCTAGTAATAAGCTTGATAAAAGCCCAGACGCTTACAGGGTTTAACAGATAATCATCTCTCACTATGTTCTACTAGTGAGAAAATTTCTTGGAAGTTATGAGGTCGTTGGCATCTTCCAATTGGAGTTTCTTGTGTTGTGCAACTATTCTGGGCACCCAGAAACCACTCATATCCCTGGTTCAGGGACAGACCACTCTCCCCAGCTCCAGAGAACCCTCTTCTTCACCACCATGCTCAATCAGAAGATGGGAAACAGGCCCAGATACGGGGCCAGGGCCAGGCAACTGATGCCATCAAGATCAGACCTGAGTTTCATAGTCCAGGAGGCTCTGGCTCATGAAGAAAACTCTCTGGTAATTGAGTCCATGATTATGAAGCCAGAACAATGCACACATATAATTTTTCTGGTTTGTCCCTATCTTAAAATCACCTCTTCGAAGACTCAAAAATTGTTCAGTTCTTCCTGTCAGGCTTCAAAGAGAACAGCTATGGTAGCCATAGTCAAGGTTACCTGGGAAGGTTCTTTCATGTTATAAATTTTATGCATAGGAAGAACTGTTTCTTCAGTCTTTTGTGAAGTGATAAGAGTAATGTTTTTATGTACTAATGACCTAAGAATTTATTCTTCTTTTAGGGTATTATAGCGACAATTTATATCATCCCTGGCGATATAAACTCCTTAGTCAACTATTTCAGTTTTGCTGCATGGCTGTTTTATGGGCTGACGATTTTAGGACTCATTGTGATGAGGTTCACAAAAAAAGACCTGGAAAGGCCTATCAAGGTAAGTTTAATGCATGAATGTCATAAGCATTCTTAAAATTAATTAGAGGCAACTACTGCAAGTGCTAGAGCAATCGTTCTCTTTCCAACCTGACTCTACTCTGTTTTTAAGTATTATATTTTAGAGGGGAGTTCACTCCTTACTTCATTTCATATGATAATTTATGATTCAATTAGCCACTTGTATCATCCATTTTATTAACCTGTTATTAATAACTGTGACCAATCTCTCTAACCATAGCAACAAGTCAGTTCTAATAGTCCCAGTGTCTCTCATGCATACATTTAAAATTTTTTTTTTTTTTTTGGTACCAGGGATTGAACTCAGGGGCACTTGACCACTAGGCCACATCCCCAGCCCTGTTTTGTATTTTTATTTAGAGAGAGTTGCTTAGTGCCTTGCTTTTGCTGAGGCTGGCTTTGAACTTGTGATCCTCCTGCCTCAACCTCCCAAGCCACTGGAATTAAAAGTGTGCACCACCACACCCTGCCTCTTGCATACACTTTTCATATAATGATAGGGATTTCTGGACTCTGGTCCGGGGTCTGTTCTTGTCCACCTTCATAATATGCTTTTCCATCCTCTCGATAGCTGGTGTGCCTATAAACCATGAGAGGAAGTAGAGTTTACTTTGTTTTGCTATTTAATTTTTATGGTAACAGATACAACCTGCCTGGAGCCTGGCAGCTCCACCTCATTCAGCTCACCTAGGCTGTGACATCAGGGTGGCAAGATAGATTTTTAATCCGCACAAAACCCTTCATAAAAATAGTCAGAGCCACTGGAATAGCAGAGGCTGTAGCCAACATCTTCAACATAAATGAGGAAATGAAGCATTGCCACTGACCTCACCCTGGATGGAAGCACTATGAGCCCCACCCAGAGGGCTCACAGGTGGGATTCCCAGTAGGAAGATTCAAGAACCAACAGTGGAGGTTAGAGAACAGAGCTGTAATGTCCTCAGCCTGCCAGGATCCTAGCAGCTCCCCACAACACCTTCCTTCCAGAAGGACAGAAGCACCCCCTGAACCACTGAAGATGACAGGAACAGCTGCTAGGAACAGAAACCACACCGAGCATGGAAGAACCTCAGGTCCCAGGAGGCGGGTCTGGGATACACGCCTTCCACCTGGCTGAGGCTGCATACACAGCCCATGTTGTGTCAGGCTTCAAAACAATTTCAGAAAGTGAAATAATTTCAGAAATAAAGAGCAAGCAAGAAGGAACATGAGGGCAAAGGATCATGCCAGCAAAAAAAGGACCTGAAGAAGAAAATGAAAAATTCCAAACAGAAATAAAGAGGATTTGAGAGAAAATAAGGAGACAGAAACAAGGAAGTTCTGATACATGTATAATTGGAGTCCCTGAAGAAAAGAATGAAATTAACCAGAATTCTAAAAACTAATTTCAAAACTATTTCCTGTGGTGGAAAGGTTGGTTGAAGGACAGGCGCAACCATTCAACCAATGTAGTAAAAGGATACAACAGGATTAGGAAGTATAAACTAGAATAGGAAACAAAAATATATTCTGATATAATTATGGAGCTTTAAAAAATACTTTGGGCATCCATTCTCCCTTTCTTGTCCCCACTGCCATCCCTAATTTACTTATAAAGGAAAAAATAATAATACCAACATTAACACTTGGTGCCAGAAGACTCTGGAGCAGTATATTTAAGATTCTTATGGGGCATGGTAGCTCAGGCCTGTAATACCAGCAACTCAGGAGGTTGAGGCAGGAGGATCACAAGTTTAACACCAGCCTCAGCAACTTAGCAAGGCCCATAATAACCTAGTAAGACCCTGTCTCAAAATTAAAAAAAAAAAAAAAAGGCAGGGACGGGGACACTGGGGATGTAACTCAGTGGTAAAGCACCTCCGTTTCAAACCGCAGTAACCCCCCCAAAATCCAAGATTTCATATCCAGCCAAAATGACCTTGAAGAATATAATTACCAGTATAAAATGATTCAAGGAATGCATTATTACATGAGCCCTCCTGAGGAATCACCCAGAGAATGAACTTCTGTAACCAGAAAGTCATTGGCATAAGGTCAATGTATTTAACTACAGAACTGAGGCTAGAGGATGAAAGGTAAAGGTGAAAGAACAGTATATCAATATTATGCAACAAAAATGAAAATGTAGAAAATAACGTGAAGTATATACCAATTAAGAAAAGCATGCCAGGGCTGGGGTTGTGGCTGAGTGGCAGAGTGCTTGCCTCACATATGTGAGGCACTGCGTTCGAGTCTTATCAAAGCATATAAATAAATAGCATCAACAACTAAAAAAAAAATTTAAAACAGAAAGAAAAGTATGCCAGGCAAGCTGCCAATTAAGGATACCATTTTAAATTAGAGGCTGAGGGAAAGAAAATAATTCCTAGCTTATGTAACTATTGCCCATTCTAGATAATACCCCAAAGAGATAGAAACACACTAATAACAGGCAACTTGAAAACACCTCCTTTGGTCCAAGACAGATCCAGACACATCACTAGTAAAAGTGATTGAAGACTTAAAAACAACAACAAGGTAAGGTAGATCTTGCAGATTGATATTTAACTCTGAAACCCAACAACAGCAAACACACCTTTTCAAATTCACATATAGGAACAGGTCTGAATACTGTCAATCTTTATAAAAACATAAAGAAAAACTTGATGGTAAAAAAAAAATCATGCAAACTATATTCTTCATCTATAATGCAACACAACAAAAAATAGGACAAATGACACTTTTGAGTCCAAGAGGAAATAGGAAATAATGAAAATGAAACAATCTATAGACACAACTTGGAGCCTTGAGAACATTTTCTTGCCTTAAGTATTAATATCAATAAAAGTAAAAGAAATGAAAACCAGGCAACTCAAAAAAAAAAAAAAAACAAGAGAAAGAGAGTAGAAGGAATTAATAAATATGAAAAGAACTTGAAGTGTTAAAAAGAGAAAAACAAATGAGTGACTAAGCACACTGGCTTTCTGAAAGTTTTCATTTTTTTTTCAATTCTCTAGTACAAATTAATACTGGGATTATCTGAATTTTAGAATTTCCCTGTGATTCTAATTCTGTTGAGATCAGTTTTAGTAAACCATACGTTCCTAGAAAATTGTCCATTTCATTTGGTGTTCAAATTAATTTGTATAGAATTGTCCAAAGTAGTTCTCAGCATATTTAAGAAAAATAACTTCCTGTGTTCTGGAGACTGTTTTCCCATTTTCATTTCTTACTTGTGTTTTGTAGTTTCTCCCCATTTAAGGTTTTTAATTTATTTTTTAATATATTTTTAAAGAGTATTTTTTATATGTACATTTATTTTATTTATTTTTATGTGGTGCTGAGGATTGAACCCAGGGCCTTATACATGCGAGGCAAGTACTCTACCGCTGAGCCACAGTCCCAGCCCCCATTTAAGGTTTTTTAAAAATTGGTTTTCAATTTTTTATATACTATAACATTGATATCAAGCCTTACAAAGACAGTACAAACTAGGAAAAATTACTGTACAATCTCACTTATGAATAGTGATATAAAATCTTTATAGTAACTAGCAGAATCCAGCTACATTAAAAATATATTATGAGTAAGTCCATAATCAAAATGATCAAAATCTATTAGTTAAAGCTGAATTCATGGATGGCTATGATTCATCACACTAGCATATTCATGAGAGAAATCCCTATGATCACCAGAGATGCAAAAAATAAAATCTAACACACATTAATGATAAAAACACAAACAGGAATTTGACCTTAATAATATGTACTCTCCATTTCATATGTGTATGCATGTGCGCATGCACACGTACAAAAGGCAAAAAGCTATTTATTTGACATGGTAACACTAGAGAGATTCTTGCTAAAGTTAAGAACAAGAATGACTTCTTTTTCTACCATCATTAACATTGTTTTAAAGATATTAGCAGGGTGATCAGAAGAAAACAATTTGCATTTTAAGAACTAGAAAAGTCTTTGAAAAGAATCTAAAACTGTCCTTTTAAAGATAATATAATTGGGGGCTGAGGCTGTGGCTCAGTGGTAGAGTGCTTGCCTAGCATATTTGAGACACTGGGTTCAATTCTCAGCACCACATATAAGTAAATGAATAAAATAAAGGTCCATACATCTAAAAATTTTTTTTAAAAGTAAATAAAGACAATATAATTGTATATCTGGAAGACTTGAAAGGATCAAAGAAAAAACTAAAAGAAAATTTAGTTTGTAAGATATAAAGTTAACACACTAGGGGCTGAGGATGCAGTTCACTGTAAAGCACTTGCCTAGCATATGAGGCCCTAGGTTCAATCCCAGCATTGCCCCCCCGCCCCAAAAAAGGAACAAAATAAAATAAGCACGATGAAATCTATAACTTTTATGCAAATTAGAGCCAATGTAAAGATTTTAGCCAATTTTAGGAAACACCCCCTCCTCTCAAACAGAACCACAAAACACAAAACCACTCATTGACTTTGCAGGACGTTAGACCTGTAGATGGAAAACTGCATAATACTCCTGAAAGACTTCAAAGGAAATTTGGACAAATGGAAATTCATACATATTCTTGGACAGGAAAATTCAGTATCATAAAGATGTCAGTGTTCCCTAAATTAATTCAGACATTTAAATACAGCTGCAAAAGATAAAAAATAAAAATAAATAAACAAATAAATACAATTGCAATAGAAATGTCATGTATTTTTTTTTTCTGGAGATATATAAGTTAATTCCTAAGTTCATACCGAAGGACAAACAAGCAAGAATTATAGGAAAACATTGAAACAAGAGAATGCTATTAAATATTTAAATATTATGGTGCTGTTGCATGAAAACAAATTTCTTTATAAATTTATAAATGTTTAAAACTTTCCCATGACTCAAAATCCAGATAATAAGGGGGGAAAATGATAAATAGAACTCTAATAAAGTAAAAATTCATGTCTTTAAAAAAGAAACATGTACATAAGAAAATATTTGCAAATAATATTACACACACACACAACACACAACACACCACACACACACACACACACACACACACACACACACGGCTAATATCATTAACATATAGAGTTCCTAAATACAGAGATGAAAAATATCAGCATATGAAAGAAAAATGGACAAAAGACACAAAAAAGAACAGTTCAAAGAGGAAAAAAATGCAATGACAAAAATATAAACAAAGAAAAAAAATCCCAATAAAGCTCAACTTGGCTTCTAATAAGAGAATGCATGCCAAAATTGAATGAGATACCATTTATTGCCTATTAGATGGGCAGAAATCCCAAAGTCTGACTCCATTGGAGGAAGCATGCGGAATAGCCCTCTCATACATTGCTAGCAGAATACAAATAGCATAGCCACGATTGAGGGAAATCTGGCAATCTCTAGCAAAATAATTTGACCCAGCCATCTCATTTTGAAATGATCTATCCCCAAATGAAACTGGCAGAAATATGAAATACAAAGTGATTTATCATAGCATTGTTAACAGCAAAAGGTTCAACACAACCCAAATGTCCATGACTAGAAGACCAGTTGAATGAACTATGGTATAGCCACAAAGTAGAGTAGTAGTATGCAACAGTAAAAGATGAATGATTACAAAACTTATGTATTTACTAGGGCATTACCCCTGCAATATATTGAAAGAAAAACGCAAGCTGCAAAACTGTCTATTATGCAAGTTGCTATCTTTTATGTAAGAGCAGTGGAAGATGAACATGCATATGTATGTTTGTGCATATGTTTATTCTCAAGAAGAAATGATGGAAGAATAAAGTGATATCAAGAAAAGTTAAAAAAATAGTAATATTAATAAACAAAAATGGATGGGGCTAGGGTTGTGGCTCAGTGGTAGAGTGCTCACCTAGTATGCATGAGGCACTGGGTTCAATCCTCACACCACATAAATATAAAATAAAGATATTGTGTCCACCTAAAACTAAAAAAAATATAAAAAAATGGAATCTAAAAAGGAAAAAATGAATCCCTAAAAACTGAAAACAAATGAAGATAAACAACAAGTAGGTGACATAACCAAATAGAGAAAATAATTACTAGAATTGCTATTAAAATATTAAATAATTACTAGAATTGTACAAACTACAATTTAACATAACCAAACAGCTGATGAAGTCCTTCACTGTAGATAATTAAGATAATAAAGGGAATAAATCTTCCTTTGGGCTATGTTTTTGGTTAAAAAAGAAATGCAAAAAAAAATCCCTTTTTATTTTTAATACTGGGGATTGAACCCAGGAGCACTCGACCACTGAGCCACATTCCCAGCCCTTTTTTATATTTTACTTAGAGACAGGGTCTTGCTAAGTTGCTAAGGCTGGCTTTGAACTTGAGATCATCCTGCTTCAGCTTCCCTAGTCACTGGGATTATAGGCATGTGCCAATGTGCTGGGTTTACAAAGAAAAATTCTTAAGCTTCTTAGCTCTACTTATAATATAATACTGGTATAGTTATTTTAAAGTGCCTTGACAGTTACATTATAAGAAAGCAAATGATTGAGTTGAAGTCATAAGAAGTAATATTTCAGAAATATAAGGAAAAAAATAGGTCTAAATTAAAGGAAGGAAAAAACTCCCATGAAATCTTACATTTAAACTAAAAGAATCTGTATGAATTCATGAAAAATTTTCCTTTCTTGAAAAAGCACCTTTATCTCTGTATTTGTAAAAGAACAATGAGTATTCCAACCACCCAGATTATAGTCTTCTAATGCCACTTCTCACTGAAAGGATACAGAGTTCCCTGCAGAGATGGATGGCACATCCTGTCATGCCAAAAAGTAGGAAAAGCTTCTGAAAAGATCTAGGATCACATGGCCAAGGCCCTAAAGCCAGTTTTAAGAGGCTCCTGATGGCAGTGACAAGGCAGTATGAACAGAACGCTGAACAGAACATTGGAAAAAATGACTACATAGGATTGAAACTTACAAATATATTACAACCCAAGAGTTTAAGAGTTTAAGATCATTCTAAAAATTTAGAAGTAAAAAGAGCCAAGCATTTATGCTGCCTTTCCCATATAAATTGCAATTCAGAATAACCAAGTAGTTGATGAAGTTATTCACTGTAGACATTTAAGTCAAGAAGGAAAGAGAAACATCACCATTTTGCAATCCCTGATGAAATCACCAATTGAGTCAACATGATCAGTGAAGGATAAAACCATTACAGCTTTAGTTTTGCTTTAAAACCATGAAAAATTAGCAAGAAAGTTGCAATGGTGAGGTTGGATTGGTCTCTCTCCTCCACATCTGCCGATGGACCTCAGCACTTCAAAAGTGGGACAGACATTATTGCCTCATGAAGTATCACAAAAGGATGTGCACTTCTCTGACCGTGAAGGGTTCTTCCTTCTACATCAACCACTTTACAGGATACGGGAGAGAGAGGAGCCAGTTAAATGACATCTGGAGGAAGCAATCACACAAAACTGGATTTAAACACTGTACAGGTGAAATCATCCACTTCCCCCAAGGAATCAGTAGTAAGATAAGGAGGGGGGATTATCTAGTTGAAAACAGGAGGCCTTACACTGGGCACAGTGGCGCACGGCAGCTCAGGGGAAGTTGAGGCGGGAGGACCATTAGTTCAAAGCCAGCCTCAGTAACTGGGAGGTGCTAAGCAACTCAGTGAGACTGTCTCTAAATAAAATACAAAATGAGATGGGGAGGTGGCTCAGTGGTTGAGTGCCCCTGAATTCAACCCCTGGTACCCCCATCAAAAAAAAAAAAAAAAAAACTCCAAAACAAACAAACAACAACAACAAAAAAACAGTACACCTTCACTGACTAGAGATGCATATTCAACATTTTACAGTTATCTGTATTGTCTGTTCTAGGAACAAGAAGACTGGAGTAGGTGAAAAGACTGGCAAAATTACATAAACATTCTTGAAACTGCAGGAAGGGTTCATAGAGTTCATTCTACTCTTTTTTTCTATGAAACAATTGAAAATGAAAATTTTAAAAAGGAAAACAAATGTATGGGGCTTAACCACACGCCTTGCTGTCTTGTTTACAGGTACCCATTTTCATTCCCATCTTGGTGACTCTCATATCTGTTTTTTTGGTTCTGGCCCCAATCATCAGTAGGCCTGCATGGGAGTATCTCTACTGTGTGTTATTTATACTGAGTGGCCTTATATTTTACTTCCTTTTTGTCTACTACAAATTTGGATGGGCTCAGAAAATCTCAAGTAAGTATAAACAGAAGGGCTGCTGTGCCATCAGTAAAGGGCAGAGGGACAATCTCACCTGCCTTCTTACCACCACATTTCCTTATGACAGATTCTCACCTAGATAACAGACTTCACCTCCTCGTTGGAGGATACAGGACGCTTTTCCCTCTATAATGCTCTGGGTCTATCCCTAGTCTCCTTTGTTCCTGTCAAATATTATTAACAAGTAGGAAGGAAAAGCGCCATTTTCTTTTCAATTGTAAAATACACTTAAGATAAAAATTTATCATTTAAACCACTATTGAGTGACTAGTTCCATAGGGTCAAGTATATTCATGTCCTACATCTCATCTTGACAGCACCATTTTCTCCTGCCAGAGCTGTGTGGCCATCACCTAAGAGGCTCAACAGTATCCCCCCCAAATACCCCAAAAGTGATGGTAGTTAGGACAGGGAATTGGGACAAGAGCCTGAACCTTCCCATGCTGAGACCATCAGGATTCTGCATCCTGATCCTCATCTATTTTGGACAAGAGTTGTTTAAAAACTTAGCTTATGTTAGCCTCATCCAGTTCTAAAAAGAAAGCACTGTGCAAAAAAAAGCCTCAAAAAAAAAAAACCCTCTGAACTTACCTATTTTTTAAAAGTCTGTAACTACATTATATTCACTAGTGTTTTACCTTACCCAGCAGATTCAACTAAGAAACCCCACTTGCCTTCAAAGCCACCTCACCAGGCAATGAGGTGATCAATGGCCTATTTCTTCTCTATACTGGGAGTCCCTTTCAGACCAGAACTGGGCTCTGCACAATGAAGCTAGCAATGTCTGGTATCCAACATTCATTCACTGAGTAACTGTGATTAAAAACCTAACTCTTCCCTGCTGCTGTTCAGCCTGTCAGAACAAGAAAAAAAATCACCCCGAGGCCCTCCTATGGTTTTTATTTATACACCTGCATAAATATAATACACACAGTATGAAAGAATAGAAGCAAGCTGGTTGGTAGGGAAGTTGATCTGGGATTCCAGATGCAAGTAACAGGGTGGAGCATGCCTTTCTTCAGTTTGAGCAAGTGAGAGCTTCTATCTGTTTTCTCAGCTGTGGAATCTGGTACCACCACTTATATGCAAGTGGTGGTAGAACCAGAGAGACTATTTCCTGTTGGTTAGCAAAGTGAAAACAAAGCACACATAGCTATTATTTCCACTTTCCTGAAACAGCTCCTTTCACCTCCATTCTCTTCACTCCAGTCTCAACCCTAAGCTGAGAAAGACAGGCTGCAGGCAGGCCCATGAGTACAGAAAGGAAAGGAAGTCATTCAGAAAAATAGCCATTTTCTCCATGCTTCTGAAATGAACTTGGATTTGACCACACTGATGGAGAACCTAGCCAGGATGACTGGCAACCTGATGATACAAAATACAAGCTGCTTCTCAGCTGTTTCCTCCCTTAAGTATGCTTAACCAAGTTGCTCCTTCCAAAAACTGATAAGACCTTGGGTCAAGGTGGTTTAAAAAAAAAAGCAAACATTTTTATTTTAGACACAATGCAGTCTCAGTGACTTCATATTGGTCAATGCTTGGTATTAAATACATACACAGAATTGAGTCACTCATATTTTTCCTATAGTGTAAATTAGAAGCAAAAAAATATTTACCAGGTTCCTAATTCCTTAATAGGAAATAATTTCTATACAACCAATACAGTTACCAGGAGGGTTCTCATTAACTCTGAACCCCAGGTGTCACCTGAGTGGAGGTCCTAAGAGGTGACCTATCACCACAGAGTAAGAACAGGCTCACTGCTCAGCAGTGATAGGGAGGTCTTTTAGTTATGTGTTGCTAACTGCACTTCTTGTGCTTTCTGTCCCAGAGCCTGTCACCATGTACCTTCAGATGCTGATGGAAGTCGTCCCACCAGAGAAAGAAACTGAGTAACAAGTTCATTGCTTGTAGCCCAGTCAAGACTGTGATGAATTTATTTTTGTAAGCAATATTTGTGGTTATTTCTTCCTGATATTTTTCTTAAGGAAAAAAATATGCCCAGGTGTTTGTATAATATTATTTTTAGATATCCTTCATTCTCTGAATAGAGGTCTTGACAGAAGTGACAGGTATTTGCCAAAGTTAAAAGGAGAGAACAACGCCTAACAGAAAGATGATGACTGGGAAAGGGCTGTATAAAGACCATTACCAGGTGGGGCTGGGGAAGCCCAGTAGTAGAGCACTTGCCTACCATATGAAAGGCATTGGATTCCATCCCCAGCACTGCAAGATAAATAAAAAATAAAGGGTATTCCTTAAACTCATATGATCAATAAGGTCTATTCTGGTGATATTTTTGCTTTGACTGACATAAATTTTTTAAAAATCTCACAAATTTTTTTCTCCATTTTTCAGAAAAAATATTGCCACCCCTGTATTTAACTGTGATATACATGATATGTCTGTGCTGGGCTGAATAATGAGGCCCCCACTGCAAAGTTGACCATCTACCTAGAACACTGAAAGTCTAATGTGCTTACATGGGAGCTCTATCCAGGTCAACATCACTTGCTTCCCAACAGCCCACTAGCATCTTGGTCACCAAAAGTGTGGTGAAATAAATCTTATTTTGTACTTAGCACCCAAGGAAAATACAGTTTAAAAAACTGAAAACGTGCTGGGCGCACTGGTGCACACCTATGATCCCAGCAGCTTGGGAGGCTGAGGCAGGAGGACCACAAATTCAAAGTCGGCCTCAGCAATTTAGTGAGACCCTTCCTGGCTCAAAATAAAAGATAAAAATAAAGAGCTGGCGATGTGGCTCAGTGGTTAAGTGCCCTGGGTTCAATCCCTGGTACCAAAAAAAAAAAAAAAAGAAAAAGAAAAGAAAAAGTAACATTTCTGTGAGGACACTGAAACTTTATTAATGATACACTACAAAGGCATTCACATCAGAACTGTGAGAGAAATCTTAGAAGCACAGATGAAAAAAAATTTCCCTTACATTTCAGAAATCAGTACATTTTAATAGCAGTACAGAAAAACAATTATGAATCCTTTACATAGTCAGCATCCTATGTCCATTTAAATATTGTTCAGAGCTTCAAATATTAGCAACACTGAATGTCTGAAACAAGAAGTTGAGACTTAAACATACAGCCCTTCTCCCTCAATATTCCTACTGAGCTACTGGTGAACTGTGAAAAGAACTGGCACCGTGTCCTGACATAGGACCTGCCATCAACACTGGGAAGCAACCTTCTATAGCTCTAGATCCTGCCATTATTGTTCACAAAAGACTACACACAGCTAAGCACAGAGGACGGGCAGCCAGTGGGTACCCACGGGATGCTCTCTGGAGGTGCAGGCACTGCCCCAAGCCCTCCCTCAGCAGGGGCATACCTGAACCTACAGAAACTGACACTAACAAGGATGAGCACCAAAGTAGAACCTTGCCAGAAGACACCAGATCTTTTTGCTTCCTGAAGAGCCTGCCCAATGTAGCCATCTCATTCATGGGCCAATTTGATAGCTGGCAGCCAACCATGAGAGTCATAGCAGCAGCAAGGACAGGCTCCTGGAAGCTCTTCAGGCTGGACCTCATCCTCTGACTGTAGTGCAGTGGTTGGTGCCCATCACAGAATCCCTGGACAAAAAAGATGGCCTGCCCCAACAGCACTCTGGGCATGCTCTGTGGCAAGGGGAGGCTATGCAATGATCTCAGCATTTTATTTTACAGATGAGAAAAGTGAGAGCCAGAATCCTGCTCATGGGATGGCTTGATGAGAGAATTTACCTTCAGTTCAAGCAGTAGCTTAAACGGAGGATGTACATAAGCTTGGGCATCTGTGCTTCTGGTTTAAAAAAAAAAAAAGAATAAAGGTCTTGGGGCAGTCACTCAACAGTCATGTTCTATCAATGTTTTTTCCCACTTCTTGGATAAACTGAAAAACTGATATTGAGGGACAGGATTTAAAATTTCCCAACAGCTCACCTCCTCAACTTTTTAAAATGAACAAAGCATGCAGGGTATTCTACAACTATGCCTCCTGGCCTCCTACATCTAAGTGGCAGTGACTATACATACTCCTCCCAAGAAGCTGGTAACCCTAGGTGCCACAACCTTTCAAAAGGATCAAGTCATGAAAGTTTTCAGGGCTCACTTCATCCAGGTGTTCTCATAGTTACTCCCAGATACTGCAAAGGTCCCTTTTAAGTGTCCAAAAAAGAAAACTTTGTCCCATTTGCCCTGGACTCTGCAAGTCCAAGGGGGCAATTTAGAACCAGCACTGACACATCCAGAAAGCCCTGAGTCTTCTGGTCTTCCTAAGGTAATCCCATACTGTCTTGGGGAAAAAAATCAACTTGCTTGGAAGCTATCAAGATCTGGAGAATACTGAAAGTTTTAGTACCCGTACACAGTGATGGCGAATCCTGACTAATTCAATCAAACTTGAAGGGCTCTGTTAAGCAGTTGTTGAACATGAATTTATTTGTAAAATGGAAGTCTCATATGCCTAACACTGGGTTTTAAGCAATGTACCACCAAATGCCTAAATGAAAAAAGAAGTGGACTAAAGCCAGGCGTGGTTGTGCACGCCTGTAATCCCAGTGGCTCAGGAGGCTGAGGCAGGAGGATTACAAGTTTAAAGCCAGCCTCAGCAACTTAGCAAGGCCCTAAGCAACTTAGTAAGACCCTGTCTCAAAAATAAAAATTAAAAAGGGCTGGGGATGTGGCTTAGTGGTTAAGAGTCCCTGGGTTCAATCCCTAGTACCAAAAAAAAATAAAAGTACTAACTGCATATGGTGAGATTCAAATCTCAAATGTCACGGTTTGTGCTTGTTCAAATTTGTATATGTCTGGATGAGTTATTAGAGGCAGTGAAGCAGACTCCTGTACAATCTGGGTTCTGCTTCTGACTCCAGATCCTGCTTCCACCACCTTCGACAATCTCATAATTTTTAACCTATTGTTAAGTCAACTAAGAATTCTCACCAGTACCGATCCACTGCCACAAGATGACACTTAGTAATAATTTATCCTTCAGGCACAAAAAGGTTTGGCTATGACTGCTTGTTTTCTTAAAGTCCAGTCACTTAGCAATGTTTTTGTTTAGAGTCTTCCGGCCATTCTTCTGGATTTACTTCACATTCTCATTCACTCTCACTTCCGTCATCCTCCGAAGTGATGTCACTGTTTTCAACCACCTCTGCCACTTTGCAGGACAGGTTTTTAGAATTTATGACTATAAAAGTTAGATAATATATATGTTAACAATAGTCTATTTGGCAAATCTTTGTTCCCCATTATTTTGGTCAGTGCAGAAAATGTCCCTTGGGTTCTAGTTCAATCTAGCCATTTATTTGATATTTCTATTATTTTAGGTAAGAAATGAGCTGGTAAAATTTGCTCAAAAATAAATTGTTCATCTAGGTCAAATGTCATACAAGTGTTATAAGAAAAGTGTGTTTATTACCAAGAGGTGGTAAATTCTCATACCACAACATTTAGCACCAAGATCAATCACAAAGAGAAAGCCAATTTCTAAGGGCTTTATACCAAATAGCATTTGCACAAAACCCGACTCCCTAAAGTCAGCAGATATGCACCACCCACACCATGCTCAGGACCCTCATCCCTTTAGGGAATAGTTGTTTCACATCTTACTCTTGGAGAAAGGGCCGTCTTCCTCACATTCTTCCCAGTGATCAAAGTCAAATGCCACATTAGGATTCTGTTCAATAAAACAGCTCGCATAAGTGAACGAATATAAAACCCATGGTGTGCAGACCAGTCAGCCACAGTGCGTTCAACTCACCCTCTGTTTGAGTAAGTTACACCAGGATTCCCTTTTCTCTTTTGCAAGTGTGATTACAGGCTCCTCATTTTTAATTACACACTTGCATTCATCTTTTCTTATGTTGGCCTGTAGCTCCATATCAGCCAAGTAAAATTTGTCTCCCACCCAGGCACTAGATTTATAAAAAGAATAAAGTTAGCCTTCTAGCATGTTGGAAATTATTTCTATTTTATTTTATAAGCCATGCATAAACTTACCTGAAAATGACTCTATCTCTGAAGTATTTACATTTGTAATCTTTTACATTCCTTATTCTTATTTTCAAGATGACGACATCTTCTTTTTGGAACCACTTTACTTGTGGGTGAAAGCTAGAAGGAAAGATAAAGGCTTACCAGTATTTAGTCACCAATTAAGGGGAGCATGTGCTCTGGCAACAGGGAGACATACCTTTTCAGGTGTGGCTGTGCGCTTTTGCTAACAGAAGCAGCTCCTGTGTCTTCAGATAAAGTGTCTGTACAAAACCAAAGTCAAATTTTCCTACAGGTTATTTATATACAACACATACACAGTTATAGGTACACATACTCTTTTGCAACATACCCAACATTTAGACAAGGGATTACATAAAAGTATATATTTCATAGAAACCCAATATCCAGTTATAAAGAATAATTAGAGGGCTGGGGTTGTGGCTCAATGGTAGAGCGCTTGCCTAGCATGTGTGAGGCACTGGGTTCTATTCTCAGCACCACATAAGTTAAAACAAAAATAATGGTCCATTGACAACTAAAAAATATTTTTAAAAATAATTTTTAAAAAATTAAAGAAAGAAGTCAAAGAAGACCTTAGAAGATGAAAAGATCTACCTTGCTCTTGGATAGGCAGAATTAATAAAAATGACCATACTTCCAAAAGCACTAATTTAATGCAATTCCCAATGGCATTCTTCATAGAAATAGAAAAAAACAATCATGAAATTCATCTGGAAAAATAAGAGACCCAGAATAGCTAAAGCAATCCTTAGCAGGAAGAGTGAAGCAGGTGGCATCACTATACCAGACCTTAAACTATACTACAGAGCAATAGTAAAAAAACAGCATGGTATTGGCACCAAAACAGACTGGTACATCAATGGTACAGAATAGAGGACACAGACACTAACCCACAAAATTACAATTATCTTATATTAGACAAAAGTGCCAAAAACACGCACTGGAGAAAAGATAGCCTCTTCAACAAATGGTGCTTGGAAAACTGGAAATCCATATGCAACAAAATGAAATTAAACCCCTATCTCTCACCACGCACAAAACTCAACTCAAAATGGATCAAGGACTTAGGAATAAAACCAGAGACCCTGCATCTAATAGAAGAAAAAGTAGGCCCTAATCTCCATCGTGTGGAATTAGGCCCAAATTTCCTTAATAAGACTCTTGTGACGCAAGAATTAAAATCAAGAATCAATAAATGGGATGGACTCAAACTAAAATGTCTCTTCTCAGTAAAAGAAACAATCTGTGAGGTGAATAGAGACCCTACATCTTGGGAGCAAATCTTCACACATCAGATACAGCACTAATCTCTAGGGTATATAAAGAACTCAAAAAGCTAAGCACCAAAAAATCAAATAACCCAATCAATAAATGGGCCAAGGACCTGAACAGACACTTCTCAGAAGATGATATACAATCAATCAACAAATATATGAAAAAATGTTCATCATCGCTAGCAATTAGAGAAATGCAAATCAAAACTACTCTTAAGATTTCATTTCACTCTAGTCAGAAATGACAGCTATTATGAAGACAAACAACAAAAAAGTGTTGGCGAGGATGTGGGGGAAAAGGTACACTCATACACTGATGGTAGGACTGCAAATTGGTGCTGCCAATATGGAAAGCAGTATGGAGATTTCTTGGAAAATTGGGAATGGAACCACCATTAGACCCAGCTATCCCTCTCCTCAGTCTATACCCAAAGGACTTAAAAACAGCATACTATCCAATCAGAATGGCAGCTATTATGAAGACAAACAACAATAAGTGTTGGCAAGGATGTGGAGAGAAAGGCACACTCATACACTGCTGGTGGGACTGCAAACTGGTATAGCCAATATGGAAAACAGTATGGAGATTCCTTGGAAAACTTGGAATGGAACCACCATTTGACCCAGCTATCCCTCTCCTTGGTCTATACCCAAAGGACTTAAAAACGGCATACTACAGGGACACAGCCACATCAATGTTTATAGCAGCACAATTCACAATAGCTAAACTGTGGAAGCAACCTAGATGCCCTTCTGAAGTAGTTGTTTTTTTGTTTGTTTGTTTTAATTTTTTAATATTTATTTTTTAGTTTTCAGCGGACACAACATCTTTGTTTGTATGTGGTGCTGAGGATCGAACCCGGGCCGCACGCATGCCAGGCGAGCGCGCTACCGCTTGAGCCACATCCCCAGCCCCTGAAGTAGTTGTTTTAATAAACATTTATTAAATGGAAAATCAAGTGAATGGATAAAGGCAGGAAAAAAAACAAGATAAAAATAATTGCAAAGGACTATAACAATTTTAAATGTTGTTTGTACCAAGAAATAAAAATTAAGGTGAAATTATTACTAAAGACTTAAAATGCAGATGTCATAATGCTGTTGAGGTTATGATGAGACAGGATTCTTACTTTCTGCTGAAGTGAATATCTATTGTTTTGTTATTTTTGGAAAGTAATAAGGGCCTTAAAAATGTACCTTGTCTCTTTGAAACAATGATTAAACTACACTTCTGGTGATATTTTTAAAGGAAATAATTAAAAAAACCAAATGTATTATTTATAGTCATTTAAAAAATGAGAAAAAAAACGCCACATGTTCAAAAATGCTTATATGGTTACATCAATTAGAATATATTCATGTAATAAAATGTTCTGCAGTCATTGAAAAGAAAATTTGTAAATAATATTTAATAGCATGGAGAAATAGTTATATTCATAATTTAAATGAAATAGCATGATAAAATGTATAAAAATTGATTTCAACTATTAAAAAATGTAACGAAAAGTATTAGCATGAAATACATCAAAATGATAATAATGGTTATCTCCAGGTGGTAGGATTATGGATGATTTTTATTTTCTTTATATTTTCCAAGTTTCTCACAATGAGTTTTTAATTAATATAATAATAAATAGCATATTATAAAACATGGTACATATGCTTATAATTTAATAGACAAATAAAATGTTTAAAATTAAAAAAAATAAAAAATAACAAAAAAAAGAATACTACAAGGACACAGCCTCATCAATGTTTATAGCAGCACAATTCACAATAGCTAAACTGTGGAACCAACCTAGATGCCTTTTAACAGATGAATGGATTAAAAAAATGTGGCATATATACACAATGGAATATTACTCAGCAATAAAAGAGAATAAAATCATGTCATTTGCAGGTAAATAGATGCAGTTGGAGAAGATAATGCTAAGTGAAGTTAGCCAATCCCAAATAACCAAATGCTGAATGTTTTCTTTGATATAAGGAGGCTGATTCATAGTGGGATAGGAGGAGGGAGCATGGGAGGAATAGACAAACTCTAGATAGGGCAGAAGGGTTGGAGGGATAGGGAGCGGGCACGGGGTTATAAACGATGGTGGAATGTGATGGTCATTACTATCCGAAGTACATATATGAAGACACAAATTGGTGTGAATATACTTTGTATACAACCAGAGATATGAAAAATTATGCTCTAATATGTGTAACAGGAATTGTAATGCCTTCTGCTATCATATATAAAAATCTGCATATTTGTATTTTAACAATGTAGCTAAAACTTGATGTCCTTTTTTTTCTTTTTGGCTTAATGAATATCATTTATTTCGAATGAAATCTTTATACTATATATTCCATGAAATCCCTGGTACCCATCCTCAAAAAGAATACATGTATATTAAATCTTGAAAAAAAAAAAAAAAAACGAAATCAGAATGGAAGTCACTGGGGAGGGTTCTGGAAACCTTCAAAAGCAAAACCTAGGTGTGGCTAGAGGACATATACACAAGTACAAACCCTGATGAGCTGCCCATTTAGCACCTGTGTACTTCACTGGACATCTGTTATGCCTCAAACTGTTTGAAAAAAACCACCATTGGAAGCTGAATCATCAAAAAGAGGAACAGTTAGGTATGACAGTTTGCGTTATTTTCTCTGTATTTCATCTACCAGTGGAGAGCAGTTCTAAACATTAGTGATTTCAAGTTAGCCATCTTTTTTTTTTTAAGAGAGAGAGAGAGAGAGAGATAATTTTTTTTATATTTATTTTTTAGTTTTTGGTGGACACAACATCTTTATTTTTATGTGGTGCTGAGGATCGAACCCAGCGCCCTGCACATGCCAGGCGAGCATGTTACCGCTTGAGCCACATCCCCAGCCCCAACCATCTTTTAAATAAAAAGTACCAACCGGGCTTTAGATTCTCCGAGTTCAACTCAGAGCCAGCTCCTTTTTCTGCATTCCTGTCCTCTTGCTGTGTGTCCTGCAGACAAGCAGCATTTTCTACTAATGGAGGTGTCCTGGATAGAAAAGGTGGAGGTTAACTCTGGAACTTCAAGAGACACTTGGGCAAAGGAAGAGAATGGCAGGCAATAAATGAATGAAGTGCTCGGTACCCTGCAGTCAGACTCACAAGGAGTTTACGATTTATTTACTGATGACAGAGCAGGGCTGGCCAGCTCTGCTCACTACTATGCCCTTACATCAAGCACACAGTGGATGACAGACATTATCAGAGAAAGGCATTCACTCATTTACTTCAACAATTTTCCTTCCAAATTCATTGGAATTTTGAGACTAGAACATACACTGCTACCCCACTTCACACAGTACAGAAGAGCAGAAGTGAAAACAGTTTCCTTCATCCCTGCTTGTGTTTCAGACCATCTTTCCAGAGACTACACCATTTTAAATCAACTTCTAGGAATATTCTTTGCATAAAAAAGCAAATATTGCCATTTATATCTATCTGAAACGCAGAGACAGTCATATTCTTCAACATGTGGGAACCTGCTAAATCCACTGTGCTACCCCAGTTTATTTTATCTAATAACCAGCTAGGGATTATTTCATATCAGTACATTGAGGGCTGCCTTGTTCACTTAAGTTTTTAAAATTGTACTATTCTTTTGGTTCTCTGAGCAAATAGCCACATTCATGGAGGCCTACACAATAAAAAATGTCCCTTGCACCCCTCTTCCCCAGCTAGCCAGTCATAGGTGACAATGTAATTCACTTTTTGTGCATCCTTTCAGAGATAATTCAAGCCAGAGTGAGCAGACCTGTGCAGCACAGCTACACACCCACAGATGTCTGTGAGGAGGGGGTGTCAACATGTGTCTCCAAGGTGGCCTCTGACAGACATGTGTGAACCTGGGGCATGGCATTGAGCAAATGGTGAAGGAGAGCACACTGTGCCCACCAATGCAGGCGCTCCACCCCAGGCCTCCTCTTCCTCACGTCCTGCTCCTCCCGCCCTCCTCTTCCACCATAGCACTGACCTCCTGCACTAGATCCTCCTCCACCAGGTCTGCTTCTTCATCCTCACACTCACCAAAGTCTTGATTCTCCTCAAATGCCAGCAAACCAACAGTCTTTCCCTGCTGCTTCCCTGAGCTGTGGGCTTATACTTTCAATAAACCTAAAACAGCATGTCTAAAACCAAACTTAGTATCTCTTCCTTTCCGAAGAGCTGCTCTCTGGAAAACACTGTCTGCCATGCAAACGTCCTCACAGTCACTGGGTTTCAGAATCCTGTTCTCTATATCTGCCAGTCACTATCTTATGGCTTCTCCACCTGTCAGTGCCAGAATATGTCCTCCTGTTGGGGGATACCAGCCTTCTTCTCATCTAGGTAATTGCCACCCCATCCCCCATCTCCTGTGTACTGTCTTTCCTCATCCCAACATGCTGTGTCAGCTGTATTTTTAGAATCCTAAAAAAGTTTTCCTCATCCACTGACTACCTACCCAGGTACAAATGCTGAACATCATTCTGAAGTCTTCCACACCCCGGTGAACCCAGCCTTGTAAGCCTTCTCACCATCAACCTCACCATTTATTGTTACTTCAACTTGCCCCAACCTCATCCCATCCCTGTATCATTTCTCCAAGGGTTGCTTCTCCATAGCTGCTCCCTCTCTACCCATCGGAATCTCCTGCATTCTCTAAGAACTCTCTGACGTACAGTCTCCTAGGTGGGCTTCTTCTGTAAGACCTCGTGGTGCTCTGTAGCTCTCTACTCTGCCTGTGACTGCGGCAATGTTGTAATTCTATCTGCTCAATTTCAAAATCACAGTATGGAAAAGGAACTAGCAGAGGCTTTGTGCAAAACTGGGGCTTCCCATAAATGACCAAACCTCATATGTTTATTAAATCTGAATTGTAAAGGCACCTTCATTTTTAAAAGAATCTCTTGTAAGTAGGAGAAATTTCTCTCATTTCCAAAAGTGGGAAGAAACCAACTGATATTTCAATTCCATAGATACTCATAGATGGGTCTGGCTATGTTGCCTAGGTGGGCCTCACCCTGCCTCAGTCCCCCACATAACTGGGATTACAGGTGGGCACCACCATGCCTGGCTACCGTTCCTCCACATCCTTGACAACAGGACTTCCTTTCTCTTCTCTCCCTTCATGCTGGAGCTGTGGTGCTGTTGACTATGGTTTGAATCTGCACTTCCTGGCTGGCTAATAAGCTTGGGCACCTTTTCACAAAGCAACTGGACACTGTGAAGTGGCTATTCAAGTCTTTTGTCCCCTTTCCTAATAGAGGTCCACATTTTTCTTTATGATCAGGAGTTCTTGGTACAAATCATCTGGTGAACACACATGCTGTGTCCATCTTCTCCCTCTGTGGTTGCCTGTATACCCTTTCAGAGAGACTTAATGGTCACTCATGTACTGCTTATGGGTGTGTAAACTGTGCAGCCACTTTGGAAAACTGATGGACAGTGGCTCTAATTATGACTCAGCAATTCCATTCCATCATAACTCTCTCTCAGTGCACCAAAAGATATGCAGGAGACACCACTGCCTGAAGTACCCCCCAAGTGGAAGGTCTCAGGCAACAGCAGAATGGGCAAAACAAATCATGGTCCATTCATACAAAGGGACATGATGTAGCAATGAATGATCAGATCCACAGCGGCATACACAACTAGATGAACTGCACAAGCAATGCTGAGTTAAAGAAGCTAAACAGAAAGGAGAATTACTGCTGATTCCATTCAAACCAAGTTCAAAACCAGGGAAACCCGGTCTATGCTTTTCCATGACAGAATGACTTTCCTTGGGAGGGGAGGAGGCTCTGAGTCATGCTCTGTTTTCTTGATCAGAGGCTGGTTTCCCAGCTGTGCTCAAAAAAATCCATCAAACTCTTCTTGTGACATGTGCACTTTTCTGTATGTGTGCTATTTGCCAACAAAAAGTTAACACAAGTCCATTCTGTAAGAGATTCAGGTAAAGCTGGGCGCAGAAGCATACACCTGTAATCCCAGCAGCTCCTGAGGCTGAGGCAGGAGGATTGTGAGTTCAAAGCCAGCCTCATCAACTGCGAGGCACTAAGCAATTCAGTAAGACCCTGTATCTAAATAAAACACAAAATAGGGCTGAGGATGTGGCTCAGTGGTCGAGTGCCCCTGAGTTCAATCCCCGGTACACCCGTCCTCTCCACACACATACCAAAAAAGAGAGAGAGAGGGAGAGAGAAAGGTGAAATAGTACACTAGATACACAGGTGAAATAACACACTTGAGATCTGCTTGATTATACTCCACAAAAAACTATAGTTGGGGAACTGGGGCTGTAGCTTAATGGTAGAACGCTCGCCTAGCATGAGTGAGGCACTGGGTTCAATCCTCAGCACCACATAAAAAGAAACAAATAAAATAAAGGCATTCTGTTCATCTACAACTAACAACAACAACAACAACAAAAACAGAGTTGGGGTATGGATAAAACAAGATTCCCTGATCCTTGATAGTTATCAAAACTGAGTGACAGGGATGTGGAGACTCATTTAACTTAACACTTAATATTTCCTTAAAACAAAACATCTCTTCCAAAAGGGAGGCAGAACTGTACTTACTGAGGTTGGCTTATGTGTGCTTCAAAAGTTGGCATTTTAGCTCCTTTGTATAATTTTTTCAGTTGTTCTATGTGTTCCGAATTGTCAATGCCCATTCCCATAGACAAAATTTCAGCTCGAACATTATAATCAATGACAGAAGTTTTCAAATTTGAAAGTTTTGTAACATGTACCTTGAATCAAAGAAAAAACATGCATTTGAAGAAGTCACTCTCTGAATTTTAACTGAATCATGAATACTCTCACGTGGTCTCTCAGTCTCTCTCTGCACATCTGATGTGCTCCAGAACATGCCACAACACACAAGTGGTTCCCACTGCAACATCTGTGTATTTCACAACTGAGGTTACATCAAATCTTCCCAAGCCTAAACCCACATGGTGGAAATATGAATAAAACCCCTATTCCAGACTAATCTGTGGTGCTGTAACAAAATACAAAATTCTTACATTCTTCTGATTCTCACTCAACTATTTTTATCTCTATCAGCAAGGAGGAGCCTAAGGCTCAGAGTCCTAACATGTCCAGAGAGGGCTTATCCCAAGAGCCTAAATTCTGTGTTCTGGACTATTTCCTCTACTTGTCTTTTCTGCAACCAAAATACTCTCATTCATTTAAATTTATACAAAACTAACTGAACCACAAAAATCTGCAACAGTCTGATTCCTGTGGAGGGGAGGTGTGGACACAGGACTGAGTGTCACAGTGAAGCAGGGGTAGGCCAGGCTGGCCCCTCCGGGCACCTTCCTGAGTGAACCCTGGGCATATGTCTCACACTTGGCAATGTGCATGAAAGCCTTTCTCCACTCAAAATGGAGACAGAGCTGGTCTGGGTGGAGAAGTTGGCAAGATTGGGGGTCAGCTTCCTTCCGGTGTGTCAGTGGACACTGAGGCACACTTTGCAGCTGTGGGAACATATTTGCCAAGTGGGTTTTCTTTTTTGCTTCATTCTATAAGCTGCAGTTTTAGAAATTCCTGCTAAAGTTTCCTGAAAACAACTATAATACTACAACAACATCAACTAAGACCCTCCCCCCAAAAAAATCTGCTTATCTGCATTGGTAATTTACATTTTATCTTCTTAAAACTATTTCTCTCTTATCCTTAAATCATAAGCCAAACTCCCCTTTTAAGGCATTAGAACTTTGCTAACTTTATAAAAACTACCTTTAGCAAAACAATTTTGAATTGAATTCCTTAAAAATCTTACAAACAATCACAGGAATTAAGATTTGTCTAATATAGCAAACTCAGAGAGGGGTGTGCCAGAACCAGTGGAGAGCCATAGAGACCTGTATACTGCATGTCCTTGTGTCACACTCATGCCCAACTCTACATCAGCGTCAGAGGGCAGAAGGCCTCAGCTGCTTTGTTCAGATGGAACTCAAGGGCCCAGTACTGGTCCTAGCACATAGTAGGTGCTCAGTAAATAATTGGTGAATGAATAAGGTAGAAAAACCTATGTTTGAATGTCCAAGGACCAGAACTATCAGCATTACTGAGCATATCTTAGGTCTTTAGGATCATTTATAAACTAGCAAAGATGGATCCTCTACAGCAGTCATTGATGCCAGGTTTATCATATGGGTGGATGGTGGGTTGTGAGACTGACTTAATTATTCATGATCAACATTAAGGAAGTTAAATAGAGCAGAACTGTAAATATTAGAGAATGTCATATGAAGTAAGAACAGTTTCATGAAACTTTAGTTTTATAAGTGAGAGTGCATGCACATCATGTGTAGAAGGATTACTGGGTTACCATGTAAAACACGTAAAAAAAAAAAAAAAAAAAACGAAAAACCAAACCCACAATCAAATTCATGACTGAAATAACATGAAAAAGATGTCTCCCTAACTTAGAGCCCCAAATAAGCTGGGGTGCAAATGGTCATTCACACAGCACATTGGAAAAATTTGGACTATTTTAGAAGCCTACTCAAATTGAGATTTCTAATAAAACTGCATGCTTACCATCGGATCAATCCAAACTGTGTTTCCCAAAGCCAGTACCACTTTTGCATCATGCAATTTTCCAATAATTTTATGATGAATGTACCTGGTAACCTAAAAAAAGGACTTCAGTTATTTATCTGAAGCTTTAACAAAATACTTTATTCAGTATATGCTGCATAATTTGCAAAATATTCTGTGTGTTTCATTTGAGCCTCACAACAATCCTATGGGCTAGGGAGGCATCACCCCACTTCCTCAGTGAAGGTAACAACAGTTTATCAAGGAGAGATGCAGAAAGGTGCAGGAACTTGCCCAAGGGCTCATGCTAGTTGTTTCAGGAATGGGTGAGAGTCCATGTGGAGTATCTGGAATCCTAATATTAATTATTTACTGCTGTGGACATGTATGCACTCATCACTTGCATCAATTCTCTTCTGTCTTCAGAGTATGTATGTTTGAAAGACCAATAGAAGCAAAAAAAAAGTTGTTCTTGCTGCTCCAGAGGATTTCATGGCAATGGAGCTGCTCTGCTCTGCTAGACAGGGTCTGGGGGCACTGGTCTTTCATGTGCTCTTTTCTGAATGTGTCACTATTTTCCTCTCAAGGAGGGCCGCAGCAGGTGAGGCCTGTCGGCAATCTTTCATGCACATTTTAACACCAATGAAGCAGAACAGGAGGGAAATGGTTAGTGACATGAGATTGTTTCCATTCCCCTTGAATCTATGAGTGCACCTGGAAGAACATATACAGGAGAACCTGTCCCTATGTCTATAGAAGGCTGCCCTTTAAGAAAAAACTGCGGTCAGTTATCTTTACAGACCTTGTCTTGAAGACAAGGTCTTCTTCTTGCTGATGGCTATATACCCAGAACCCAGCACAGCACCTGGCACACAATAAACAGTAAATATTTAGTACAACAAATGGAAAAGACTGCCATTTGATAAAGGCTCTTTTCACTAAACCCACAATGGTAAGGTTGTGTATTCATCAAGAGACATTCATTTGCTTATTTCCCGGGCGGTGTTTAACCTTGCTTATCACCCGAAATGTTTTCACTTTGCTAACTGCAATGGCTTATTTCATAATCCATTAATCAGATTCCACAAAATTCAACCTTCTCTTGAAGAATCAGGAGCATCTGCTCTGCGATGAGCCAGACAACGTGTGGTGCCTTTCTGCCCACTTTGGACAGCTATGTGAGCCTGCGGGACTGCTCTCTGGGCTCCATGTCTTGCCTCAGGCAGTGTTCTCTGCCTTAGGTGCCCTCGCCGTTCTACTTGGTGATGTTCTAGTGACCCCCATAGGGCCCAGAGGAAATGTCCTTCACATCAGAAGCTCCATCTCCCCTTCCTCCAACAGAGTGACCTGGCCACCACCTATGTCCCCACTTTGCCTGGGACTCATTTTCATTGGTGCTTGCACTGTTTCTCTTCCTTAAGCTGATAGCCAGTTCATCTTACCACAACCCCTGTGTTATATCAGTTCTAAGATGAGCACTAACAATGGAAGCCACAATGTCAGGGGTCCTCAACACTCTGGCTCAGGGCTAGTTCTATGCATGATGGCAGTTACTACAGTCCTGTACCAGCTGGGACTTTAAGCAGATCACACTCTAACTGCTTAGGATCATGAAGCAAACACTCAACACTCTAAGTCTGTGTATATTATGGGTTAAATATATTCCACAAGTTGACAAAACATAAAAAGCCAAAATAACTCACCTTTGGATTCCACTCAATTTCACCATCAGTAGGTTTCACTCTACATACAATAAACTCTACGGCCTGAGGAGGAAGAGTATGGAAATTTTCTGGGAGATGCAACAGCTGGTTTCTTGTGGTAAGTCCAGTCCTGCCTTCATCTATGAATTTTATAAGGATATTATCCAGGACCCAAGTGTCTTCTTTTTGGCTCATCTCCAACACCTGGACCCTGGAGAACAATGGTGGCATCGGTTTAACAAAGAGATTCCACAAGGAAATCATCTTTGCCTCAATTTACCCATCAAAAGGAAAACATACTAAAAAAACTGTTACACTGACTGCACTGTTTTACTCTAAATTAGAAACAAAAAAAGGAAGGCCTTAGTGGCACATTACTTAAAATATACCTAAGCATAGAAACATGTAGTACTTCTGAATATAGGAAATCCTTTTATCTGACAACATAAACAAAGTTAATATGGAAAATTAAAATTTCAAACTTTCTGACCCAAAGCTATCACCTGTAGCCCGCCCTGAGGTGGATTCAGGAAAAATGGGCATATTAATGAGCAGGAGGGGCAGCCAGGCCAGGCTGGAACACTGACTGTGCCACCCACTGAGCTGACCTTAGTCAACTCACTTAACATTCTCAGCTCAGTCTCCTTATCTACAAGAAGGGTATGATGCCAATTTTATAGAAATTTATTAAGAATTAAACAAGCTGCAGATGTACGTGTATACTGCACACAGTGACAACTCCCTGAATGTCCAGGGTTGCACTGCCATTGTGATCTATGCTCAGGAGCCAAGGATGGAGTCTCTTGTGCAAAACTGTACCAGGTGTCTGGGGTCACGGTGCATTGGGAGGGCCTCCTTAGAAGAAGCCAGGCCTGGTACACTCCCACTCAGCCAATGGTGAACACAGGTGTTCAACACCATTTATATTACCTCATGCCTCACAACTCTAGAGAGGAAAAATAGATATTTTACCTGTAAAAAAGTGTTTTTTCTTCTAGTCCATACAATCCAAAATTTTCCACCTTTTTGACAGTCGTTTTATTACTGGAATCTTTAAAATACTCATTCATTTCAGCATTGAGAATTGCATAAAGATCCACATGTTTATCAATTATACGACCGAAGTAATTTGTTGCATTTGAAATATAAAAAGGTATTATCTGAAACATACACAGTAAATATATCCAGAAAGGAAACTTAATCTAACTGAAGACAAGCATGCTACCTGACCTCATGCAAACAGGGATTTAAAAATAAACAAGGGAGTATGCTAAAAACAAAGCAAAATAAACACCATACCAGAGCTGGGAGTGTGGTTCAATGGTAGAGCTCTTGCCTAGCACACGGGAGGTTTTGAGTTCTATCCCCAGTATCTCAAAAAACAAAACAATTTAAAAATGCCATACCATAAATAACTACAGTCTACTTTAAATCTAATGGATGATTTTTGGCAAATTGCATTATTTAAAAACTTCGTCTTATTTTAAGAAAATTTTTTGTATGTGGCTCAAGGGATGGGACCCGGGGTCTTACATATGATAGGCAAGCACTCTACCACTGAGCTACATTCCCAGCCCCCTTTATTTACCTTTAAACTGCATTTTAATAAACATTCATAAAACAGCTTTGCTGTCTCTTGAGCTCCTTCTCATCTTTTGTCATACATATAACAAGATACATTTTATTAAAAAACCTAATGTACCAGGTACCAGGGACAGACGAAGCCATACCCTACAGGGACACTCAGCAACCCAAGAGTGGACAGGCTACGCCAAACTGGTGTGTGTTCAGGAGACACTTCACAGGTATTTGTAGCAGGATCACTGATGTGCCAGGGGAAATGTCGGCATGGGAGAGGGGATGTTGCCCTGCACATGCACAGCTACCAGAGTGTGTGGAGAAGGTCGACCAGAAGGCAGAAATACCATGTGAAGGCAGCAATGGTGGGAATGAGGAGAAGTTACTTGGTGGGGTGGGGGTGGGCAGCACTGACTGGGAGGTGAGGCAAGAAAGCCAGGCAGGGAGGAAGTCAGTCTGTGATCAAAAGGGGTGAGGGGTCTCAGGTCTGACAGCCTGTGGCCCCTCTAACTTCATCACCTGTTGCCCTCACAACTCTCACTACCACTGAGCCTTTTCCTGCTCGCAAACATAACACATAAATCTTTCCTAGGGACTCTGGGCTAGTTGGTTTCTCCACCAGGAGTGCTCTTCCCATGTCTGGATCCTTATCTCACTTGGGCCTCAATGCAGTTGACCTCTCTACAAACAGGCTCTCCCTACCCATAATTTCCAAAGACCCCTTGTTCCCTAGCACACTTATACCCAGACACCCTGACTACTTAACTGCATTTCATCCTCTTCACAGAACTTGTTATCATCTAGAGTCATGTTCCCTGGAGACCCTGTCCCAGTACTTGGATGTCCCAGTCATTCTCCAGCACTACAGAGAAAGCTGCCTTAATAAAGCCCTCAGAGCTTCTCTACCCTCCCCCCAGGCATGGAGTTCAGAGTTCCTTCCTGCTTGCAGTCTTCTCCCAAGAGTGCCACCAATGTAGTCCAGAATTCTCCCTTGTGGCTAGAGCCCCAAAGAGTCTGGCATTCCAGACAATAGCCTGCTTGGTGATGACAGGAGGTGGCCCAGAGGATGAGGAAAACACTCCCTACAGTGTTAGGAGAGGTGGGCAGGGCATAATGTATATATAACAAATTTTTTTTTTTTGTACTAGGAATTGAACTCAGGGATGCTTAACTATTGAACCACATCCCCATCCAGCCCTTTTTTGTATTTTATTTAGTGGCAGGGTCTCACTGAATTGCTTAGGGCCTCGATAAATTGCTGAGGCTGGCTTTGAACTCATGGTCCTCCTGCCCAGCCTCCCTAGCTGCTGGGATTACAAGCATGTGCCACTGCACCTGGCTCAATAACAAAGATTTTTAAAGATTCAAAGAAACATTTCAAGAGAAAATATACTAAACTGTCAGCAATTACTTTTTTAGGTGATTTAGGAGTAAAGGGAGAGGTTTTCCTCTCACATTTCCCAAATTATAAGGCTTTGTGTGTTAAGCTAAGGGCTTAGCATGCATGCAGGCAAATAAAATCCAGGCCTACAACCAACTGGCATCAGACCTGGAAGTCTCCTCTGCACAGCATTAACACAGCAAAAGACAATTTATGTTGGATGTGGCCAAAGGAAGTTCATAAGACTGGACACTCTGAACAGGAGGAGGTAGGGACAGCATTAGGCCTCCAGACAGGGTGATCAACTCACACTGGTTTTTCTGAGACTTTCCTGGATTTAGCCCTAAAAGTCCCACGTGTTGTGAAACCCCTCAGTTCTGATTTTGCAAATTGAGTAGGTACCTTCCAGCTACCTGCTATTTGCTTTAATTCTCCTCTCCCTAGTACCTTTGCAGATAAATAATTCATTTTGTTATGGTTACAGGATCCAAGATTCAAAAATTAATTGAATTTCCAAAACAATTAGAAAATATACTTAAAATATTAACAACAGCATTCCAAAACATGAAACACAAGGGATAAATTTAATGCAGTAAATATAAGACCTATTCACTGAAAATTCTTAACAATGCTTAGAGAAATTAAAGAGGACTTAGATAAACAGAGTGATATACCACAGTAATAAACTGGAAGACAGTGTTGACAGGATGTCAATTCTCCCCAAATTACTCTATAGACTCACTGCAATACCAATCAAAAAAAACTCACAAGTAGAAATTGGAAAGCTGATTCTAACATTTTGTATGGTTATGCAAAGAAACAGAAAAAGGATACTGAAAAAGAACAGTGAAGATGAAAGACTTATCTACCAGTTTTCAAGACTAAAGCTACAATAATCAAGACAGTGTAGCTTTGGCATAAGGATAAACAGAGGAACAGAATCGAGAGTTCAGAATTCATATATATGGTTTCTTAATTTATACCAAAGGTGCCAATGTCATTTAGGGCTAAAAGAAGGTCTTTATAATAAATAATGCTGGAGTAACTAACTATCCAATAGGATAAACATTGCCCCCTATCTGGGATTCACCACACACAAACATTAATTTAAAATGAAGAGATCAGACTTGTAAAATCATAAAGCTCCTAGGGGAAAAAAAAAAAAAAGAAAATCTTCATGACCTCAGAATACGCAAAAATTTATTACAACATGAAAAGCACAAAAAATAAAATTAAAAAGTGATAACTAGATTTCACTGAAATAAAAACTTTCCCTTTGTAACCAGGAGAAAATAATAGCAACATATATATTTGATGCAGCGCATTCACAATATGTAAAGAAGTCTTTAAAATGTAACATAAGGGGCTGGGGATGTGGCTCAAGTGGTAGCGCGCTCACCTAGCATGTGTGAGGCACTGGGTTCGATTCTCAGCACGTAAAAATAAAATAAAGATACTGTGTCCATCTAAAAAACTAAAAATAAATATTTAAAATAAATAAAATGTAACATAAGAAAAAAGCCTAATTTTTTTTTTTAAAGGGCAGCTGGGCACAGTGGAACATGCCTGCAATCCCAGTGACTCACGAAGCTTGAGGCAGGAGAAATCACAAGATTAAGCGGGCAACTGCACAAGTAAAAAACTGTGTCAAAATGAAAAATAAACTAGGTACGGTGGCACACACCTGAATTCCATCGACTTGGGAGGCTGAGGCAGAAGGATTATGAGTTCAAAGCCAGCCTCAGCAACTTGGCAAGGCACTTAGCAACTAGTGAGACCCTGTCTCTAAATAAAATACAAAAAATGGCTGGGGATGTGGCCCAGCGGTTAAGCGCCCCGCTGGGTTCAATTCCCTGGTACCAAAAAAATAAATTATTTATTTATTGGGGATGTGATGTAACGGTAGAACACCCCTGGGTTCAATCCCCAGTACCACACACACAAAAAAAGAGCAAAAATCCTGAAAAGCAAATTTATAAATTAAAAGATATAAATATACAATACAGCATGTGAAAAGATGATCAATATCCATAATCACAAAGGAACTACAAATAAAACAGCACAAATGCAACAGAATAAATATTTAAAGAATATTTAAATATTTTAGAATTTAGGCTAGAATTAAAGACCAAATGCCAAGTACTGATGACAATATGAGGTAAATGGACTTCTCATATGCAGGGCTGGTGAGAATGTAAAACGGTATAATCACTTTAGAAAACATTTCTAATAAACACATACTTTCTTATAAACATATACTTTTATAACCCAACAATTATACTCCTAGGTCTTTTATTCTAGAAAAATGAAAATATATATTTAAAAAGACTTATAAAACAAATATTCAAAGCAGCCAGAAACTAGAAACAACCCAAATGTCCATCAACTTGTGAACTATTGGCACATCTATATAATCGAATCCTACACAGTAACATAAAGAACTACATAAAGAAATCTCAAAAGCACTGTACTGAGTAAAAGAAATCAGACTCAAGAAACTTCATTAATACAAAGCTACAGTAAAAGTAAAACAACTGACAGAAAGCAGATGGGTGGCTGCCAGGGACAATGGTGTAGGGCAAGGTCTCAGTGATAGGGGACAGAAGAGACCTTTTTGGGGTGATGAAAATGTCTGCATCTTGACACTAGTAGTGGTAGTTACATGACGATTTACATTTATCAAGACTTAACAAACTATACACTTGAAATTAGTGATTTTTATTGTATGTAAACTATACTTCAATAGAGCTACCTAATTAGAGAGAAAGAAAGGAAGTGGGGGGGCGATGGGGAGATTGGGTTAGCAGGGTTCTGGAAAGGTGGTAGTAGTAAAATGCGAAAATTTTTTCAGTCTGAATCCTCACATGAGCTCAGACAGAGCAACAAAACCAGGCACATAATTCATAACAACAATTGACAAAGTGGCCCAATGAATATCAAAATAAAAGCAGATAAAGAACAGGAGAAAAATCTAGATGATTTGGTTTTGGCAATGATTTTTTTGAGATGTAATACCTAAAGCATAATCCGTGAAAGAAAAAATGTAAGTTGTCTTCATTAAAATTAAAAACTGCTCTGCAAAAGACACTATAAAGAGAATGAAAAGACAAACTGAGTAGGAGAAATTCTTTGCAAAACATATATTTGGCAAATATATGTTTGTTAAAATTTACAAAAAACTTTTTTTTTTTTTTTGGTACTAGGAACTGGACCCAGAGGTGTGCTCTACCACTGAGAAAAGGTCTCATTAATCACCGAGGCTGGCCTCAGATTTGGCTCCTCCTGCTTCCTGATAATTTCTTGGGTGTCCAGCCTCATCTGTCTTACTAGGGCTGGGCATGTAACTCAGTGGTAGAACATGTATTCAGCATGTCCAAGGTCTCCCGGTCAATTCCCAACACAAAAAAGAAAAATGTAAATCAGAATTAGAAAAACATAGAAATGAGGGGATAAAACTCAGGGAAAAATTAGAAATAAAAAAATTATTTCAATGATGATAACTGTAGTGGATCAAACTGTGACCACTCCCAAAAGATATGTGCATGTCCTAATTCCCAAGGTCACTGTGACTGTGACCTTATTTGAAAAGGGTCTTTGTAGATGAAATCAAGTATCTCAAGATAAAGAGACCTTTCTGGATTAAAAGGTGGGTCTTCCTTCCAGTGACAAGTATCTTGTGGGGACACCAAGAGATGAGAAGGCAATGTACAGGAGGCAGAGATGGGGGGGGGCGGATGTGGCTGCAAGCCATGTCTGAAGCCAGGAGAGGCTGGAGGAGGCCAGAACTGGATTGTCCTCAGGAGGCTGAAGAGTGGCACGGAGCACAGCCCTGATGACACCTGCATTTAGACTTCTGGCCTCCAAAACTGAAATACATCTACGTTGTTTTAAGTCACCAATTGTGGCAATCTGTGACAGCAGCACTAGGAAACCAACTCTAAAGAGAAAGCCTTAAGGGGAAAGAAGTGAAAAGGAGAAAAAAAAGTAATGAAGAAATTGATGATGAGGGATTTCAAGGAAAATTATTTTTAACTCAGCAATTCGATTTGAATCTTAAGAATTTTCCTCACAGAAATTATCATTGATATTTGAACAGAATTCATGTAGTCACTGTATTATTATTACTATTATTACACTAGTAGTAGTCATTCCAGGGACTGAACCCAGGGGCATTTAACCACTGAGGCCTCAGGCCTTTTTATTTTTTATTTTCAGACAGGGTCTCACTAAATTGCTTAGGGCCTAAGTTGCTGAGGGTGGTCTCAGCCTCAAACATGCAATCTCCTACCTCAGCCTTCCAACTTGCTAGGATTACAGGTATGTGCCACCTTCTTTTTTTTTTTTTATGTTTTTTAGTTGTCAATGGACCTTTATTTTATTTATTTATATGTGGTGCTGAGGATTGTACCCAGTGCCTTACGTGTGCAAGGCAAGCACTCTACCACTGAACTACAACCCAGCCCAGGTGTGTACCACTTTTTACTGTATTACTTTTAACTGCCTCCAAGTGGAAACATTTTTTTTCCTGAAAAAAACAACTCCCAGATTGTCATGCATTTACCCAACTCATCATGGTTTTACATATAAACTTGGACTCTGAAATTAAGATATAAGAACACATTTCTATCATTAGATTAATGACAGGATATTAATATTGAATATTATAAATCATAAATTACATTGTACTAAGATTCTGCTTAAAAAAAATTACAACAATTCAACAATCACTGGACAAAAAAGATCTTAGAAGAACTTACTTTAATGTATCCAAACATTGGTAGAGCTTGGTTGGATAATTTCCTTGGCTTATCTATTTCTGGATTAATATGGTGTCTGTCAGGACAGATCCTTTTGTCTCTGGGAAAAAAAATAAAACAATGAATAGCTGGCTTTGTTTTTTGTTGTGGTGGTGACAGTGCTGGGGATGGAAACCAGGGCCTTGCTCATTCTAGGCAAGTGCTCTACCACTGAGCCAAACCCCAAACCCCTCAAAATAGCTAGATTTTTTTTTTTTAAAGAGAGAGTGAGAGAGAGAGGGAGAGAGAGAATTTTTTAATATTTATTTTTTAGTTTTCGGCAGACACAACATCTTCGTATGTGGTGCTGAGGATCAAACCCGGGCCGCACGCATGCCAGGTGAGCGTGCTACCGCTTGAGCCACATCCCCAACCCCCAAAATAGCTAGATTTTAAAACCAGAAAAATACAGATAATCATAGTTAACATGGAATTGTAAACATTTTTCAGAAAATTAATCTGCAGTTGAAATTAGAGAACTTTTATTCCAAACACTTTAGAAGTAACCATATTAAATACTTCAAATGACACTAACAATATATAAATAAGTAAAAAAAAAACCCTCTAAAATTTAATTAAAATTGAATAAACTTAAACAAAAGAGTTACTTTATTATTTTTTTTAATAATTTTTTTACAACACCTTTATTCTTTTTTTAAACATTTATTTTTTAGTTGTAGGTGGACATAATACCTTTATTTTTTTTCTATGTGGTGTTGAAGATTGAACCCAGTGCCTCATGCATGCTAGGGGAGCACTCTTTCCTCTGAGCCACAACCCCAGCCCTATTTCTTTAGATATATATATATTTTTTTAAATAAAGACCTTTATTTATTTATTTATTTTTATGTGGTGCTGAGGACCGAACCCAAGGCCTCACACATGTGAGGCGAGTGCTCCACCTCTGAGCCACAACCCCCAGTCCCCTTTAGATATTCTTAAATGTATTTATTAATATATATATTTTAAAATAAAGACCTTTATTTATTTATTTATTTTTATGTGGTGCTGAGGACCGAACCCAAGGCCTCACACATGTGAGGCGAGTGCTCCACCTCTGAGCCACAACCCCCAGTCCCCTTTAGATATTCTTAAATG